ACTTGTGTGATACTTGTTGCTTTTAAATTGGTTACAGCAATCAACCAGTATGGTCTTGGATCTTTCATGTTCGACCTTTGTCGTGAGTATTAAGTCTTGTGTCTGGATAAATAGATTCTCCAACTAAACTAGAGTAGATTTAATTTATTAACCAGAATGAAAAAGGTCAGTATGCCACATAGTTAGCGGTCAACTAATCAAAAATTAACAGGAATATCAGTCATCAGGATGGAATGATATAATTCTTATAAAACGATTAAAATGCCTACTTGTACTTGAAGTGTAGTGAACGAGAACACGGGTAGGGACAAACGGATGTATCAAGCACAGAAATTACAGACTATCTCAATAAAATCTGAATACCATAAAGTCAATCGTCAATTTGCAAAATATTAATGCATTATATCAAACTGAACTGTTTCCGTTGCAAACACTAATCCATTGTCTCCCACTCCATTGTACATGCGTTTCCTTACAAATTTCATTGTGTTCTCGCTCTACCTTTCTTGATCTTCGCCATCTTCTGCTGCCGGACATTACGTTCTTTTAACGCACGTTATATACTACTTATACCAATATAAGTAGCACACACCACAGAAGTAGGTGCTCAAAATGTTGTTAAGAACAGCATTGATGGTCTGACAATTAAATATACAACTCATTGCGTGCATTATTAACAGAAATTTTCTCAGAAATCTTAAGTTACATTATTGTATGTTCATGTATTTCATGAATCAGTACAGCAAATCTATGGAAAGTGTTCTTTGTTCGTTTGTTTCTAATACTTTACAATAAATTCTCGAATAAACATTTTTTCAAGTGTTGTGCTTATTGTCGTTGTCGATTGGGTTTCTCGTGTTATTGTCGTGCCTAGTAACAGCGTCAATTCATCCATAATGGTTAAACTGATAGCTGATAGTCTTTCATTACCAACACTCGTAATCGTTTCTAAGTTAATTAAAAGCCTAAATTATGTGCTTCACAGTAAATGTATTTCACGGCGCTTATATTAAGACTATAATTTATGGATGACCTTATATGAAATCTGAACAGATTCAGAGTCAGGCTTATGAGAATATATCTTTGAAACGATGAAACCAGGGATCGAACATGGTACAAGATTCAGGATCATAGTTGAATTCATAAGTGGAATTACCTATGCTTTCATATTTATCTGTTTGAAAGTTTGAATTCGAATCAGATGAGAGCTTCTGCGTTAGTGCATCCGAAACTTCACTTGATTTGCATCACTCTGCTCCTGCTGAATTGGTACAGTAGTCTCAAGATCGCCCAAAGATACAAACATTTCCTTTTCTTGGGCAATCAAAGTAATAAAAAAATCTCTGTCTCCACTTTTGTTACGTCCTTGATCTCTCTACCCAATAATATACAGGAGAGAACTCGTTTCGATCTAGGTTATGGCCCTGACACGATAGGTCAAATGGCCTAATCTTGTGGCTAGGAATGTGTGGTTCCGAATTGAGATTAACGATCTTGGGCAGAGAGACGAAAACTATCCGATCACCTAGTTGGTTGACAAGCGAGAGAAAAAGAAGACGAGTCAAATGGAACGCTACTCGATTGAATCCAGTTTCCAATTCAGATTAATGTGAAAAGATACACAAATCAATAGGTGGTTAACACGATCACAACGCACAAACAATTAGGAAAATACAATTATGTCCAAACTGGACATTGGGGTGGAAAAATAGAGTACCAAAGGTTACGGTTAAGTTACAATAGCCGTTCCGTCCTAGCATGGGACACCTCAGAAATGCGTCCACAATCCTAAGCTTGGTTTTCGAACCCAAGATCTTCGGTCTCACACGCGAACGCCTGACCTCTAAACCATTCACTAGGCATTCAACGGTTTACATGCTTAACTCCAACCAATCCATGATACTGCACGACCGTCCACCATTGCCTTCAACGATTAAATACCTCACAACAAAAACGATCAAACTCCACTGATCACAGCTTTTCACCAGAATCCCAGGAAATCTATCTTGAAGCCATCTAACATTGTCCCATTCATGATATCAATTCAAACTTAACAATCTCCACAACCCTATACTAATCTTAATAATTACTACATCAAGTAAATATTTGAATTGTTATAATATAAAACTGTTCTTATTGTAACGTGTCAAGTTAATCATCAATTTAGTTGTTTCCTTTTTTAAAAAATCAGATTATCGGTACTTATAAATAAGAAGTAGTTCTAAATGTACCTTTTTCTTACTATACCTCAATAATAATTAAACTTTATTCCAGTTAATGAAGTGTTATGTTTTATTTGTTGCGTCATTATGGTTTATCAAAAATACAGAAGTTTGGTTGTATTGTTGTTAGATATAATAATAATAATAATAAATACAAATAACTAACAATAGACTGAATGAGATAACTGATTAGATTATTGTAAAGATAATTCTCATAATCTAATGGAATGAGTCTATTGAAATAATATTGATCTGTCATTAATTAAGTGAGAAGTGTAATTGAAATATTATGATTATAAGTGAGATTGAGCTAATGATTGTCAAGTCGAGAGTGTTATCTAGAAATCATTTATAAAGACAATTCATGCAGTTTGACAAATGTAGATGTCTTGAAATATGTTTTGTTGTTCAGTAGATGTACAAATGATATATAGTTCACCGGTTATCCGTTATATTATCCTAGTTAATAATAATCATAATGTAGTTAAAACTACGAAATGTTCGATGATTGAAACAGCTGTAGTTATAACATTACGTTACTTATTAACTAAAATATGTATGTTACCCATCGTGGATGAGTTTATGCCGACCACCAGCATTCTCCAGACAACTCTGTCCTCCATAATCCTTTCCAGCTGTTTACGGTTAATATTCATTCTTTCCATATCTGCTTAGAATTCCCGACGTAATGTGTTCTTTCTTATTCCTCTTCTCAGCTTCCCGTCATGATTTCATGTTGGTGAATACTTCGTGATGCAGTTTGATGGTGTCAACAATGTATGTCTTATCCACCTCCAGAGTCTTTTCTTAATTTCCTCTTCAAGTGGAAGCCGGTTTGTCCTCTCACACAGTGGGTTGTCGCTGATAGTATCAGGTCAATCAACATTGAGTATATTGTGTAGATAATCATTTATAAATACTTGTACATCTTTGATTATGGTTTTGGTGGCTTTCCAACTTTCAGCCTAGTACAGTAGAAATATCTTGTTTTACCAACCCTCGCCTTGACGTCTGCATGGGATGCTTCTTGTTCATCAGTGATGCTGCTGTCCAAATATTTGGAGCATTCCACATCTCCCAGAGTTTCCCCATCAAGTGTGATTGGGTTGATGTTCTCCGTGTTGTATTTGAGTATCTTGGTTCTTGTCTTATGTATGTTGAGGCTTATTGATGCAGAGGCTGTTGCTACACTAGTTGTCATCACCTGCATTTCTTGGTGTGTGTGTGTGATAGAAGAGCTAGGTGATCTGCAAAGTCCAAATCGTCTAGCTACACCCAAGCTTTCGGTCGTCTGATAACGGTTCTCACTTGGAATGCACCTGTCATCTGTCCTCTATACATGACTTTTCAGCGTAGTACGTCGTACAAATTTTTCATGATGCTGATGTCCTTCTCAAGTACACCATAGTGTCGAAGAAAGTTCCATAAGGTTCACCTATCCACACTATCAAGGATGTGGATGTATAGTGACGAGTTCACTCGGTTGATTGTTCAACAATGATCTGTATTGTCATAATTTGATTGGTACAACTGATCCCACTCTTGATTTGTCTGATGACCGGCCATCCTAATTTCTTCGATTGTTGGTGGAATGACATCTATAGGAAGGTTTCAAAGTGTTGCTTTGATGTCCAGTTGATTCAATGGAGGTGACCTATTCAAGATTTCTTCAAATTGTTCTACCCAAATGTTTCTTTGATCTTGAATCTAAGTGATTGAATTGCCTTCTTGATCATTTCCTTCGGTTTACTATATTTCCTTGCCAGTTTCTTCATCGTGTCATATAGTTTTTTCCTATTCCCTTCTCTTGAAGCTTTCCCGCTGTTTGCCCAAAATGTCAGGACCTGACAACAGAGCGAATTTTCTTACAATTATGGCCGTGTAATTAATGTTAACCTATTCATAATGAGGTAGTTGGTATGTGTAGTTCACTGGAACAGGATTGTTACACTTTCTTTGAGTCTATTGTAAAATCATGAGCAACTATGCGATAAATTATTCATTATTAAATAATTCATGTTCATTGAATTACTGAAATTGCAAAGTTACCTATTTTGTTTTGCATATCCTGATTATTTATCACTAATATGATCAAGTGGGACGTGAAAATCACATTTGTCTAAGAATAGGTTACAGAAATGAAAAAAAAATTAAATCATTTTAATGAATAAGGATATAACTAAATGCTTTACAGTATTTTTCTTAGCCATTTTTACCAAAAAATTTTTCCGCTCCAAACAAGCTAGCGATTGCCCCGTTCTTTCTTGATCTGAGAAATTTTTACAGAAAATCATACTAATTTCTAGGCAGTTTGGTAATAGAATCCAGGTTGCATGTTTCATCCTATCTGAAACTGGTTATTTGGATGCCCCTGAACTCGTGTTGACATTTACATAGGACTCTGAATTAAAACCTTTCGCTTCAAAAGCCAGATCACGATCTAATTCTCCCCATTTTTAAAAAAAAAGTTGCTTATCTACTTTTTATTTATCCTTCATTATTTATATATTTAGATAGACTATTTATATACTTTGTATCATAATCATATAAATGTTATTATTTTACTTCTATTAGCTATGCCATTACTACTACACTTGTAATCATTCTGTCATTTTTCACCCCTTATTTACCCTGGTAATATTGACTCATTATCCAGGGTGGTTGAGTTTCAAATTGTGTTCGCATTATTATTATTACTCTTATTATTACGTTCTTCACGCGACTAAGTTGCTCGACTAACACATTTCAGCATATCAAACCAATTTTACCAATCACAAGCTGAATATGTACTATATGACAGTAACCAATCATATTTATCCAAGTCCATCACCTGACCTACCTATGTTTTCGCAAATGGAATATACCGTATTCTTATTGGTTTTCAAGCCTTATCACTCAAGTACTGTAGGCGTTTCTGCTTTCTGATTGGTTTATCTAAAATTGGCCTTCTAATCTAATCCGATAAATAACAATACGTCATTTGACCGAACGCATAGATCTAACACCTTATGATTGCTTCGTGGTTCGTTTCTTTGTTGTTGGTTTGCCTTGTACATTCTGAACCATATAGGGATTGTGGTAAGTGTATGACTGATTTGTACTGTGGATTTATAGCTTTAATTTTCCCCCAAAAAAGCTTTCACACTTAACGAGAATATAGTGTAGCCGAAAATTATAAATAATGATTAGATCACTTACATTAATTTATTCGTTTAAATGCTGCCAACACTGTAGAATATATTGTGATAAAGAGTAATCGGATTTGTACCAACTATAAAATGTTAAGATTGTTCAGTGCGTACTCTAGTAGTAACGAATTGACCTCCACTCAAGTGAGAGGGAAAACAGTGGTCACACCTAGAAGTATTGTATTTTGTAATTCGAATTAAGGGCGAGCTAATGTTTTTAAGGACTATTTACCTACAATTGAATTTAGTTAAAAACGCCAATGTGCTAATACATTTTGATTCGGTGACATAAACTATTACAGTAAGCCCATAGAATAATTTTTATTATTTGTCTAATTGATATAATTTGGAGATTTGACCCACTATACAAGATTATGCATGAATCTCATTGGACGCATCGATCTTTATCCTCTCATTGGTCGTAAACACAGACAATCAACAATTTAACCACAATCGATCAACACTCAAAATGTATTTGAATTTTTCAACACACTTTTTGCTGTATGCTTTCTTTCTGCATGCTTGCGGATTTTATCAATTATTAACAACACACTATCCTTACAACTAGTGTTCTGGCTTTTGAATAATCTCGAATAAATTCATAGTAGGAGATTTGGCTTACGTAAATACTCATTTAACGGGATATTATATATTGGAGTCAAATAGGGAGAAATTATCTTCTACACTATACTACCGAGTAACCATGAGGACTTAACCCTTTCTAGCCTATTGAAAAACAACAAAGATAAATGAACGAGGTATTTTCCCTGGATTAAAAAAATACGATGTTGGATCTTCAAAAGCTTCTACAGAAAATCCTACTTCTGACTCTTGACTTCTGTGACCGTAAAACCACCTCTATGTTGATTGGTTCGTAAGTATACTTTATGTTAACTAACCTATTAGACGTCAGAATTGATAGGTCCAGTTGCTAGTCATTTGAATATCAATAGGTTCTGTTTAGTCAGGTATTATTATAAACCCACATTACAGATTGTGCCCGAGTACACACACCTATACTGGGTAAAAAAAATTTGAATTTTTTATTTTAAAAAGTTAAATATGTAAGATGATTACTAGACTTTATTACTTTTTATCATTTTAGAAATCTATGATAACATTACAGCTACTAGGGAATTTTTTCACAATACAATAAGGGACCTTTGTAGTATGTATCAGTGATTTCAATATCCTCAATAAAATGAGACGGTTGCCTGATCCTAGCAGTCATAAAAATGTAGGACCTGGCACATATATATATCATTCGAAATCTCTGTACGTTCTGTTAGTGGAATATAGATTGGATTAAAGCATTCCATAAACACAGAAAGTCAGTAAGATAGATCATATGCGCTGAAATAATTTTTAATGGTTGTTTAATTAAACATCACTCTCAAATTTATCAGAGATGGTCGACCTATTGACTATTTGAGATTATTTCGCCATTATTGTTTAATATTTCTGTACTAGGATCTAAAGTTGGAAAATTACATTCACTAACTGTAACACCATGTGACAGGTTACCATGTGCGTTATATAAAGGTCGAAACGCCACTATTACAATTGAATTCAGTACCCGTAAGTTATTTAATTACATGTTTAATGTCTTTCATTCAACAATTTTGTATCACTACTAATATGTTGGTTGCTTTAGAGTACACAACATAGATCTAATGATTATCTAGTAACTGAAACTGGTTGGATGGATAAATCAATTTCTAAACTTGGGTCACTTTATATGCACGGAAATTATTGAAAGCCTACTGAAAGTATGAGCCAAAAAAGGATGTTCATTCCGACCCATGTCAAACTCTAAATGGAGAGTTGTAGCAAACTTAAGCGTAGATTATAACAGTTGATTTTAAAGATGAAACTTCAGCGATTACAAATACAATAATGCCAATACTACATTGGCCGTTCTACTCCTAGTTTCTTCAAAGTTATCGAAGGTCAATAAAACAGCTCTGTATTAAACAGTCGACCAATCATATTCAAAAGTCGTGTTTAAATTATTCACTGTGAAGTGTGCTCATGTTGTAGTACGTGAAAATATGTATGTCATTCTTATTCACGACCACTCCAGGGATAGATGCATGTATGGTCGAGCTGTATCATTTACCAATCATATCAGTGAACATATATAAATCACTAATCCCTTGAAAAGAAACTCACAAAATTTGTATTATCTGAATATGAAGAGAAAGTGGACAATGCCTGGAAAGATTTGTGTAGGATATAGTTTGAGAAAAATTGTGTGCGTAGATTTATGATCCCTACTACAATATGTAAGTTTACAACATTCTTAGCTTGCATTTTTTGTTTAATAAGTAACAGCACAGTGCAGGGATCATATTGGAATTGCTTTTACTCGGATAAAAAATTGACCTCACTCCGCTTGTATTCTCAATGACTGCTTTAGGTAACAAATACTTAGAACGTCTAGAGGATATGAAAATGAGTGAAATACTATCAAGTATTATCTAATAAATGTATGGATAAGTAAAACAATCAAATAACACAACATGACAAATCGATATCACAATTCCACCTTAAAAACTACAGTTCTCAAACCAGTTATGGCAGTTGCAAATGAAGAATATAAATTATCAACTTCACAGATTAATAAATAAATCCATTTTATATCATTACGGTGTTATGTTTTGAATTCAAACTTGTGACTAGTTCACTTTAATGGCTAATTTATTAACTTACCTAATCTGAATACATCCAAAGTAAAAAAAAACATTCAAGCTTACCACTTTTATACTATACCACTATTTCTCTCTTAATTACAGAAGAGACTGTAAAAGATGGTCATATATCTGTACATGGAGTGATTGCACATGTACCAGTACCATTTCCACTTGACAACTCACAATTATGCAATTTTGTCAGCCCAGTGTGTCCTTTAATTCCATCCATAGAGAACTATACACACACATATTCTTTGTATGTTAGCACATCATATCCATCGGTAAGTTAAATCAAATTTATCGTTTACTTTGCATCATATACAGATGTTTAAGAACAGTGTTTCATCTGCGGACACCTATTGTAATTAGTTAAGGATTCACCATTTGTAATACACCAAATTGTCGGTTGATAAATGTATGTAGCGTTGTCGAGGAATTTGTTTGCTGGCATTATAAACTACACACAGTGGGATGGTGGGTTTGAACCACTTAACCATAGTTTTGATAACCGTCTCACCTATTTCACCTTGTTTAAGAGACTTAAAGTGTAGTGGTGAGTCACACGTCTCAGTTACCCACGCCATGGATAGACGTTTATTCTTAACGAACGCAAAATGGATAACTGGATCGGTACTGATGGTCATTTTGATCCGATAGCATGATCATAGATATCGAAGAACAGTTACTGAAGTCCCGTCATATACAGTGTATTTTAGTATTTATTTTATTATAATCACCTCTGTACTTTTCAAACCGCCTGTATTTAAAATCCACAAACCAGTAAAGGGTATCGTATTTCTAGAGCTAACTATTCATACCTTCCTTAATTTTTTTTTAAAAGACGGCATCTCCAGGGAAGCTAGTTATCCATAGAGAACGTTTTACTTCTGCATCATTACAGTATGTACACCAGTTAATATACTGATATGAATTTGGCTTCGAATTTTACGTATGTAGCTTTTTGTCTCAGCACTCTTGCAGACTATTCCCCTTACAAGTATGCTTTTTAAGAAAAAATCTTAAACATCGTCAACATATAGCTTGGCATAAATATGCGTTGTCCCAAGTTGCCATACGTAACTGGCACAATGTGCTGAGAATAACAAGCGATCAAAATAGTGTAGTAGCAATCATAAAAAGGACTTAACCTTAGGAATATAGTTTAAAAGGATAGAGGGGGAAAACGTATATATGAAAGGATACTGAAATTCAAGATTAACTACTTTTATGAATCTGATGTCCATCTTATTGTGTTAATGAGGTATGGCAACTTGGACCGATGCATATATGTGCCTGGTCCTACGTTGTAGCTGACTGGAAAATAATGAGTGGAATGCATTTATGTCATTGTACATAGTTCTGAACCATGTCATCCAACGCCTCCAACCAGTGATTACGTTTGGGGTTATTAACCAGACCCCAACCAGGTAGTCTATGTCCATCAACATAGTTTAGACTAATAGTCAATAATTTCGCTGACTGACACCACGTTTTGATTTAGCCGTTTCTTTCTTCCTGGCTACTTCAGCACTAACAAGAACTGTTCGTCGAGGTAGGTGGTGGTTCAGCTTGCGTGATACATGTCCTAACCATATCAGTCGATTGAAACTCACTACATCATCTACCTATTTGACACCTTCGGCAATTACCCTATATCTAACCTCAACATTGCTCACTTGGTCATTTCACAAAAGGTGAATTCTAAATTGATAAGCCAACGATCTGGTAAGAGATCGACCCTCCAAAAGTTAATTAAAGAAACTTCTATTGATAGGAGGAAGTCGGTGCGTAAAAATGGGAATACTGTGGAGCCCTGTGGTTAAGAGTTCGCCAGACGAGCAATTTGTGGTGGTCGGTATTCGACATAATCATTAAACTTCGTATACAGTTCGTCTTGATAACCGTCACTAGATAACGCCCCAACGATATATTAATCCAAAGGCGAATACGTACCGTTGATCACGTTTATTACGGGACCACACACATATCCAAATGTACAGATGCGTTAAACAAGCATGAAAGAGTTGTGTCGAAAGGCAAGCGCGCGAGAGAGAGCACTGAACATGAGTAACATGGACATATATATACATAGTGAGATGTATGAATCATCGAATCAATTAAGCGGTTAGTAGTAAGGCTGTCAGCGTGAATAAATGCGTAGGCGATAGCAATGCTCAAGCATACATGTTCATACACTCGCAATAGTAATAAAGATACAATGATATAGATAAGTTGTTGTTGTACAGATGACTCAGTTCGTTAATAAGTTAACAAAATGATTTAACTCGATTAATCGAGTTAAATGTGAACAAACTCAATTGCACGTAAGTTGCTTTAAATTTCTTAAAACTATTGAACTAGTCTTTGCGTAGCTATACTGAAATAGGTGAAACTCAGTGTTTGGAAACTCGATGTGCTACAGAAATATAGCCTTTAAACTATTGAGGATGCAACAGGTATTTGGAGTTTCGACAACGCTTTAACCATTAACATCTAATATGAATCGTACCCACCAAGTGAAATCAAAAGACAGAAGCGAGGAGGTTGGAAGATGTATTTGGTTGGCTATCAATATATCGTGGATCGACTGATCTAATTTGGCTAGCGATTGCAGATGTTGATCACGGTGATCTGGTGCGGATAAATGACTGAAAGCCTTCAGCTAGGTGGGCCCGTTAAAACTAGTGTGGTCAGCATCCAATGTGGAAGACTTACAGAGCTATTGATTTTGGAAATTTATTTATCACTACACTATCAGTACAATGAACATACAACCGAGCAGTGAGAAAGGGGTAAAACAAATAAAATAATGTGAAACAGTCACGCTTATAAAATAAATATACTTTCATGATCGATAATTCAGTAAAGACTGGTTACACCATGGCTAAACTGTGTTATAGACCAAGCTGATCTGACTGTAATGACAACTTTAAAGAATGAGTGTTTTAACTAATATAGTGTGGTTGAGTTTTGAGACAAATCACATCATCAAAGGAATCACTGGTTAAACATCGAATCGTAAGTGTGACTGACAGTCAATTACACACACAATTAGTTACTAAGTTGTATCATTTATCCATACAACTAGAACAACAATTAAGACAGGATAACATGAATTCATTTCATTTCGTGAGTTCTCATCAGCTGCTTACAACCATATATGTATTGCATAATACAAAATCGTAAACATTGGTGGTTGAAAAAATGTGTCACAACGATTACCAGTGTTATGTATATGTGAACAAATTTAATTTCATGATTATCGTAGAAAGGGTGATTCAGTAATTACTTGCTCATATGAAGCAGGTTATTTTGGCCGTACAAAGCGAGCTCTTTCGAAGCCAATCTCCAGATACTACCTTGCCTGGCTTCAATGGGTTACAGAAGTCAGTCAAAAGCTCAATCTTCGAGCATCTGGGATCATTTCCGGCCACTCTGCTTCATCAGAACCCTCCTTCAAAATGATACTGATGCATCAAATACATTATTTGCATACTTTGCTTTAACTGTCCTTTATATATTTCACGATTCTTCCAATTCTTTTATTATTTCAGTTACACTCTGTTTCCCTCCCTGTTCTCCTTAATTTATCATTTTGCTGGCAAGCATTCCAAATCCAATTGCTGTTAAGTACTACTTATATCTGTCAGCATAAGTAGCGTACACCACAGTACAATCAGCTAATGAGAAACCACGAAATTGTCATTTTCCTCTTATATGAATCCATAAAGGGAATTATTTGTATAGAATTCAGTCATATATTTGATTAAAACAAGAGTAGTGGTGCTATAAACTTATTAGGTATCCGAATTTACAGCTTCGTTGCTTTGTTCTTACCTAATAAAAACATAGTTTTCATTTCTAATGATATCAGTTAATAAACAACAATTTAATGATTTCTTAATCTTAAGTTTTCCTCTTCTTTTCAGATATCTTTAACCATCAGATGGGAATTACAAGATAGTTCAAGTGAAGATATCGTTTGCGTTGAATTTCCTGTTCAACTTATATAAAGTACAATATATAATGTAATTCATTCATTAGTTTAGTTAGTGTATAACAAACCATTTATCTTATTTTGCAATAAATTATGACAATGAAAAAAGAGGGACAATCATAAACTTTTGAAGACTTATTTTTTCATTTTTTTATCTATCAGGACAATTCCTTGTTTGTGTATTTTTAATAAAAAAAAGGACAGACAATAATAATTATTTCTTACTGGTTTCATCTTTGATGCATTTTGTTTGATTGATTAGTAAAACTCTTTCTGATCAGAGAAGGGTTTAGTGGAGATTTTAGTAATTTAGTAGTTGAATTATTGAGTCAACAGAAGCTAGACCAACATCGAAAATCTGGAGGCACCAGAAGGCCGTTTCATCCTAGTATGGGACTCCTCAGCAGTGCGCATCCACGACCAGTGGTCTAATGGTTAAGTGCTCGCGCGAGAAACCAGTTGGTCCTGGGTTCGAATCCCGCGGGGTCGTGGATGCGCACTGCTGAGGAGTCCCATACTAGAACGAAACGGCCGTCCAGGTTTTCCATGGTGGTTTAACTTCAATTGACTCATGATTTCAATCTGTGTAATATTGTTTTCTTTATAACAAACAGGAAAGTGGGGCATGTTGCCCTTACTATCTCTGTAATCCTGAGGTTTGAGGTCATAAATAAGACATTGGTCTAGTATTATCCATAAACTTTAAGTTTGAGTCAAATTACTAGATTTATTTTTGTTCATCTTTCATCAGTGTTCACTGTAGACACCAAAGTTCGAAATACCCAATAATCCTATTTTTACTGTGTTGTGTAACATTTTTGTTCACTGAATTTGTGTCAACTTGTTGTATTTGATATGTGGATGAATTTTTCTCTGTAATGTTAAATCGAACTTGATATAAACATACTTGTCGTTGATATGGCAGTCAAATAACCTGTCTTTGAAAGGGGATGTGAGCATCGCTAATCAATTGGGTTTCGGAATAAAAACCATTCGAGCGCGATTGTAAATTCTTCATGATTTCCTTTTTATGTTGCTAATTTATATTTCCTCGAATAGCATCCTCGATGCCTAATCTTATCACTAATACTGTTACTAACTCTACTACTCATCTCGCTGTACTAATGCGGCATGGCAACTTGAAACGATGTACACACGTACCAAGTTCTACGTTGCGCTTGACTGACTAACGGGTTTGGCAATCCACAAAATGTTGAACTAGTTACCATACAGTGCTCCTCGACTTTTAATCATTCCTGAAATGATTTTTATTAATAGTATTAACAGTAATTGAAGAGGGGATAGTAACTAGACATAATTACTGAGTAGACTGAATTGACTGATCGTATTCAAACGATTATAGAATGAATCTTTTTTAAGATTTCTCCGTACTTGAAAATAAAAATCGTTTATTTGTCTATTCGGGTTAGCGTTTTTTTAGCAAAGTTGTTTCCTACGGCAATACAATGAACAAGTTAGATGCAACTAAACTATTTGAACCTCGCAGATCACCTAGCTCTTCTATCACACACACACACACACCAAGAAATGCAGGTGATGACAACTAGTGTAGCAACAACCTCTGCATCAATAAGCCTCAACATACATAAGACAAGAACCAAGATACTCAAATACAACACGGAGAACATCAACCCAATCACACTTGATGGGGAAACTCTGGGAGATGTGGAATGCTCCAAATATTTGGACAGCAGCATCACTGATGAACAAGAAGCATCCTATTTAGACTTAAAGGCGAGGGTTGGCAAAACAAGATAGTTCTACTGTACTGGAATGAAACTTGGAAAGTCACCAAAACCATAATCAAAGATGTACAAGTATTTATAAATGATTATCTACACAATATACTCAATGTTGATTGACCTGATACTATCAGCGACAACCCACTGTGTGAGAGGACAAACCGGCTTCCACTTGAAGAGGAAATTAAGAAAAGACTCTGGAGGTGGATAAGACATACATTGTTGACACCATCAAACTGCATCACGAAGTATTCACCAACATGAAATCATGACGGGAAGCTGAGAAGAGGAATAAGAAAGAACACATTACGTCGGGAATTCTAAGCAGATATGGAAAGAATGAATATTAACCGTAAACAGCTGGAAAGGATTATGGAGGACAGAGTTGTCTGGAAAATGCATGTGGTCGACCTTTTCTCTCCCATTAGAGGGTTAGAGGCGTAAATAAATGAAAATAAGCGTTAAATTTTAATTATACAAAGTTTGTATTTAAATAAAATGTTAAAATAACATTGATTCATGCATATATCATTACAGTTCATAGTCATTGTCATTCGTCATATGAACTGTAAATATGCATCACTCAGATGTCATCTAAATCAATGTCATATTTTATACATGCCTATTATATAATCAGATACTGTATAATGTTTGTGTACTGTTTGTCTCAGTTAAGAAAAAAATCAATAATACCTAAATAAGGGAAAATCAATCAGTGAGTTTCCAAGTCATTTATTTTCAACTGTTGTATATTGTATGTATTTGTGTATGTCTGTAAGTGTGTATATGTGTGTAATTAACCATTAACCATTTTTTGAACAATAGCACCAGGGAAACTGTAAAGAAATAAGAAGACAATTAAACAAACCAAGAATATGACAAAAATTTTGATCAATATCCACTTTAAACGATATTTGACTAAGTAACGAAGAGTATTCAATGGACCAAGGAATTTCATAAATGATGCATCTGGTCGACTAAATATAAAATAAAATGAAAACAATGATTAATATTTAATTTTGTTAAGATCAATACAAATTGAATACTATGATCAGACCTAAATTATGGATACACTGAAGACTAGAAAACTGTTCCTGTTTAGTAAAAGACTATTTACCATTACGCATTCGCAATCCCACAAGAGATCAAACCCCATAACTTTTAGTTTCACGTATAGACGCTTAATTTTTAAACCACTAAGATAAAATTCCATGTCAGTCAGTTAGTAACAACTTAGAACTTCGTACGTATGTACATCAATTCGAGTTGTCATACCAAATTAGCACAGAGATGTAGTTGTCGATTCGAATCCCGTAGTGGTAGAGGTACTATTAATTATATTCGATAACTAAATAATTTAATCAAAACATTTTACCCTATTCAGAAGTAGTTAGATAATTAAACCGGTTTATAATATTTTGAAAAAAAAATTCACATGCATCATTCTATAATTCAATTGTGGATGTCATAAATTTGGCAATAAACTAGAACTTAAAAGATAAACGATTTCGTGAAACAAATAGGACTATTATCCCTATCACTATTGTTTGCATGGATACAATTAAAATGATCAACATCTTATCATCAATATGGTAACAAGTTGTTTTTTTTAAAATGTGAAAATATTCGATATGAAATTTTTCACTTGTCAAATATTGTGTATTTTTGTAGTTAGAGTATGAATCAGTCAGTCAGCTACAACGTAGGACCAGGCACATATACATATACACACATCTAGATGTGTGCTTGTTAAACTACTAAAATTGTGGTGCCTTCTAGGTGGTCAGCTTTAAGTATTAATGATTCGATGTAGTTTATTAAACAACAATGAAGTTTCATTATTGAAGATGATTGACCATAAGTATCTTATTTTCATTGTTTTTAAACGGTTAGTCGTTCGTGATAGGATTTACAAGCGAGAGAGAAAAATCAAAGTTGTAAGAAAAGTTTTAGATTGGTCCAGTCATACTGACTGGCTAGACCAGTATAAGTATTTCATATTCCTTGATTAACAGGATCGTGAATATGTAGAGGCCAATTTCCTCTATATCTGACTCCAATAAATAGTATCCTGTTAACTGAGTATGTAATGCAGGCTAAATCTCCTAGTAGAATTATGGATTTACTCGAGATTATTCAAAAGCCTGGATATCAGTTATAGAGACAGTTTGTTGTTAAAGATTGGTAAAATCCGCAAGCGTACAAGGAGTAAGCACACGGAAACCAAGTGAGTATGTGGTTGTATGTGTTAAAAATCCATATATATTTATAAGTGTTAATTGGTTGTGGATAAATTATTGATTGTCTGTGTGTTACAACCAGTGAGAGAATAGATCAAAGATTGATGTGCGACCACGTGCTCAATCAGACTCATGCAGAAAATTACATAGTGGGTTAAGTGTCTATATTACAGTGAGCAGATAAATAATACAGTAGTTGAATGGGCTTACTACAAATACTCACTCCTGGGGAGTCCTATACTAGAACGGAATGGCCATCCAGTGCTTCCAGGTTAGGGTTAATAATTATATTTTAACATTTAAAAGGTTTATTATCAGTATTTTTGACTTCGTGTGACTAATCTCAATGCTCAATTATAAATAATCATATTTCTTTAAAGTTCTATCCGTATAATTCACTTAATGTCAGAAGTGATATAAATCTTATAGTCTACATTACGCATCGACATTAGCTGATGATAAATATATTTTTGTGATGTCCCAATGAGTAGAAAGATGTATTTCTGAGGATTTTCCAATTTATGTAAGCCACTTCTTCAGAGTAGTTAGATAGCCACTGAAAATCGGGGAACCTTGAACAGCTGCTTTTTCTCGGTGTAGAACTCTCATATAGTTCATATAGATGAGCAGGTCACTGAAGATAAGTTTATTATTTAAACTATAAGATTCAATATTCTTCACAAAATTAGTCGTGTACTCACAAATTGCCGGATTTTTTTTGAAAAGTTGTGACTAGTGAGATACGAGCGTGGTATTGGATTCTAACTCATTGATTTAAAGAAGTAGATTTCGTCACAATTGATTGATCACTGGGTGGTGATCAGTGTCATGTGTGTCAAGTCCTTATTTAGTGCAGATCGAATGTTATCGACCATGGTGCAATGTGGCCACCAGTCTAGGTGACTCAACATTGCGGGCACTATATATTGAGATTTAGATGGTGGTTGAAGGTAGTCGACAGGAAACCCTGGACCCGGGTTTTGTGCTACTTGGCACTCGTCAGCAAGGTGTACCTGTACCTATAATCCAGGGTTTCCTGTCGACTACTTCCAACCACCATCTAATCTCAAGTAGATTTCGTCTCCAGGTCTGATAGACCTGGGATCAGTCTTTAGTAGATTTGCGAATGCACACTTGAACAGCCTTATATCAATACAAGGCCATTATCCAATACTTCTTGGTTTGCAGTGGCAGTCTAACTAAGGTTATTTAGCTACATAAACCATAAAATCCAACAATCTCGATAAATCCTTATGTTAAATATATGATATTGTCTACCACTCAGTAATCAATCTGTGTAAACATCTCAATCATATAAATAGTCAATTACAACTGGAGCATATCAGCGATATCGTCTCTAACTAAGATATTGATTAACGTCGATTTTAATTCCACATTGAATATCAGTTGCTATAAAACTGAAAATACAATTTGTACATGCTAATAAATTTGTATGAAACATTGATCCACCATTGTCAAACATTCATCAACCTGATAATAATAGTAATCATTATTTGTATACTTTAAAATAGCTTAAATTGGCAATTGTTTATGTTACCATGGTAATACATATACATTAATAGATCAGCGGACCAACAGCTATATTTAATACATATAATCAAATCAAATGTGTATAGTTGTGCATTTAATTGTTTGTAACTTAATAATTTAACTTAGATGAACTGATAGTAACTAAAATTAGTATTTGTATAGCATGAATAATATATCATGAATTCATACATGTATAAACATGTGTTAGAGACAGATTTTTATATTAGATACATCACTTCATTATAGAGATGATTGGAATTATATAATGAAAGTTTAGTGCATAATAATTAAATTATATATGGAGTTGTTTCGAATGATCGATTAATTTTAAATTTCACATAAGACGAATTCAATGATCAATTCAATCTACTGAATAATTGAATTTGAATAGTTGAATTCATAAGTTAATTGAAGCTAGATCACCTTGGAAAACCTGGAGGCACCAGAAGGCCCTTTCATTCTAGTATGGGACTCCTCAACAGTGCACATTCACGATCTCACTTCACGAGATTCAAACCCAGGATCAATCGGTCTCGCGCGCGAACGCCAAAACTCTGGCTTCAATTGATTCATAAATTCAACTAGTAAATTACTGCAATCTCCGCAAAACCCCCTTCTGACAATAATCATCAGATGCTCACTAGTGACTGTCTCGAAAAGGTATTTCCTGAAGATATGATGAGAAGCCGTGACGAGAGGAGTTTAACCAGGTCTGTTGTGAGATAGTAAGTGACTGAATACAATGGTAGAGGGTGGGGCAATTTCGTGGATTGGTTGAAGTTAGATATTAACACTGATGGATTCCATGTAGAAGTTAAGCGTTGGTGTGCGAGACCGGTAATTCCTGTGTTCGGATCTCGTGGATTGGGATCGTGGACGCGCACTGCTGAGGAGTCTCATACTAGAGTAAAACGGCCTCCAGTTTTTCCATGTTTGTCTAGCTTTAATTGACTCATGAATTCAACTATTATAATTACTAAAATCTCTTCAAAACCCTATTCTGATTTTAGTTGAATTGTTTCTTAATCTTGTAGAAAAAGCAGACAAAATAACCATTCGAATATTAATAAATAAATGACCATGAATATTACTTTATTGTGTAAGTCGTCTACAATTAATAATCTCTTTAATTATCATAATGAGTTTGATTATTTTATTTATTTATTTGAACACATAAATATTGGCACAAGAGGGCACCAAGTATATATGCGCCACACCATATTTGTGTGTGTGTGTGCTGTGATACTGCCCGGGTGCCCAAACCTAAGCAGGTGGTTTTCTTAGGGGGCTACACCCCGAGCCTTTGACCTAAGGGTCTAATCTATAAAGCAGTGGAGCATCGTGAGGAGATTCAGTCCCATGGCAGCCGGTAACCAACGATTGGTTCATTCGCCATTTGTTCCTTCAGGATACTGGAGCTCATATGCACCATTGGTTTGGAATCCGGTTAAAGCGCCGGACATTCTCTTTTCGTCCTCATTTTTGTAAACAACAGTAATGCCACGAGAAGGCAGTGAGTAGGACTTTGCTGGCAGAGGCTATATACGCGTGGCCGTGTGAGGGCATTTCGAGAGGGGGGACAGGCCCACCCCACTCTCGGCCATACCAGGGCATTTGGGGGCAATGAACCAGATTTTAAAGATCAACTCCTTAAAGATTGTACCAATATCATCTTGATAAGTGTCAACTAGCATGAAATCTAGATTCAGGGTTTTTTGTTAAATACCTTCGATCTAATTAACATTTTATGTGTGCTTATGAACTACTTAATGAGAATCAAAATACCGTTAAAACGAATCCATTTTTATTTGGCCTAAAATAGCTAGTTATATATAACGGTACTATAGATTAGAAAGTCAGTTCTTAGATTTTGTTGTCAAGATATACCTGGTGAGTAGAAAATCAAAATATACTATGAAATCTCTGTCACTACCTACATTGAAATAAAGTATCAAACGAAGTAGGTAGATAATACAGAAAGCTATATTGTAGTTTCAGCAAAATGCTACATTATTCACCAATTGAGATGATTGAAAAATGGATGATATCAGGAGATGGTTGAAGATATCGGAAAACCCACATCTTGGTGGTGTTAAGTAATATAATTAATGATTAAAGGTAAATGAAAAAAACGTTTTATCTATATTTATTGTCATAAACCTTGTAGGCTTCCATACATAGAACTACTTATCATTTGTTATCTGCCGTTTTTCTTCACTTCCAATCAATCAACCCCCAAACCGTTTCCGGATAAATTCTATACTAGTACCAAGAAAAATATACTCATTAGAAATCAAACCTAGTGTTTATTGTCTGAGAAACAATAATGTCGTTATATAATAGACAACTGGGTCAAGATAAATCACTTTTTCAACGGGTGATATATTACTTGCGTTGCAGACGAGTACCAACTAGCATGAAGCCTAGATCCAATATTTCCTGACCACTGCCTCCAACCATTAACTCACTAGAACTTGGTCGATAGACTTCAATCAGCAATAAAGGACTAAAGTAAAATGACGTAGATCAGTATTTACAAGTTGATTAATAGCTTTTTCAATAATCAATTGACATAGTTTCATTTTGTTCATTTGCTTATTGTTGTAACTTAACCAAGAAAGTGAGCCAGTCTTAATCACTGACCAAAATATCATAGATAAGGCTTGCACACACGTACACAAACATTTATGCATAATAATGACAATAAACAATTGAAAGCCAACGAACAATTATAATAAATTACTCAACATACTCTGGTTTTGGCAGTCCATTGGGTTCTTCACGACCTAAGCCAGCAGGATTACTTTCGGCTTCAGCACTATTCAACATTTCCAACTGACATTCAACTTTACCCTAAAGTAATACATTGGAAAAAATTGAAAGGTGTTTGATTAAAACTGTACCAGCAATATCGACAACCGGAAAGTAAGAAGATTTACAGATAAAACCCATACTCGTTGTAGGAGCTGGTGGCTACTTGGACTCGGTAGTTATTTAGATAACGTACTAATGTTCAAATTAAAAAGCAATGGGTTAAAGTTTCAGCGTGAATATAAACACTTAGATGCAGGTAGATCCAGCTGACGAGTTCCAAGCATGACGAACTGCGCATACTAGATTCTACTTTTAAGCACTACCTAACTTCAACCAGAACTTATGACTGAATGACTAACTATACCTAGACATATAAACCAGTAGAGATTGGTCAATTTCAGTCCTTAAAATTAATAACGGAGAAACTCAAACCCTTGCAAATAAAGTATTTTATCAAAAAGGTATGTTATTGAGATTATCAGGTGTATCAAGATGAGTGGCAAACTATTGTTTCAGGTAAACAATGAACGTATTTCAGTGACTTATTAATAGAAGACGAACGTTTAAAAGGATGCAAGCACATCCAGCTGACGAGTCCCAAATGGGACGAAACGCGCGTCCTGGGTTCCACTGCTAGTCACTATCCATCTTTGCTTGTAAGAATTTTGTTTTAATTTAAAAATCCATGATTTTAATGTTTTCAAGGAAAAGTGTACATTTTTCCGCATTCAAACTATTCTAAACATCTCCTATTCCTAGTGTCGAAATCTTTCATCTAAAAGATAAAAAAAACAACGTAAAAACGATACTCGAAATAATGGACTCTAGAAACAGATAGTTTAGTTGATTATCGAATTCCTTCGATCTCATTCAAAATTGTTGACAAAAATCCTGGAATAACACCAGTTTTCCTAATCTTCCAATCTTATTTCAGTCAATAAATGTTACAGAGTGAATTATTGATTGTGAATATATCAGATGTTTATTAATTAGTTGAAATCAGTTGAGATACATATAAAAGCCATGGTACACTGAATAGATGATACTCTCCAGTATTGACATCGTCATATAAGCGCTGTAGTGACACTGACCGGTTTCAAACCAAGGATCTTCAGGCTTCATGCTAACCGCTTCAGTTTAAGACTACTAAATTAAGATTCATTTTTTGATACATAGCTAAGGTAAGTTCGCAATGTTTAGATAATTATCTAATGGTTTCGCATTGTTTGAACTTATATTTAATCACGAAATACAAATCAACAACAACCACTTTGAAATTTGAGCAGCTATCCTCAACAGTGGTACAGTAACATAAACCAATCGAGTTCAGAAAACGATTATCATTGGGTCCTAACTTATCAGTTTCATGGTATCGTACATACGTTAGAGTTATAGGTCCGATGTGAGAGATAATAGGTGTTTATAGTAAATAGTACCAAGCTGAAATGAAGCGACATCTGAGTGATCCCTACTTTCGTAGAGTATTTAAATATTAACTACGAAATCGTAGTTCAGAATTGCATTCAATCCACCTTCGGTAAGAGAAGCGTTTAAACCATAACATATGAATCTTAGTTAAATAAATAGACGTTTATCAATTTCTGAGTTGTATTTTAATAGAATCCATATTTCGATTACGAATATCTTCAAAACAATACTCGGTATAATGGAACTACCGAGCAATTATCATTGATATTTGATTTTATGTAAATAATCAGAAATATTAATTACATTGATGAATATTCGTTATGTCAATTGAATTATTTGAGACATAATTCACATACAGTTACCGACTGTTCTAGTTTAGCATAGGATCGAATGGGAAAAACACTAGAAATAGTCAGGTCAAGAAATATTATTAATTGTTGATGTCACTAACTGTTATTTTCAACCGTCTTAATAGATACTAATGTCTTGATTTAATTATGAGAAATGTTCGTTATCTGTAATTGAAAATCTTAGGTAGTATAGTTTAAAATAGGTCGAAGTGGTGCTTAGGCACTTATAATTTATCCTTATTTAATATCCCGACCGTTTTTGCTACCTTGACGTGGTGGTCGGGCTTGCCCATCGTGATGAAGCAACCGAGCTTTACTGGCTTGAACAACCGTTCCTCAAGGTCCTACCATGTCAGGTCGGTTGAAGAGCGGTAAGACTAAAAGCAACAAACCCAAGGTCCGAAGGCCAAGTCGTACTGCTGACTGCGCAGATGCGTGATAACAGTAAGGTGTTTCCTTCAGACAACCAGCATCTGCAGCGATGCTGCCTTCCCAAAAGGAGGGGTGGGGTTAGAAAAGGTCGACCCTAAAAATGCACACCTCGCCTTATCCCACGGATATCCCTCTCCGGCGGTAAGGTCTCAACAAGTACGGAGCTGACACGAAAATTACTCATAAAAAGGTCGTGTGTGACCGACCTCATTCAGTTGTCCCTTGGGCACTGCGGTCACGCTCTCAGGTCACTAAGACCATCTCTAATCCGACTGCGCTTTCAGGTATCTCCAGAAGAACCCTTCCACGGTGTGGGCAACGGGGAAGTGATAACCGCCCTCATATTTCTAACAGCACTCAAGACTGACTTATTTAATATGGTACCTTGTACTTGTTTTAAGTTATAAATGAGACGAGTCAACTAACTAGCTCATTGGTAAATTGATATGGGATAGAAACTGTCATACAAATTCAAAATTTCCTTTATACAACTCTACTAAACGTGACAACTTAAGGAATAAATCAAAACACAAATTCTAATCACTTACTTGAACAACAATTTCTTCATCTTCTTCATCAGTAACTGGCCACCAACCACGTGCAGTTCTATTTTTAAACATTGAAAATTTTGGACAATCTGGTTCTAATTGATGTAAGCCACAACTTTTCGCAGTTTTTGCACATCGTGGCAAGGATGAAAGACGCATTGTCAGTGATCCTAGTAAAAGAATATCAAAAATGTTTTTTTTTAAACAAATCACTTAAACGATTTAATGATTAGGTGTTCATAACTTTAAATCAAGGTTATATTTATCGTAACTGTTATTATTTATGATAGTTCTAGGTTTATGAATTATTTGCTTTTACGTGATAGATTTACACAGATTATTCTGTATCTCGTTATTGAATTAAAATTAAGGACAGACTTCAATGAAATTTCCACCCGTATGACTATAGATCGTCTTCTGTTTAAAAGAAGTTTTCAATCGTATCCATATAATCCATTAACTTTATTCACATAAATTTATCTTACTTCTGTCTTCTAACCTTGACACTGACCCTAGACCTAAATTCTAACTTCAACCCTAAACATCAACTAGTAGGGGTTTTGCTTCAAAATCGTATATAATGATTTGATAGGATAATCTCCAGGTTTTCAATGATGGTCTAGCTTTAACTGACTCATGATTTCAACCTGTGAAATTTCTAAAATTCTCCACAAAACCCATTCTGATGATAATCTCATTTTTTACAAGCACATTATTGGTACATCATCGAACTCAACAAACATACTGTAGCTCCAACTGCATTTACCAATTCATATGTACGTGCCATAGCACATACATTGGGAGAATTGAGAGAAGAGTACATGTTCGCATTTCTGAGCATGTTCCAAAAAACTTGATGCTGCGAGGAACTAAGGCTCTCAACAGTACAATAGCCCGGCATTTACTTAACACCGGGCATACCATCGACATTCCGCACGCTCTTAAAATTATCAGCAAACAAAGAAATACAACTGCTCTCCTTTTTTGCTGAAGCGATCGCGATAAAAAAAAACTTAAACAGGATTTATATATTCAAAAAGAGACAGTAGTAAACTTATTATTGCCCTGGTAATCCATTTTTATTTTATTCATTTATTTTTAAAATATTCATTTTGTTATATTCCTCCTCCGTTACTGAATTCTTAAACCAACTTTTCATCCACACATCTCCGCCCACTTACCCTCTTAATTCATGTTAACTTTTCAAACTCTATTCAATTATTACATAATCTATCTTATCACTGTTTTAATTCCATGAATCCTTCACTACCTCTAAAATTATCACACAATTTGTGAACTCCACTCAACCACTACACCACCCATCCTGAATTGTTTCCTTAATTATAACACCAATTAACCTCTGACCTGTTCTTACATATATATAGTTATTATTGTAAACCTTGGTCATTCCAATCTTTAACATTCACTTATATCAATTATTGCATACTATTTCTTATCTCAATGTAAAATTCTATTACATATCAGTGGTTGTAATCAGCTGACGAGAAACCTAAAAATATTATGAATTCACCCTATTCTGCATCAACATTTGTTCTTGCTTCATTTAGATACTGTAGACAGTCAATATAGGTACTTGTATTGTGCTCCATGGTATTGAAATCATTTATTGATATCTCATTTTCACGTCTCTACAATTTCTTCTAGCTAGATATCTCCTTTGTTTAGAATTATTTCTTATCAATTATATTATATTCACTTTCATTCTCATTGTTCACTTTATTACTCTGCGATATTGTTTTAAGAATATCCACCTTCAACAATTAGTTATTTAAAAATATTCAACAATACAGAATAGATGGAATCTAGAACACACATTTTGTTCTACATAGGACTCGTCAGCTGGATATACCTGCATACCAGAGTTGATATTCACACTGAGATCCGAAACCAGTACTGTTCGTTACAAACACTAACACTTCGTACATTCAAGTATTAGATCCACATAAATACTCAGTTGTACGAAGACTATGAATTTTGATTTAATTTACAATGGTTTGAATTGTCTCGTTGTTGATATTTTGAATGATGATCATTTTCGGTTGGAAATCCGCATATGATGCAAATATGCCAATCAAGGCTGATTGAACCTCAGTCAAAATATTAACAAACAAATAATCCAAACCACTAGAAACTAAATTATTTAATATATGGGTGTGGATATTGTCTAATTTTCACTGAAATCATGAATCGATCTAAGTTAGATCACCATTGAAAACATGCAGCACTGGATGGCCGTTTTATTATTATTATTATTATTATTATTATTATTATTATTATTATTATTATTATTATTATTATTTAATGTCTTTATTCAATATTATATTTTGGTACAATATAGAATTCTCAACACAGGGTATTTCAACAAGTTTCTTACACAAAAAATAGGTCAGAACCAAAGAAAAAAAGGGGGGGAAAGGTTTTAAAGAAGTCTGAAAAACTGTACAACTTTTCAAATTAGAGACATGTTAAGAATGCAGGTTATTGACTAGACTGACTCTAACAACCTGTTTGTCACAGAGTATATTTGCTAGGTAAGGTATTATAGAACTTTTATACTTTTGCTTGCGTGCACGGATTTTAATGTAATTAGGTCTCGTTCAACCAGAAGATAAACAAGGAGAAAGATAAGAGTGAAGGGGATGGTTAGTATCTGATAAAATAACACTTGCCAGGAGTTTGTATGATTTTAAATGTCTGTCCACAACCATATTAATTATGGCCTCGAAAGATTCACCACACATCTTGCTAACTGCCTTCAGCACTCTCCGTAATCCAGCAAAGTCTTTTCTGAGAAGCCCGGGAAAGAATAATGGAGAACGGTAAAGGGTAATAGGTAATATGCAAGAATTCACAAGTTGTAAGAGTAAATGACGAGTAATCCCAAGAGCATGCAATCTATTTATGTAGTAGGTCAGACGGAAAACCTTCTCCGATAACGATAAAACGTGGGAAGACCAAGACAGATCAGAGGAAAAGGTGACACCAAGATAATTGACCTTCGACACTGAGTTTATCAAAGAGTCTCCGATGGCACAAGCATTATGGGATCTCAAAATGGTGTTTAGATGCCGTTCATGTCTCATGCTAAAGTTAACAGCTGGACATTTGGAGGGATTAAGTATGAGACCATTACCAACAGACCAACAATCAATACGAGACAAAAACTCATTCATTTCTATGGGATGTAAAGAGGAAGATATAGGCATACATACAGTGACATCATCCGCATACTTCACAAAAGTGTTTTCTGTGGAAGATGGCAGGTCATGCAGAAAAAAAGAGAATAGAAGAGGTGAAAGAACAGCTCCTTGTGGTACACCTTCCTGAGACAGTAGAGACCTGAACACTTTCCTTCAAACACAGTGTACTGTTCCCTTCCAGAGAGGTAGGAACATAGCCAGTTGGTTATCCGTTTCCTGGCGGCCTGCTTGAATATCTGGGCTACCTGTTTCTGCCATCTGATTATTTCAACAAGTTATCTGTTTTTCATTTGTTTTAATTTATAATTATGTCCATTAATCGCATAACTTATTCAGGCGCTTTTATGAAAAGCCTACGACCTTTCGCTGCACAAGTTACGAAAAAGTACTATAAAAGGCAACGTGGTGGTTGGCAATATGCATTAAAGAGAATGAACATTAATCGTATGCCAATTCCCGAGCTGCTAAATTCAGACTGCCGATCATTAATCAACAAAGTGGACTATCTGCAATTCCTACTTAGTCAAAATATGTATTGTAATTGTGGTGTCATCACAATTCAAGAATCTTGGTTGAATGATTAACAGGATGACTGCCTTGTATCACTACGTGATTTTAAAATTTATCGTCAGGATCGATCGAACAATAAAAAGAGGTGTGGTGGCGGTGAAGCTACGTTTGTAAACATAAACTGGTGTCGATCTTCGTTTGTGTGTTTTAAGTTTTCGTCCTAGCACATGAGTTATCGGCAATGAACGTCCACAATCCAGCATACAAGTCTCAAATTCAGGACCTTCGGTTTCGCGCACGAACGATTAACCTCTAGACCACTGAGCCAGTATATATGACAATACTTTTTAATCATAGGAATGTAAAATGGAGCCCTAACAATCCATCTTTTTAAACTTGAACCGTATATATAAAGCAGATATATGCTTCCAATTATTCATCCATGACCCTATCAGTTAATTTTCATAAACCGTAATTTGATTTTAATACATCTTCCTGACGTTTTCAATATTCTTAATGTTAATTATTTGTTATTATCACTTTCACGTTTTTAATTGAATGTTAACCTTTCTCATACTTGTCAAGTGAACAATTAATCTTCTCACATTTGATTTCATCATATTATCTCTCTTCAATTCTCTTTTATATTACGTAACTTTCTTTGACATATAACATGATGTAATCTTTCTCCTATCTTTCAATGGATTATTTTATTTGTAAATTAACTGTAAATACGATTGAGTAAATGATATAATCTTCTAAAATGAACTCATTGGGAAAAGATTATCGCGCCTGGCGCGACACTGATAGGTCCTGGGTTCGAATCTCGCGAGGGGCAGGATAGTGAATGTGCACTGCTGAGGAGTCCCATACTAGGACGAAACGAGCGTCCAGTGCTTCCAGGTTTTCAGTGGTGGTCTAGCTTCAATTGACTCATGATTTCAACCAGTGAGATTTCTAAAATCTCCACAAAACCCATTCTGATAGTGTCTTAAATTGTCTGAACAAAATGATGACGTTGTTTGTTCGTTAAGTTAATCAATAACTACTCTACATACTTGATATGACACAATAGAATAAGCATTATGAAGTGAATAGTGATAGTTCTTTTGAATACCAAGAATTAAATAGTTTGGAACTCTTTAGTCGTGTTCATTAATGATCTAAGTTAGTTGAAGTTTGCCATAAAACATTGACTTATTGGCTCACTATGAAATTATGATGGTCTTGAGTTTAAGCTTTTATGAAAGTAAGCTACTGAAAAAGTCTCTAAATGAAATGAAAAGTTATTGAATGCTTCCGCTTTTTTCAAAGGTTTTAAAGTTAAATTTAGTTTCTGATAACAGTTATATCTGAACGAAAAAAGTTTGTCCAGTATTTCATTGTTGAAATTCTTCAAAAAATTTGATATCTATTAAACGAATTCTCTGGATCTTTGTACTTCTATCAAGATAAATATGAGGAATTATGAATCATCCTGTCATGTATAATGGATTACAGTACTCCATGAATCAGAAATATTTACAATTGCACAAGCAGGTGGCTATCAGGACTCAATAGCTCTGTGGATAATGCGATAGCGTTTAAACCGAACGGTACTAGGTTCGATTCACGGGGTGAAAGTCGACCTCGGTATGCAAGTACATCTAGCTAACGAGACCCAAATAGGACGAAACGCGCGTCCTGGACTCCACTGCTAGCCACTAAAACGCTTGTGACTTAAGGCACTATCGAGGCACTTATGCTAACAAGAGACTGATTAATTGCAGTTCTAAATGGGAAGATACAAGTAAAACAACACCAGGTGAATTTAATATTCACAATGTTTTAATAAGTGATAAGAATAAGATTTCATTCATTGCCATGTATAACTATATATCAAAATGGACGTGGTTGGAAGGAAACCCTAACATATAAACATATTATCCTCGATGTCAGACAGTTTGAATGGTCTATGTTTAATTAAGATAAAGATGACCGTTGAATGAACTGGTATAAAGTTTATCTTTGTTTATAATTCATCATAGAACATCCCCATAAAATTGTCTTTACTAGTGACAAAATTTGATATAAATACCTTAAACTTTCTGCTGAAGGTCTTGTCGAACAAAATATACTAAGTTGAATATGAGACAGAAACTCAATGATAACATTCGATGTAAATTTCACTATTTTCTAAATCAACCGTAATTGGTAATGTGAAACTATGAGTTTCCACTTATTGGATTAAAAGTAATATACAAGTCAGGACACCTGAAGATCATGGTTTCAAGCGTATATATAATACATACTACTGATTCTTACTACATTAAATTACCAATATACTTTGATCATTACAAAACTTGACCTAATGCAAATGAAATTAAATTCATTGTGAAATAACTTACCAATAAAATTATCTCTTGTAATAATATCAGCATCCCATACTTGTAATGTCAATTCACAATTAGCTTTAATCATATGTGGTTCAATATCGAATGTTCCTTTAATTGGATAAATGATTCTATCTTCTGCTTTAATATAATCAAATGGAAATATAAAACGCCAATTGAAATTTCCTTCACCAGATAATGATCTAAAATTAAAGTTGATGATAAGAAATGAATAGAAGATTTATAATTGAGTTTTTGAAGTACTCAATTGTCAAACAATATATAACAGATTTATGCCTTAATTTTTGAAAAGGAATGTGTTAGGAATGAAATGTAGTCTAAAATTGATTCATCTATATTCTTCAAACATATTCTGACATAAATGGTACTGATACTCTTAAGGATTATACTTACATGGTAGATTGTAAACTTAAAATTTACGATGATTTTATTCATTAAATGAAATCAATGAGAAACCATTGAAAAACAAGAAGCGCTTGATAATCATTTCGTCATGGTTTGGTAGTCACAGATGTTACTTAGAATTGAATTGAGGTAATTTTAAAGTTCTGAAGAAAATAACAACAATGGTATTATTTTATCCTGTACTACATGAGTATGGGGATTTGTGGAGATTGTAGTATTTTCAAAATTGAATTTGCTTGTCCCGCGTGTAAGATCATGGGTGCCCACTGCTGAGGAGTCCCATACTAGGGAGAAACGGCTTTCTTTTGTTTCCAGGTTCTCAATGGTGGTCCAACTTAGATTGACTAGTGAATTTAACTTTGAAAATCCGTACTATTTCTTTCTTTCTTCAATTCACATTTACATAATGATAATTACACAACAGTATCATCATCAATGTTCACCCAGTAACGAGAATTAAATAAGAGTTATAAACCAGTGCGATGGATTATAATTAGGATTTACAGTTGATAGTTAGGGTTAAAAATTAGATTTAGGGTTTTTATCATTAACTAACATCAGCTGAAATGTCAAGACGCTATTTAGTCAATTGGATGAATGAATTTCACACTGAAATCCAAGACCTGTTACCTTATATCTGATTGGATTGTCCATAAATTATAGTTTGGCCAAAAAGGTTTAAAACGGGAATGAAATAGTTTTACACCACTTCTCACTGGTCAATAGCCATATAACTAATTTTAGTTCATAATAATAATTTGAATTAAATAAGCTAAGAATAGCACATAATAATATTAGGTTACATAGTAGTAACGAGTATAATGTTTTCTAGTCCTTAGTGTTGATAATAGAGTATTCTAATCTAAATGCTATGTTAAGTGCTCGCGTGCGAAACCAGTAGGTTCTGGGTTCGAATCTCGCAGTCGGCGAGGTCGTGGATGCACACTGCTGAGGAGTTCCACACTAGCACGATACGGCCGTCCAGTACTTCCAGGTTTTCCATGGTGCTCTAGCTTCGACTGACTCATGATCGTAACCAATTAAATGATATGTCTTGAATGAATATTTAATTCAATGTTTAATAGTCTTAGGTCGGTTACTGACCTACGGGGAGCATTATTTCTCGCAAGAATCTGAATATGTTTATATACTTAAGTCTAGAGTTCAACTGTCTCACATCATATAACAATATTATTTCTAATCAAATCATAAAGTAAAGTAACTGTAAAATGTACAAAACTGTCTCTGTTACCATTTCGCCAATCAATTTTTGTATGATACGCTGAAAGATTCTAAACATATTATATGTATGTGTAAAAACCAAACACCTCATATCCGCCCTTAAGGTCAAATGGTAGGTCAGATATCACAAACAAGGTGGTAGATCATTTGAGAAAATCGATTTAGTCATGGTCACAGACCATATATATGTTAACCAGTTACAAGTGAATAAATGTGTGAATAGCTGTGATTCCTGTACATTATTCGTTCGGCTTTTCATTCTAGTCGATTATGAATCCTTTCTCTTGAGTTACTAGTTGAGAAAAAATATAGGAGGCGAGTGAATAGTGTAGCTCAATCGAACACCGAAGGTCATAACCTTACATTTTCATCAACAGGGCACTTATCAAATTGTTCTTCCGTTGTAGCATTGTGTACTCTAAATTCAAAGATTTCTTTAAGTTCACTGTCTTTGGTAATTTCTTCAGATATTGACAATCAACTATAAATGTCTAACATGGTTTTCAATCAAAGATTGTCACAAACGTTTATGCTGAAATGTTAGATATAATGATCTTAGTTCATATTTTACTTGTGCAGATGGAGTTATGGGCGAGATTATAATTTATGAACAAATTAGTCAGATATAAGATAACGAGTGACGAATTTTGGCGCGAAATTCACCTATAGTGTAGGTTATTATGTTAAGCTCATATACTTCATTCTAGGTTTCGGACAGACCATTTCATTCATTCTACTTCAGTCACATTCTGACCTTGTTAATTATTCGCTTATCAATCTTGATTGCTTTTATATGAGCGTATATATGTGTGTACATTTCTTATCCTATTACTCATCACATGTCTGTAACTTACTTTTGTGTAACAATAAATATTGATTAACGCTCGGTTAAATGGGAGTTGGCTTACCAGCCATCTCCATTGCGTGTCGTTTCTCTTATCTCTATTCCTTTCTCTTCGTATTCAAAATATATGTACTCACAAGTCCATTCTCGTTATTTGACTTATCCAAATCCGTTATTGACTAACGTGATTTAAGTTGATGATTATATACGAGGATAGGCGATAACAAACATTTATACGATCTAATTGGAATCAGACCCATAGGCCACTACAGTGGAGAACCCTTTCGATCTAAATGACGACACAAAATAACGGGCCCCACATATTCATACATTTAGCTAAATAAAATTTTGTCATTATAATTGATGTCAGTTCGTGGTGTAAATCCTAAATCTAATTTTTAACCCTCATTTAGTTCTAATCAGTTAATGTCCTCCTTCAAAATTATTTAAGTGTCGCACAAAAGTCGTCCATAAATTATAGTCTCATCGAGTTATAAAATGAAATCATAAAAGAATTTATAATCACCAACATTGTATCTCTGTTATTTTTCTGAGAGATTTGAAATCTATAGCAACTCATGTGCAATTGAGTTTGTTCACATTTAATTCGATTAAGTCAACTTATTAACGAACTAGAGTCATCCGTACAACAATAACTTACCGATACCATTGTATCTTTATTACTATTGCGAGTGTACGAACATGTATGCTTGAGCATTGCTTATCGCCTACTCATTTATTCACGCTGCCAGCCTTACTATTAACCGTTTAATTGATTCGATGATTCATTCATTTCACTATGTATATATATGTCCATGTTATTCATGTTCATTGCTCTCTCTATCTCACTTAATTGTACTCGCTCACTCGTACTCATATTCGCTGACTCACTCGTTTGCCTTTCAGCACAACTCTTTCATGCTTGTTTAACGCATCTGTAATTTTGGATATCTGTGTGTGGCCTTCTGTATAATATACCGTTGGGGCGTTATCTAGTGACGGTTATCAAGATGAACTGTATATGAAGTTTAATGATTATATTGAATACCGACCACCATAATCTCTTAACATATCGAGAGTGTAAAAAAGCCCAAGTACCAAGAAGTGATACAGGCAACATAAGAATATTCATAACATTAATTTAAACAAAACACAACATTCGATGATATAATCAGCTATCTATAAATATTTCACTAACCTATAATGAACATCAGTTTTTTGATCATCAATTCCAACACCTTTTACCCATCCTTTAACATAAATATCAGAACTTCTTTCAGAAGAGAATAATGAAGTGTCAGTGAGTTTTACCTGGAAGTTTTGATTAAAAAAAAACGAAGATGCAATAAAATTCGAGGAAAAATTCCATTCTTAACTTAGTGAATATGAGATCAACACACAAGTGAGAAATATTGTTTTGAATTGAATTTTCATCAGGCTTACATTTAGAAGTATTTCTATGGATAATATGAAAACAATATAAAACAATCAAGTCAATTTATTAATTTATGATAATAGTGAAACGTTGTATAACTAATCATGTTGATTTAGTGATTTAAACATTAGGCACTAGATGTAAGACCTTAAGGTTCCGAGTTCGACCTCAGATGCGACCATCAGTAAGTATTGTTGATGAGTTCCATACTAGGATGAAATGGCTATTCAGTGTGTTTCTTCGTTTTTAGCGATTATCTTACTAAAATCAGTCTTTGATTGAAATCATGAACCGATGGGTGGTAGACCACCATTGAAAACCTGAAAGCACTGGACGACTATTCCGTCCTACTGTGGGACTCCTCAGCAGTGCGCATCCACGATTCCGCTCGCGGCCTTCGAACCCAGGACCTTCAGTCTCGCGCGCGAACGCTTGACCTACTGGACCACTGAGCTGGCATCCAATTGTGTTAATGTCTAACCTCAATAATCAAATCAGTCTATAATACAAACGATGAAATACGGTAATTATTATACCACAATAAGTAGAAGGTACAAATCGATATTAACATGACAAATGTAACAATAGTAATTGTAACAAAACATTTTCAACAGGCATAATATATAAAATGTGGTTAGCAGTGGGAACTAGGATATGCGTTTCATCCTATTCGGGACTTGTCAGCTGGATGTACCTGGATTCAAAAATGGATATATCGAGGCAATCTGCACAAGACTCATCTACTTCCAGTTAAAAAAAAACAACGAGATAATGCAATCCATCTCAAATTGAGTCGAAATTTGAATCGATGTTACAACATAACAAGTATTTCAAAACCTGAAAAATGAGCATTAAAATAGCGGTCATTCGTGGCAAACGTTGAAAACTACGAAATTCACCTGTCTCCGTAAAAATATGACATTAATACTAATTATGTGCTTAAAGTCTATTAGGCATCACTCATTTACCCACTTACGGTATTGGGATGTAGTTTTTAAATATCCCAAGCTGCTTGAAGTTACACCTGTGGACTATTGAGTGCAGGCTCAATAATTTGGAGGTTAAGCGCTCACAGTGAGACCTTGATGCCCTGGATTCGATCCCGGTGACTCCATTAATGGGTGGTGTCTAATATTAGAACGAAACAGCTGGTTGGTGATCTTGGTTTCCAATGGCTGTCTAGGGTCATTTTGTGAAGTAAACTATGAAACTTTTTGATGGAGTTTTATTCTCTGAGCTGGATGATTTGGTCGTCGAGCTTTTGGACGACATCATCAGTACAAACTTCAGGTAGAAGTAAAGTGTTAGAATTTCTCCACATATGGCTCACACCTTGTCCTGTAGACATCGATCCTGATTAGTTAATCAATCAGAATAACGATGAAAGTTTGACGAACAAACCATCCAGTTCAGAGAACAAAACTCCATCAAAATCACCCACCTGAGCTACAAATCTTCTCCATCACCATGAAACTTTGTTTATGTTCATTTATGTCTGTTTTATTTACGTCCACATATATGAGAAAAAACAATGAAATAATCAATTCATCTCATCCATAGTCTCTATCTATCATAACTTTTCGATACTGGACATGATGTCAGAGTGTATATCACCAATAAATGTCCCATAATCTAAATCATTTCATTACGAAACATGCTACTATAGTCATAGGCCATGTTGTCATTAAACGTCAGTATAACTATCCTTGTGTGTTTTAAAACGATATTAATAAAGATTATCTTAGTTTAATTAACTAATATAAAACAATTTACATCAGCCGTATTCCACACAATAACACGTAATTCATATCCAGCTGGTACACGTGGTGAAATATTTATAGCCGGTGGTGGAACAGCAACTTCTCTTTCAAACATATCAATCCACATTTGTAGTCGACCTTGAATTAAACCTGGATTATCAGGATGTTTTAAAGAACGTGTTTCCACATGTTCACTAACTAATTTCAAATCTTTGTTTGTAATCAATGACCAATTATGTAATGCTTCTAAAGCCAATGGTTCTACTGATTTAACTGTTATACCTATAAAATTCAAGAAAATAGACTTAATAGTTAGAGAATTAACAAAGGTGATAAGTAGTATAGAATACACTATAGTTGCAGACTATTAGATTACGTAACGGTTTTAGTAAAATGAAAAAATAAATCGTTAGTTTAAATAATACGCAGTAGTTGGATTCTTTTATAAATAAAGTTAAGTAGACAGTTAGATATAATTTAAGTGTTCTTCAACTGCATTAAGAAGGTGATTAATCCATACATGAAACTTGACAACATTTCTGTCTAGTTGATCTGGCTAAACGTTTTTCTGTAAAAAGTTGACTTGGTGTTGTTTTAGTTGTACCTTCCCATTGTTATTTAAGATCGCAATTGATCAGTCTCTTACTGGTACATGGGAATCAAGAGTCTGTAGCTATGTGGATAACGTGATGGCTTTTGAAGCGAATGGTACTGGGTTCGAGTCCCGGAGTGAATATCAACTCTGGTATGCAGGCACATCCAGTTGACTAGTCCCAAATAGAATAAAATGCAAGTCATGGATTCCACTGCTAGTTACCACTCATCTTTGCTTAATAAGTTTCAGTAAATTCCAATACTCAGTGTGTTAACTGTCTTCTTTGAGTATTTTGGAAAGATCCATAAATTATGATGAATTTTTTATAAAGCTCGGTTTGTGTATTGTAATTTATGTGAATATATAACTTGATTGGTGTTTCCATTTACTCATCGGTAAACGGTTTTTACAATTAAAAGTATTTATAGTTTAATAATTTTACTAGTCATTACCATTGTGATATGTACTACTTATGTCGACATACATAAGTAGTATGTAATAATAATCATACATGAAATGCCTGTCAAAAGAAGGTTGAGAAGATTGAACTGAAGAAAACAGTAAGGGAAACATGAAGCAAGTGGAAATTGGAAGAATTATGAAGGGTGTAAAAGACAATCGATGAAAGATGTGCGAATAAAATATCTAATGTATGGTTTTCACATTTTACCACAGTACCAAACAATAAAATGGCTTTCTCCACCTAAGTGTTCGTTTACATCAAGAGTTTTAAGTATTTAAACATTACATGAGTGGAGTCATAAATTAACACACTCAGTATGTAGTTATGGCCCTAATTCATAAATAAGGCGGATGAATTATGTGGGAGGTTTCAAGTGTTAACGAGAATCCACAAGGAATTTTTAAGTAAAAAGGGATCTTAATAGACTAAACACTTAAAACCCTATTAATTTTATTTTACGATGATCAACGCAATATATATATTGACAGACAGAAGTGTACTACGTAGGATCTAAAACTACCTTAAACGTCTTTACGCCTTTTAATATGTCTCATTCTACTAATGAAATTATAGGAATGTTAAGTGTATAATCATCATTATTCCTGAGCCTCGTCATTCAACTTCCTTTCCAGGAGATATTTAACGTTGACACCGTTCCCAATGAACTAAAAACAGTCGAACATACAACACAATTTGGTACATGTATAACGATAAGCTTATCATAGTAATAATTGCTGTTATTGTTTTGTGCTCTCTATCTCTGTTTTCTTTTCTCGTAATTATTTCTACCAATTTCAATGTTTACTGTTAGGTCAGTGAAATAACACTGACCACTACTCAGATTTTTCTAAGTCTCAAGACCATCACTAGTCAACCGTTAGCATTCATGTAAAGATTTCGAATGAAAATTTGAAGTGACTTGTGTAAACGTTTCTAATTTCTCATTGAGGTAATTGCACTAAGTCATTCATTAGTTGGTTGATAGCCTGTATTTTTTAATAGGATAGGATGGGAATCATGTTATTGCCAATATTCACTTTACTAAATGATTGTATTGTAATAATGGGTTTATCAGTAACTAGATTAAAAACATATTTGTAGACCATGACGTTTTCTCAATTATTTTCGCCATTTTATTATTATTATTATTTCATTTCTAAATAGTTACGATTAAGTTTAACACTACTTGTAAGTAACATAAATTTTAAAGCTAAAATAATTTCCAACCTACCAGTTTCATTTCGGATTTCTGTATTAGCAAAAAACGACTCATTGCCTATGGTGATTTTATTTTCCAGTATATTATAAACAGGCTGCTCAATACCATATTTTTCACATAGCTTAGCTAGTATTTCCGTCGGTTGTTGACTGTCTTTCCACTGACAATAGCCATGACTGAAATTTTCAGGGAAGATTATAAAGTAAGGTATCACAAAAAATCTGATGAGTTTATTGAGAAACACTGATTTTCGATTTAAATCCCACTAATAGACTAGGTCTGATGTATTAACGACTTAAATAGGTCATTAGTTTCGTCCGAAGTTGTCGGAAGCATTAAATGATCTTAAGACAGAGGAAGTCTGTGCTTTGCGTCTATCGGTTTTCGAGTGTATGGTTCACGTGAAGCCGTTGCCTGTCTTCATTGGTATGTATAATTTCAATATCTAACCCTTACAGCTTAATACAACCATATAACATTAGTCTGACTTGATGTGTTAATCTTTATTCATTAAATTAATTACGTATCTACATCTTCATTGTGTTTTTAAAGCGTTAATGTCACTGAGAAACCCTAGCGGTAGAAATCGGTAAATTCTTAGCATTTTATCTTCATCATAATACTGTATTTTCGAGGAATCATGAGTCTCATTAGGTATCAACTGGGTTAGAGTATTTATACATATTAGACAGCGTATTTGATGTGAATGATGTTCAGTGTTTGGAGGTAATCTGTAGGAAATCCTGGAAGTGGGTTTCGTGCTAGTCGATATTCGCCGGCAACTATACGTGAGATTCGAACTGATATTACCCAACTTCACAAGCTGAAATGTCATCATTCAGCTATTCCGGGAGTAATTAACAGCCTGTTAAAATAAAATATTTACATTTGACTAATTACTAAATGAACTCTGCATGGAGCCCATCCGGGGGGCTACTGCCGGTCCTAAACTCGAATAAAGGATGTGGGTTGGTCACAGCAACCCCATCCAGTAGGAAACTAACTCGTTAACAAAACGCTAACAAGAAATCACTAAATGGCGATCAATATTGTCTTTTCCCAACTCCTATTTAGAATTAGATCTTCACTATGTGCATATTATGATGTAATTATGCTGAGAAATCCACATTGTACTGGAGATAAAATACTGAATGGAGCCATTGTTGTTATCATTATTATTATTATCAATGTTTTTATTGTTACAGTTATTGTAGTTAATAAATATATGCAGTTCAGTAACAGCTTACTATTTCGTGTATTCAGATTTTGATCTATAATTTTGTTTGGGAAGTAGTGATATCAGCTATTTATTCATCACACAAAATGATCACCTTCTAAACGCATCTCCAAACACTACCTCTCATGGTTTTTAAAAGGAGAATACAAAACAGTTACCAGTTCAGTACAACAGCATCTAATCAACTCTGAATACATCGCTTCAAAGGAGTCTTCCTTCAAAATAATCTACGCAATCAAAGGAACTAGATAGAAGGAAGGTCGAATCAAAAACCCATGCACTGCTAAGGCGTTGGCGATCCACCAATTCAAGCCATAGTTCTGTGCAACCTCTCATACTTCTTTGGCCCTAATTCTCTTCTGTAGTATGCTTTGATCTTGCCTTATTTTAAATTATTGTTTTGTAATCTTAAACCAAATTAAACTATAATTATGACTTTATGTTCTGCATTTTTCTCCGAATCTGTCAAGTGGACAATTATCTTTCATAATTCTGACCCCTAAATTATTTTCATTCTTCCGTTCTTCTCTAACCCCTCGATCATTACGTAACCTGTAGTGTCAGTTATTATGCTAAGCCCAAATACCTTATTCTAACGTTCGGACATCCCATTCTATTCATTCTACTTGAGCCATACTTTGACCTTGTTGTTTATTCGCTTATCAATCTAGACTGTTTTTATATTAGCGTATATGTGTGTTACATCATATCCCATGACTCATTGCATGTCTGTAGCTTTATTTTGTCTGACTATAAATATTGAGTAACGCTTGACTAAAATGGAGTTGGCTTCCCAGCCATTTTCCGTGGCATCTTTCCTGCGTGTCATTTTGCTTTGCTCTGTTTCATTCGCTTCATATACAAAATATATTTATTCACAAATCAATTCTCGTTATTCGACTTATTTAATTCCGTTATTGGCTAACGCGATTAAGTCGACGATTATACACGAGAATAGGCGATAACAATCATTCGTACGATCTTGGAGTCAGATCCACGGGCCACTAAAAACTCCACTTGATAATTGGAGTCTCGAACCAACTTATGATGCAATCTTTTCTATCCTTCTGTAGACTCATATATTAACCCTACAACAATAACTACTAATGTACAGCTTAACTAAATGATTTCGTCAAAAAGAAATTTCTTTGCTGAATTCTATCCATTTTTACTCAATGACACAATGGATTATTTTAATTAATTGTAGAAAGTTAAAGATTAATTAATTATTTAATACTTGAATTCATGAGTCGATTAAAGGCAGATCATCATGGAAAATGTGGAAACACCGGAGAGCCGTTTCGTCCTACTACGGAACTCTTTAACAGTAAACATTCACGATCCCACTCGCGGGATTCGTACCCAGGACCTTCGGTCTTGTTGAAGAGTCCCATACAAAGGACGAAACGACCGTCCAGTACTTCCATGTTTTTCATAGTGGTCTAGCTTTAATCGACTCATAAATTCAACTATTAAATTACGACAATCTCCATAAAACCCCCTTTCTGATAATAAATCATTGTTAAACTAATAATAAGTTTATATCACATTATAAATGAAAACTAATAATTATAAAATAAAGAGAACTTACGCATAATATTTAGGCATTAATCCACAAGTAGCACGATGAGCACTATGGAAACGATTTTCAATATCAATATGTGTTTCTCCAATCAATGTATCTGCTCCAACTCTTTCATGATCCATCATCTTAGTTAAGAATAAAAAGAAAACATTTGCCATAAGTTTCGATTTTATTATCTGATCAGTAATAAACTGTTTTATTTCACATCAACATGAAGTATAGATTGAATGAATTGAAGTAGAAAGAAAGGTGGATCTTATTTTAAAATGATCTCTTATTAAAGTCTATCCTAAAAACAGGAAACACATTTCAACCGAATAAGATGCTGGTCATTTTGAATGAACGTTTGAGTTGATAATGCTGTCTAGAAAGACAATGAAAGCTCTAAAATTATATTATCTAGCTCACAGAGGACATTTTCACTAAAACAGGAACACAATAAATGCTTCATAGCAACTTAAAAATCTAAACTTGTTATACAAAGTATTATAATCAATAATCGTGATTGTTGGGGGTGTCCCAAAATATCCTTTTGTTCAAATCTTTAGAGGAGAAAAAACGCCAGGGAATGTTTTATCCAATCAATGTTGAATAGAATCTCAGAAATCTCTAGAAAATACAGAATCACATACTACGATTTCGATTGGTCATTTACCCTTAATACTACCATATCAAGTATGATCCTAGAAATTATCAGAAGCTTAAGATAGTGTGTAACTTTATAAATGTCCTCGTTCTTCTGTACATCAACTAACCTTGAAGTAAAGCATTTGCTCAAAATTCACGCCCGCTTTCTAATGTTCTAGCTGGCGTGTAAAAGTAGTTTGAGTAATCGAAGTTGGTTAGAACAACAGTTTATGTATATCGGTAGCAAGACTTATAAGCAATAACCATAGTACACAAATGTAAAATGTTTAAATAGTAATAATAATAATAATAATAATAATAATAATAATAATAATGAATAATTCATATCAATTCACCTGTATACTAAGTAAAGAATCCATTGGTAAATGTGCTACAAATTCATAATATTTTCCAAATATCGGATTTAATGTTTTCGGTTTATAATCATCACGATCATTAATAACACATTTACCCAATGATACAATCAAATATGGATCAGATTTGCCATTTGGATCGGTTGGATGTAATTTAATTGCCTTATTAAAATAATTTTTTTAGAAAAATTTCTTTAAAAACAACAGAATTTAAATGGCAATATTTAAATGTATAATCAGTGATCTAGAGGTTAAGTGCTCGTGCGCGAGACCGTTGGTTCCTGGGTTCGAATCTGGCGAGGCATGATCGTGGATGCGCACTGCTGAGGAGTTTCATAATAGGACGAAGTGACTGTCCAGTACTCCTAGGTTTTCTATAGTGGTTTAGCTTCAATTGACTCATGATCTCAACCATTGAAATTGGTATGATTAATTCGTTTAAACAAGAGAGAATATATATATATATATATATAATCAAATAGTGTTATATTCAAGTTGGAAATCTTATGGTTAGTTTATATTTAACTGTTATTTGATATCTAGGTTATTGAATTATATTAGTGATGAGCATTGATATTGTATGATGAAGCTACAGTCCAAACAACCATATATCTTCTAGATAAGTATATTTTATGTAATTGTAGCTAGTATGGAAAGTGAGAATGGATAGTTGTTGGCTAGACAAACTTTTACGGAGATCAATGCTGAGGATATGACATCTTAGTTAATATTGGGAATCAAAAGTACATTCTAGACTATGAAAGTTGACTGCTATCAAACGAAGGATATTAGCTTTGAAATGATGACAATATTAACAAATTTAATCCTATTTGAAAGATAAATGAACTAGTTATATTTAGTAAATGAGAGAAGAAAATGATGCATATAGCAGGAATTGAACCCATATCACTCAGTGACAGTTAGAGATGTTATTACTGACACCAATGAATCATTTATCCTATAGCAGATCAGTCATGACTGTAATAGACCAAGTAGTGATGTCCCTAACTGTCAACAGGATTTCATCTACTATTTCGAGATAAAATATATATGCCTATTATTGCGCTGAAATATATAAATTGCCCAAATAATATATTATCAAAAAAAAGAAATTGAAGTAGATAATCCATGTTAGTAATTAATTGCAGTAGTAATATTCAGATTTTAGAGAACCGGAGTTTTATTTTCAAAAGAAATGTGTACAGCTGCTTCTAACACCGTGATCAGCTTTACATTTATCATATTCTCACTAGTCACGGTCTTCAAGAGGTATTTCCTGGAGTTATTGTGAGAAACTGAATTATTTTTTCTGGTAGGCGTTTTTTTAACGAGTTAGTTTTCTATGGTATGGGGACGCTAACCCCATGCCCAACCCTCCTCCTTTACCCGGGCTTGGGACCGGCAGTAACTCTAGAAGAGTTACAGGCGGAACTCGTCACTATACATCAACTTCATTGATTATGAAAAGGCATTTGACAGTGTGGATAGGAGGACGTTATGAAAACTTCTACGACACTACGGAGTTCCTAAGAAGATTGTCAATATTATCCGGAACTCATACGACAGACTACAATGCAAAGTCGTGCATGGAGGACAGCTGACAGATGCATTCCAAGTAAGGACCGGAGTAAGACAAGGCTGTTTACTCTCTCCCTTCCTCTTTCTTCTGATGGTCGACTGGATTATGAAGACCTCGACATCTGAAGGAAAACACGGAGTACAATGGAGAGCTCAAAATCAATTAGACGATTTGGACTTCGCAGATGACCTAGCCCTCCTATCTCATACACACGAACAGATGCAGATGAAGACAGACAGTGTAGCAGCAGTCTCTGCATCAGTAGGCCTCAGTATACACAAAGGGAAAACCCAAGTCCTCAAATTCAAAGCGGAAAACAACAATCCAATCACTCTTGATGGCGAAACTCTGGAAAATGTAGAGTCCTTCACATACCTAGGAAGCATCATCGATGCACAAAGAGACTCAGATGCAGACGTAAAGGCAAGGATTGGCAAAGCAAGAACAGCATTCCTACAGTTAAAAAACATATGGAACTCAAAACAACTTTCAACCAATATCAAAGTGAAAATCTTCAATACCAACGTCAAGGCAGTTCTACTGTATGGAGCTGAAACTTGGAGAACTACAACAACCACCATCAAGAAAGTACAAGTATTTATAAATAGCTGTCTTCGCAAGATACTCAACATCCATTGGCCGGATACCATCAGCAATAGCCTTCTGTGAGAGAGAACAAACCAACTTCCAGCTGAAGAAGAAATTAGGAAAAGACGATGGAAATGGATAGGACATACATTACGCAAATCGTCAATCTGCATCACGAGACAAGCCCTAACTTGGAATCCTGAAGGGAAACGGAAAAGAGGAAGGCTTAAGAACACATTACGTCGGATACTAGAAGCAGATATGAAAAGGATGATTAGGAACTGGAAGGAGCTGGAAAGGATTGCCCAGGACAGGGTTGAATGGAGAATACTGGTGAGCGGCCTATGCTCCTTCACGAGGAGTAACAGGCGTAAGTATTACGAGAAACAGTGGCCAGTGGAGTGCATCTGGGTCTCTTGTGAAATAATAACTCATTGATAATAATAGTGGATGTGTCGCTCAATTTCGTGGATTAGTTAAAGTTAGACATTACCACGGTTGAATGGCAACTCAGTGGTCTAGTGTTTAAGCACTCGTGCGTGAGACTGTTAAGTCATGGGTTCGGATCTCGCGGGGTGAGAAGAGTACCGTACCAGGATGGAATGGCCCATCCAATGATCCCGAGTTTTCTATGGTGGTCTAGCTTCAATTGACACATGAATTCAACTATTAAAATAGTCATTTTATTTATAAGAAAACCTGATTTGATCAATATACATGCAACTTCCTTCTTCGTATTTTTGCAAATTTGTTCCTTTTTATTCACATATTATAGTCATTATTATTCACGTATCTGTTTTTTATTATTATTATTATTATTATTATTATTATTATTATTATTATTATTATTATTATTATTAGTGGCTTTATTCAATATTATATTTTCGGTACAATATAGAATTCTCAGCACAAAGTATTTTGACAAGTTTCCTTTCCTTCATTTTTAATCTATCCTGACGATAAACAATGAATGACCACCAGCTAGATGTTAGCAGTTCAGGAAATGACATCTGAATGATGTTCATTCTTTTTAATGCATATTGCTAGTAATCACGATGTCTCTGATTGTATCTTTTTAGTAACTTGTACAAATAAAGGTCATAAACTATTCCTAAACGTGCCTTGAATAAGTTATGTGATGAATAAACATAATGATGTGTTAAAACAGAGAAAAAACATAACTTATTCACATATCTAGATGACAGAAACGGGTATAGCCCAGATATTCAAGGAGGCCGCCAATATTTGATATGATGTATGATTCCATTATTATTTCTCTTAACCTATATTCACTTACTTACATACGCCTGTTACCCACAATGGAGCATAGGCCACCGACCAGCATTCTCTAACCCACTCCATGCTGGACTTTCCTTTCCAATTCTATCCAATTTTTGTCCATTTTTCTCATATCTGTCTCTTAACCTATAGTATCTCTACATTTACTTTAATTATTTCTCTCATAATTTATTCCATTTACTATTTCATACTAAACAAGTCAACCTTGACAATTTTATTCACTTATACTAACAATCTTGTAGCTAAGTATATAAGTGGATAACGCGATAACGTTTGAAGCGAACGGTGCTGAGTTCGAGTCCCAGAGTGAACATTAACTCTAAGATACAGGTTCATCCAGCTGACAAGTCCCAAATAGGATGGAACGCGCGTCCTTGATTCCACTACTAGCCTTTATCCATCTTTGCTTAGAATCCTGTATTTATATGTTGTGATTTTAAATGATGTGTTCACCTTAAACTTGAATTCCTTTATGGAATATTGGTTTGTATTTACAACACTGTAAAACTGGATAAGAATTTATTTTCACACAAAAATTTTTTTTCATTCAATCTACATATTTTTCAATGGTTGGAATCATGAGTCAATTGAAACTAGATTACCATGGAAAACCTGGAAGCACTGGACAGCCGTTTCGTCCTACTATGGAACTTCCCATATTTTTGTTTTAATGACATTGAAACTTTTTTTAAAAAGTTTAAGATATATTGTAATCAACGGATTGTGGAAATCATACACTGAATACTTCATTTGCAAATCCTTCATCAATTGTCTCAATCTTCATCGTTGCTATGACAATTACTGTCTGTTCCAATTCTCTTCAATTTGATCTGATTAACCTTCTATTGACAAGCGTTCCACTTCTGACCAGTGTTACATACTACTTATATCGACAGATATAAGTAGCATACATACAATATTACTGTATATATTATAATACTATGATTATGTTAAGAATTTAAAAATGATATGTTTCAATGATATTTCACACTTACTCTTATAACATATAATCGTACAGTTAATTTGAACTTTGCTTTAATTGGCAATGTCTTATATAACTTTAATTGTGACATTTCAGTTGGTAAAGGTTCATCATCATTCACCGGATAAATGACTAAATTACCCTAAACATTAGAAATCAAATAAATGTAAACATTACGAATAAGAAATCCATATAATACATAAACAATGATCAATGAAACATCTTGAACTGAACCCTGTACAACTTCATTTATCAATTTATATAAGTCGAATTATTGTTTATACAAAATTGTCATTTCGCCTGTTTTTACAGTTTTACTAGTTCTGATGGTTAGTCTACATCACAAACAGGCCATAACTAAAAAGTGATTGAGAATCTAAAAGTATTGGATAGCTATTTGGTTCTAGTATGAGACACCTCAGAAGTAAACATCCACGATCACGCTCGAAAGTAAACCTTGACATTTCAAGTCTTGCAATGAGTGTTTGATAGTTAGACCAATGATTTGGAATCAGATGGTTTTTTACATTTTGAAAGTCAATTAATTTGTGTTAGTGTTCAGTCATTATCTGATAATATTGATTAGTGGCTAACTTAAACTGGACACTGTTGAACTACACTGGTCACGACTTCTCACTAGAAATCCGAGAATCACTACTATAAAATTAGTTATGAGTATAGTTGGTTGATGAAGTTTGTTAACACTCATCGCTGTAGAGTTCCATAGTGATATGAAACATTTGTTTATCACTTTATGATTTTTAATGTTTAACTAACTGACGTGATGTAAAATTTAGGAATTTACACTAAACCCTTACTTTGATGGTCAATTTATTAATGGAATATTACGAACACTAGTATAAAGTAATATATAACTGTTATATCTAGATGCTTAGATTCTTGATATGTTAAGTATAACTTGAGCACTCAAATGCTAGAACCCTTCCAAGTCGCAAATTAGAAGATAGAAGACAAGTGAAAAGAATGTTATTTCAAACAGTGTCAATTATCGTACAAAACTGTAAGATATTTATAGTTTTTAGTAAAAACGAAATCATCATAATAGTCATCCAATCCACACACAAGGGGTTATTAGTATTTATCAAAAAGGGAAGCTGCACGCAGGGATTCTGGAATATTCTTCCAAAAGACGATTGGACGGAATATCTTCGGCTTTTACTGAGCTTCTTAGAGCTTCCTCGAGTTCACTCGTGGACCATCCTTACAATAATATTTTGTTGAATATAACATAAACTGGTCGTTTTCTCCAACAACAAATGCAGGAGAAAACGACCAGTGTAGCAGCAGCAGCCTCAGCAGCAGTAGGTCTCAATATACACAAAGGGAAAAGTAAGATTCTCCGATACAACACAGCATGCACCAATCCCGTGACAATTGATGGAGAAGATTTGGAAGATGTAAAAACCTATACATATTTGGGCAGCATCATTGATGAACATGGTGGGTCTGATGCAGGTGTGAAAGCGTGGATCGGCAAAGCAAGAGCAGCATATTTACAACTGAAGAACATCCGGAACTCAAAGCAACTGTCAACCAACACCAAGGTCAAAATTTTCAATACAAATGTCAAGACAGTATACTGTAGCAGGCGGAAACTTGGAGAACTACGAAAGCCATCATCCAAAACATACAAGTGTTTATTAACGGTTGTCTAAGCAAAACACTTCGGATCCGTTGGCCGGACACTATTAGCAACAACCAACTGTGGGAAAGAACAAAACAGATCCCAGTGGAGGAAGAAATTAGGAAGAGCGGGTGGAAGTGGATAGGACACACATTGAGGAAAACACCCAACTGCGTCACAAGACAAGCCCTCACATGGAATCCTCAAGGCCAAAGGAAAAGAGGAAGATCAAAGAACACATTACGCCGAGAAATGGAGATAGACATGAGAAAAATGAACAAAAATTGGATGGAATTAGAAAGGAAGATCCAGGACAGAGTGGGTTGGAGAATGCTGGTCGGCGGCCTATGCTCCATTGTGAGTAACAGGAGTAAGTAAGTAACATAAACTCTTTAAGTAATATTTCTTCCATTTATCAATGTTAATAACTATGGCCTGATTGCTCAACAGTATGTGAACCTCTAGAACGTTTTAGTACGAACCAATTGTTCCAGTGAGATCTTGTAGAGCTCAATTTATTTCAGTGATCATTACAAGAGGATGAAATGGTTATCTACCATAAATGAATGGCGAAAAGATAAAGATCACTTACTTATAATTACAGGTTAAATTATTTTTCATTGAGCTATATTTCTTATGACCATATATAACGTTAAATAATTCTTTTTTGTTTTTGTTGAATATACGAAGGTTCTTCAATATTTAAGCGATCTATGGTCATCAAAATTTCATACGGTACATCAGTCTTATCCCCTTCAATATACTTCTCATTTAGGACAATAAAATTATCCCATCTCCATTTCCCTTGTTCGAAAAACTTCTGGAAGTCTTCAGAAATTACGGTCATCAGTCACCTTAATATTGCATGTTTTATCATTTAAATCATTTCACTCCTAAATGAAAATATTGATCTACTTAGAAAAATCTGGTTTCCTAAATGTTTTCCCTATAGGAATATTCCTCAATATTTTATAGAGTTTCTGATCATTTTTCCCAAGTCCCATAGAATATTTGATACTAAATCTATACTCCATATTTTCATTGGTCTTAACAACACCATGAAAGAAAATCACCTTAAGGTCACCTACTTAGGATCTTTAAAGGTCTTGAAGGGCTTCAAGTGTTTCTGAATAAGTTGATATAATGAGTATAGGTAATGGTCAGTTTAGTCATTTACATATCTAACATTCTTAGTAATTGGATTTGTTTATTTATTGGACAGACTATGTAAGCCTTAAATAATTTTAATTTCCCAAAATGTTATAAATATACAAATAAGCTTTTTTCAAATTAAAACATTTATTCTACTCACAATTCTGAGGAATGACAGATTGACAGTTTGTTATTCACTAAAACTTACTTGCTTTATAGCATCTAAATCATACATTGATGAAAACGGGTCATGAAATTTAATTCTAAGTGAGAACCGGACTCACAACAAGGCTGCTTACTTTCCCCCTTTCTCTTTCTTATGGTGGTTGATTGGTTTATGAAGACCTCCACATTTGACGGGGAGCACGGAATACATTTGAAAGGTTGTATGCAACTAGACTATTTGGACTTCGCAGATCACCTAACTCTTCGATTCAACACATGTATACTAACAAATGCAGGCTAAGATAAACAGTGTAGGAGCAGCAGCCTCTACAAGAGTAAGCCTCGACATATACAAAGGAAAAAGCAGCATCATCAAATTCAACACCGAGAACATCAACCAAAGTACACTTGATGGAGAAACTTTGGAACAGTTGGAAACTTTCATGTACCTGGACAGTAGAATCATCGATAAACGAGGAAGATCTGATATAGACGGTTGAAAACACATAGGACTCAAAACAATTGTCTGTCAACCAATATCAGATTCAAAATCTTCAATACGAACGTCAAGACAGTCCTACTGTATGGAGCTGAAACTTAGAGAACTACCACATTGATCATCAAAGAAGTACAAGTATATCTAAACAATTATGTTTGCAAGATATTGAACGTCCGTTGTTGGCCGAATGCCATCAACAACAGCCTACTGCGGAAGAGAAAAAATCAGCTTCCAACTGAAGGGAAAATTAGGAAAAGACATTGGAAGTGGATAGGACACACATTGAGGAAATCACCAAACTGGATTACGAAACAAACGCTAACTTGGAATCATAAAGGGAAACGGAAACGAGGAACGCCAAAGAACACACTGCTTTGGGAATCGAAAACAGACACGAATAGGATCAGTAGCAACTGGAAATGATTGTCGAGAACAGGTTCCGATGGAGAATGCTAGTAGTCGGTCTATGCTCCTCCATGAATCGTAACAGACGTAAGAAAGTAAATAAGTAATTAAGTAATCCTGACATATTGTTTACTCGCACTAAAAAATGTTACCTTGAAAAATCCTGTAATACGACTTTCAGATGCATGATCTTCCAATTGTTTTCCTTTGTAAAACGGAAGATTTAGAAAAGGTGAATTAAAACCGTTGAAATCTGGAACTTCTTCAAGTGCCACTGGATACACCTTATTTTTCAAGTAAAAAAACAAGAGAATAAAAAAAAACAATTTTCCATCTTTCATTTAATTAGCAGAATATTAATTTTTGTTTGAAAATGGAATAGGAATTTAATTTTGAAGCAAGTGAATAATTTTCCGTTGGTCAGGTCTTGTTAGCTAGATGATTTTATGATAAGTGCCCACTGCATTTGACCTCTGAAGGGGTAGTGGGTGTTCAATGCTAAGGTGGTCCATACCAGAACGAAACAACTGTCCAGTATTACATAGTTGTGTGTCACGCTTTCTCATGCATTGCCTATTCTGATAAACTATGGTGCCTGGAAATATATATTTGTTTATTAGAGTGTTTTCTTAAGTGAGGATTTTCGAGATGTTATCAGTATAATAATCATTATCTAGTCTTAAAGACACTGAGTGTTATGTTCACCTGGTGTTGTTTCACTTACATCTTCCCATTGATGTTCTAGGACTGCAATTGATCAGTCTCATGTTGGCATATATACATACTGTGCGAATTGCCTTGATATAGTCTGAATTAACAAGCTTTTTAAGCAAAGATGGATAGCGACTAGCAGTGGAATTCAGGACGCGTGTTTCGTCCTATTTGGGACTAGTCAGCTGGATGTACCTCCATACCAGAGTTGGTGTTCACTCCGGGACTCGAACTTAGTACAGTTCACTCCAAACGCTATCGCGTTATCCACTTAGCTACTGAGTCCTGATAACCACCTGCTTGCTCAATGGGGAGTGAACATTAACTCTAAGGTGCAGGCACATCCATCTGACAAGTCCTAAATAAGATGAAAAGCGCGTCCTGGATTCCATTGCTAGCCACTATCCATCTTTGATTGAGTGTTACGTTTCATAATTAACAACAGTGTTATAGAAACAATCGTACACAATCTTCATTTTTATACTTCAATAAATTCCACTTCTTCAACTTCAGTACTGTCGTCACTTTACATTTGTCAACGATAGTATTGATTTTTATCAGCTTAAGTCTTTTATGAGTATTATGATGATATGCAGCAGTTTTAATTCATCATACGAATAAGTTCATACGAAAGTAATCTCTTCTCAATTCATGTCACCTATCAATGTATCAGTGACTTGAAATCTGTTAATCATCCAAAGTTAAATAAGAAACTTATTCCAGTTCTATATCTTGGATTACATGAATTTTTCATTATTTTAAATATACTGAACGTATTTGAGTACATTTCATCATAATCTTATCGATATTAAAAAAAAAAACTTACCAGTATTGTTTCTACCCAACTTTGATCTTCATGAGTTTCAACATCATAGTTTAAATCAATAAATTCTTTTAAAAATAATCCTTTTGAATCGATCTAAAAATATAAAACAATAAACTAGTTCAAAAATACATGTACATCCAACTGTGTAAAGTCGTTAAGTACACCAAGCATCAAGATCTCACATAATTTGTAAATTGAATACGAAAATTGAACTACTTATAAGTAACTATGTTTTACTAATTAAAATACCTTATCCTTGAGTGTAGGATTGTTGATGGGCACTATTGACAAGTTCCATACTTGCTGAAGACTATAGAAGATGGTCACACAATATCGTTAGACGCTAACTCCGTTGCATGTCGGCTCAGTGGTTAAGAGTCCAAGTGTTCGCGTACGAAACCGAAAATCACATATTCGATTCCTACATATTGAGTCATGAATCCTTACTGTGAAAGAGTCCCAAACAGTTGGACAAAAAGACCATCCAATGCTTCCAGATTTTCAATGGTGGTCTAACTTATATTGGTTCAAGATTTCAGTGAAACTCAGCAAGCCCCTTAGCTCTATACTGACGAATGTCTGATGATCTGAACATTTGAACTACGGTGTTTACACGAAAAATGTAGAATGAGTTGTGGAAAGTATATCACAGTCATTTACTATATTACTTAATGGATAAATTTAGGGATATTTTTGGTAGGTAAGCAAGTTTCGAATTCCATGAGAATAAGCTTATTCATTTACATATAAAGCTGTCTAAATTAGTTGACCGAATTACACAGACTACTGGGCATATTGAGACTTGATCGATACAATTTTATCTGTACTAAGGATCAGACAAAAATGGCATAACACTTGACCAACTATCTACGGAAAAAGATCAAGAATTGACAGAAATGACTCATGCCAAAAAGCAAAACAATCAAGTTTGAGTTAATGAACGAAATCAAGTTGACAAAATTGTGTGAGGCCTGACCATGGGAATGAATAATGGCCCATTTAGGATTAAGACACACTAACTAAATGTTCTTAAGAAAGTATATGTTCTGTCCAACTTTGAGAAGCCTGTCAAGAAGTCATTTAAATCAATTGCACTTTTATCATATAGACACCATTTTGAAAGAAAAACTTTGTTGGAATTGATTAAAAAAGAATGTACTGAACAGAAATGATAATAATGGGATGAATAGTGCCGAAGCATGACTTTGAAACTGTTATATGTATTATTTTTAGTATACACTTAGGATGTTGTATTTTTATATTCTTCTAGTTCTAAGCATCCATTTGACCTGCAAATCGTTGTTTTATTCTACATACGCATTTTGTGCTTGTTTTGATAGCATCAATGCAACTCCTTGTGTATATGCGGCATTTTCTTCTTCATGGCCTGAGTATAACAGAAGCTTCTCTGAAGTTAGTCGTTGATGTCCAACTAGCGTCCAATGTGTTTCACTGATCCCAAGAACCTCCAGGTTGTATCTCATCATTTCTGCAGCAATTTGGGAGACTCTCCCGGTCTTCCACATTGTACTAGCATTTCATGTAACTAAATAAATGGTTCCTCTGGTTGTCAAAAGAGCGTCATAACTCTTCTTCTGACTCTTAGGGCAGAGTTTAAGTGGTTTGAATGATTTTTTCTGGTTAGCATTTTTTGATTGACTAGTTTTCTACAGGATGGGGTCACTAACCCCATGCCCAACTCTCCTCCTTTATCCGGGCTTGGAACCGGCAGTAGCCAAAGAGGGGCCCCAGGCGAAGTTTTTATTCTACGAGATTTATCATTAATTATTTTTTTATTAATCCGGTTTGTATTAATTATGACTAAGTTATGCACACACTGTAATTCTCAAATTGCATTCCTGTATGGTAAGACATTTGAAGCATATTATTGTATGAGTCTTGAGTTATAATTGAGTATAATCTACTTTCTATGTTTGTCTTTGAACTAGAGACTGAGTAAAAAGTATCTCAAAGAGTAATATGTGTTCACATCTTTATTATCATTATTATTACTATTCATTGGTTGCTATGTCGTTCGGTTAATAACTAATCGGTCCTATTAACATTATAATCAACCTAACCAAATAGTCAGACTATCATTGTTACCTGATTACACCTGGGATACAATATAACCAAGTATCTGTTTACATTCCTGACATCATAAGAACTATCATCGATTATTCAACACAGATTATAAAGTTATATCACATAGAAACAAACAAACAAACAAACAAACATTTAAAACTGTTTTCTTTTAAGAAAAATAAAATATTCCTTACAAATCGTGCTTTAATTTTAGCTTTTAAATTTTTTTTGTTTTTTTTTCTTTTTTCAATTCTAGCTCTACGTCTTGCAATCTCCAATTGACGTTTTTCTAAAGCGGTTAATTTTTTCTTTTCAACTTTATGATTTCGTTGCCAACATTTCTTTTTTAATTTATAATTTAAATGATTTAATTTTGTACCAGTACCAGTTGTCATATCAATTTCCTCTATGAAATATTTAATAGAAGAAGAAAAAGGGAACCAAATGAATTAGATGGATAAGAGATATTTCCTTTTATATCTGTTGATATGTATTAGGTTCTATGGTGTGTCTGTGTGTGTGTGCTACTTGTATCGACATAAGTAGTATATGATGTTAATCAGGAACAGAATATCTGGCAGGGGAGAGACAAGAGGATCGAACACTAATGAATGGCAACAGAATGTAATTTGTATGAAAATACAAGAACAATGAAGTCGTATAATTGTTAAGTAACTAAACTATTCATATTCATGTCCCTCTTATTATCAGCTTTATTTTGATTTATAAACTATTATTATACGATTCAACATTCTTGAGTTATTGTATGTCTACCAATTACTATCTCCCTTATTCACAGCCACATTTGGCTAAATCTTGTACAAATGTTGTTTCCTATTTTACGGTATGATGTGATCTGTCTGTTTGGCATATAAATCCCGTATGCTTTAAATAAATGATTCTTATCACAGAGGTTGAGATTGGTGTTCTGGACTTAACTGGCTGGGCTAGGCAGGAAGTAGGACCGATAAGTACTCTAAACTGCTCGTACTGATTTACTCGTCACTGGTTCGATCGATAAGTCACAGCTCTCTAATTGCCGGTATCATTACGTTATACATTAACTGGGAACACAGGTCACAAGTTATAACAGATACCGAACCCAGGAACGATCAGTCTCGCGTGTGAACGCATAACCTCTAGACCACTGAATCGGCATCCAACGAAGTTAACATCTAACTTCAACCAATTCACGAAATTGGACGACACATACACCATTGTCATCATTAAGTTACTATCTCACAACAGACCTGGTTGAACTCTAGTGGTCAAGGCTTCTCATTAGAACTCCAGGAAATACCTCTTGGAGACCTTCGTTAGTAAGCATATGATGATTATTATCAGAAGGTTTTTTTTAATCGATTAGTCATGATCTTTACAGCTATATGCTATCATTATTATAGCTAGATGAATGGAAACTTACTTGATTTAAAGGCGGATTACATCATTAGCTTACATCACTAAAAACTATAGAACATTGTTGAAGACGCGCACATTACAATGAAGTATCCGTTTGTTTATCGACGTTTTGTAATTTTTACAGTTAGTTCTAACTGCTGAAAAACAATATTGAGTGTTCTTTTTCAAATCAAGGGTTGTTTTACCGTATGGTGTTATTATCCATTGAATAAATGCTGTGGTTTATAGCTTAATACATAAACACGCACTACATTTTCAGATAATGTATATGAGAAGTTTAAGACAATTATCTAATTTTAAACATAACTGACTTTAACTGAAAGTTAACTGAGAACTATAGGGTACTACTAAAGCGTCTGTAATTAATATGAACCAGTTGTTCTGTTCTGTATGATATTCAATGAATTGTTTTACTGTCCATTAAGGGATTAATGGCTATTACTGATTCGATAAGTTACTGAACTTCAAGTTTCTTGAACCAGTTCAGTAGTGAACAGTAAAAAAATATATTAAAAGCCTAGCATAAACTATATTCAAATGAGAAAAATCCTTTTCAAAAGTTGATAAGTCTTGCTAATCGAAAGCTATATTCGGTTCCTAAGCTATTCTCGTAACCGCTAAACTAGAATTACACAACGACCTGGACACAAGAGAAAAGGAGCAAAATAAACGAGAAGCACTGTACTCCAAAGGTTCGTCCTAGTACAGAAAATATAGGGTTTTTATAGTATTTTAGATATCTTTGGGTTTCCCCAAAATTCTGGAATGCTACTAAACATAGTATCAGTATAGTAATCCGCCAATCGGAAACTTTACATGTGACTTTTCACTTTCTGGATGTTTCTTTGCTAAACTTCAAGTGAACGCTGATTGAATAAAATACGTCATAGTGTTTCCTGATCTTTTTTGTCTTCTGCAAGAAATTTTCTGGATCCATCCAACAAAAGTTTATCGATCAAAAAATACCCTGATGCTATGCTAAGAATAATTTTCTTCTAGTTAGCGTTTTTTTAGCGACATTTGAATTGAAAATCCTGACCAACCAACACCAAAGTTAGGATTTTCAATACAAATGTCAAGACAGTTTACTGTAGCAGGCGGAAACTTGGAGAACTACGAAAGCCATCATCCAGAACATACAAGTGTTTATTAACAGTTGTCTACGCAAAATACTTCGGATCCGTTGGCCAGACACTATTAGCAACAACCAACTGTGGGAAAGAACAAAACAGATCCCAGTGGAGGAAGAAATTAGGAAGAGCGGGTGGAAGTGGATGGGACACACATTGAGGAAAGCACCCAACTGCGTCACAAGACAAGCTCTCACATGGAATCCTCAAGGCCAAAGGAGAAGAGGAATGTCAAAGAACACATTGCGCCGGGAAATAGAGATGGACATGAGAAAAATGAACAAGAATTGGATGGAATTAGAAAAGAATGTCCAGGACAGAGTGGGTCGGAGAATGCTGGTCGACGGCCTATGCTCCATTGTGAGTAACAGGGGTAAGTAAGTAAGTAAGTATGCTAAGAGTTTTCTTATTGAGATATGTATAATTGATTTGATTCTTTTAATTTCCGATCGAATATTTTCCCTTTAATACAAATCATAATAATAATAAAGTAAAACCTTTATCTTTCACTGAGATATGCAAAAAATAAAAAAAAGCTCTGTTACAATAATCATAAATTGGTAACAAACCTTCTGAGTCTTTCTCTGATTTTACATCAATTTTGTCTAGTTTTTCCTCAATATCACTATCTTCTGATTCAGTTAATGGATTAACTTCACCCTAGAATAAATCAATAAAGAATTCTAATTACATTGAATAAGTCATTTATTTATGTTTTATATAAATGAAAGTGATAGAAATTGTTAACATGAAATTAAGATATCATTGGATACAAGAAGGTTACCATCTATGAATTAATAAACGTCCCATGAGCGGGATCGTGGATGTACACTGCTGAAGAGTCCCACGATAGGACGAAACAGCCATTCAGTGCTTCCAGGTTTTCAATGGTGGTCTAACATCAATCGGTTCATGATCTTAATCGAAACTTAACAATCTCCATAACCCATAAACTGATAATTACTATTAGTCATATGACATGAAATAAGCAAAGATGGATGATGGCTAGCAATGGAATCCAGGATGAATGTTTTGTCCTATTTATGACTCGTCAACTGGATGTACCTGTATTCCAGAGTTGTTGTTCACATTCAGCTAACGAGTCGCAAATAGAACACGTTTTGGATTCTACTACTATCCACCATCCACCTTTGCTTATAAAGCTTGTGACGGTCCACACAGGATACACATATACCAACAAGAGACTGATCAATTGTAGTCCTACACAATAATGGGAACATACAAGCAAACAATATTAAGTTTCTGAAAATAATTACCATTGAACCCCAAGGGTAATTTTTAATTATGAAATATTATGACTCTTCTAAAATGAAAAGCAATTAATACAAATCTAATAGTTCGGGAACTGACAATTATGATGCTTTAGTAATTATATCCTTAATGAGACACAGGAAGAAGATAGGGGTAAAGAACAGTTTCGATATTCAAGTTATAATTGACGTAGGATATCATTGTACATATAGTAACAAAACATGACTTTGGGACACAGGTAAATTATCAAGATAAAAGTGATAACAACTAATCAAATAAAAAAACAGTAAGGTAATAAGAAAATATAAATTAGAAAAAAATGTTATTGTGTTAATCGTTACAAGAAATAAGATTCAAGTTCTTTAGCAAAACCGGGTAACTTGTAACCTTAGCAACAATAAATATGGATCAATAATGGCAAAAGCTAAATGCACCTCATTTCTATGAATATTACCATTATTATTATTATTATTATTATTATTATTATTATTATATATTACAATTAATCAAAAAATGTAACATCTTTGTTTTAACTACATTTATCAACCGAAACGAATATTACGGAACTTAGCTTTGATTGTTCTTATTATTCAGACAATGTAAACATATAAGTACAATGTTTGTAATAATATATGGAACTAATTCTATTGTATATACTACTAAGCAAATTTATCTTCGAATTTATGGTTGAGCAAAGGTTAAAGAAGCGTTATAAGTAGTTACCACGCCACTTTTAAATTTATCCATTAAATTGTATTAAAACTATTTTATTCTTTAACACTAGGCATTGTAGTATATTGATAATTATGTCACAGGAAATAGTCCGTTACAATTATAGTATTTGCTATTCATTAGATCAAAATGGGTATATACAATGCTTTTCCTTAAATTCATTTCGGTTTAGCTTTCTGTTTATTTGATCAATATGAAAAAAATATCCAGATATTTGATTCTTCTCAGAAAAAGTCGATAAAACTGTGATGAAACTCACTTTATATCGAGAATCATCGAAATTTGTTTCACCACTTCGTATAGTAACATAGAATCGGGTCCACCAGTCAGCTGTAGCTAATTGTTCAGGTGTCGGTCCAGAGTGTGTTGTAACAAGATGAGCCTAGAATATGAATTGATTAAAATTAATAAGTGAAAGATGTTGATACTAACTATTAGTAACCAATTTAATAATGAATATAACCCTATTTGACATATACATAATCATATAGTAAGCTGTAATAATGGCTTTTTGTAATTCAGTTCTAGGTTGACTATCTGTAGGCTCATTGGGGGAATACATAGATTACAATGGCTTCAGTAATGTGCAAAACACGAAATGGTAAACCATGTGGTAAATTTGATGGAATATGGTGGATAACTTTAAAAGATTTATTATATTCAACTTGATGACTTGTGTCCACCAAGTAAGCTAGAATAGAACTCTTAATTATTGTTACCTGTCCTTTGCTCAACCAAGATGGATGGTGTTCTGTTATGCAATAACGGACTTTCCGAATTGTACGCCCTATATAACTGGCTCCACAGGAGCAGTTGAATTGGTAAATAAACATGAATGTGGCGAATTCAGGCAATTTGTCTTTACTAACCGTTCTTATTATGGGGCGATTGTAGAAGATAGATGAATATTACTCATAACAATATAATTTCTGTTACAATATTATGTAAACAATTGATTAAAATAATCGATTGAAAAATATATACAAGTTGAAAATCTTAATTAGATCTTGGAAGAATGAATTTCATTGAACAATAAAGACATTTGACCGCCTGTTTGAATATCTAGGCTACCCGTTCCTGTTATCTAGATGTTTCAACATGTTATTTGCTTTTGTTTGTTTCAATACATCATTATGTCTATTAATCGTATAACCCATTCAGGTGCGTTTATGAAAATCTTACGACCTTTCGCTGTACAAGTTACAGAAAAGTACAATCAAAGACATCGTAGTGACTGGCAATATGCATTGAAATGAATGAACATTATTTAGATGTCAATTCCTAAACTGATAACATGTAACTAGTGATCACTCAATATTTATCGTCAGGATAAATAAAAAAAATAAGGAAAGGAAATTTGTTGAAATGCTTTGTGCTAAGAATTCTATATTATACCAAAAATATAATATTGATTAAACCTATTAATAATAATCAATTATATAATATACTATAATACTGCGTCACAAGGCAAGCCCTTACATGGAATCCTCAAGGCCAAAAGAAAACAAGAAGGCCATAGAACACATTACGCCGAGAAATGGAGACAGACATGAGAAAAATGAACAAAAATTGGATAGAACTAGAAAGGAAGGCCCAGGACAGAGTAAGTTCGAGAATGCTGGTCGGACGCCTATGCTCCATTGGGAGCAACAGGCGTAAGTAAGTATGTAAGTAAGGATGGATGGAAGGAAGGAAGGAAGGAAGGAAGGAAGGAAGGAAGGAAGGAAGGAAGGAAGGAAGGAAAGAGGGAAGGAAGGGGGAAAGAAAGGAAGTAATACCATTATTATTGCATTGAATTAAAATTTTATACCTTTCCAGGTAATGCATCTGTTGGCTTTTTATCAATATTAATTTGACCAAAATTATCACCATCCATAGATACTAAATCTAAATCACCAGCATTATCTGGAAGTTTATAATGTAAATTATATTTTTGAAAATTTGGATTCATATCAGCTAATAATTCTACTGATGATAAACCAGTTTCCATTGATTTTTTACTTTCTAAATCATTATCATTTAATTTCATTGAAGTTGGTCCCATTGTTGTTGTTGCTGGTGTTGCTGCCATGGAAGGGTTTGTTAACATTTCTAGACTTGGTTCATTTTCATTAAAATAATCAGTTTTATCAAAATTAAAATTTAATTTCCTTGGACTATCTGATTCACTATCCATATATATTGTACTTGCACTATCGGATGATTGATCTAGAAAAGATATTTAATAAAAAGAAAATAATCATAAGTTGTTTTATTATAATTCTATTGTTAAACATTAAAACAAGTATCATTTAAATGGCATGAGATTTTTGTTTAAATCTATAGTATTATGTGTTTGAGAAGCTGTGTCGGGTAGAAATACGTATCTACCTCAGTACATTGGTTGAGGTTAGACATTAACACCGCTGGATACCCACTCAGTGATCTAGAGGTTAAGTGTTCGCATGTGGGACTGAAGGATCTGGGGTCGAATCCCGCGAGCAGGATATTGGGTGCGCATTGCTGAGGAGTACCCTAATAGGACGAAACGGCCATCCAGTGTTTCCAGGTTTTCAATGGTGGTCTAACATCAATCGGCTCATGATCTCAATCAAAAACATAATAATCTCCATAACACTTTACTGATATTTTATTATAATTTATGACCCTAACCACAAATCTACAAAAGAACACAATGCGTCGGGAATGGGAGGCAGACTTGAAAAGGATAAATAGCAACTGGATACAACTGGAAAGCATTACTCAGGACAGAGTTGGGTGGAGAGTGCTGGTGGGAGGCCTATGCTTCTCGATGAGGGGTAATAGGCGTAATTAATTAAGTAAGTAAGTAACAACAAATGTAATAGATTTCTCGTAATTATTATCGAATAATTTTTTGACATAACCCAAAATATCTGGGACTTTTCAAATAGGCATAATCAGAATTCTTAATAAAGTCGAATGTTATTCATTATTATAATTGAAATATTAAGATAAGTTGAGTAATTAGTGTGATTAGGCAAGGAAATCTTCTTTGTTGCTGATTGACAAAATAGTCAGTCACAATAAAAAAATGGTTGAAATAACGTAGAATATTGTTTTTAGTGGCTCTAAATCTGACTCCGATTCGATTGTATGTCGATTGCTACCAAAATGTCTATTACTGAAATATACATGTCGCCAAACCTCGTTTATAATCATCAGGTTAAATGGCGTTAGTGAATAATGGAACTAACTAAGTCAAATACGAGAATTGATTTCTCAATGCGTATATTTTGTACAATCATTGATCTAGATAAACGATCAAAGAAACAAGGTGAAATGAGGCGCAATGAAGAAGGCAAGTAAGCCAACCCAATTTAACCAAGAGTAAATCGACATTTATAGTCAGATAAAAGAAGTTACATATATGTGATGAAAAGGATAAGAAGCGCACATACACACATCTAAAAAAAGTAAAGGTTGATAAGTAAATAATTAACAATGTCAAAACGTGAGTCAATTAGAATGACTAAATTGTCTGGAAGCTAAAATTAGCTAACTGCGTTTAACGTAGCAATCGATACATGTGTAGTGACCTACTTTTATCAAAAGAACGCGATGGGTTTAATGGAAACAACCAATTGTATCAGTGATTGTTTTACTGTGCTCGTTTGTTTAACTGTGCTAAAGACAGCCATATTACTGCTCCATTATCCTTCGATTGATTGTGACCTTGCACGGGTTTGGTAAGGCTCGGTAACCACGCTTGTACGCCTTTGGCACGATCTCAGTATCCTTTCGATACCACGAGATCGCCAACAAATACATCTCGACTACAGCCATCAACTGCCTTCTGATATTTGGTTTACGGGGGAGTTTATCGGCTAACCGGCACGTAGTTTTCTTGTAATGGTGTTTATAGTCAATCGCGACTCGACTCCACGCTACACATGTTTGCCATTTCTTATGATAACTTACCAAAACCAATACAAATGGCTTATTTATAAAATACCAATTTACAATCTAACTTAAGATGATTTTGTCCACACGAGATGCAACTTTTTTATTTATGACTGTAGTATCTACTGACACAGAGCTTAGATCTAGGTTTATCTAATGAATATATTATCGCATTTTTTAGGACTTACTACCTGTTCCTAACTAATGGGCATATGGTTCGCAAGATGAAGCATAAATGTTTTATTTATAGTACATTTCAATGTCCATAAAATATTGTATTTACAAAATCCAACCAGTCTAACAGATTACATTCATTTGGTACTTTGATATCTCTTTTTAAAAGTACAGCATAAGAAACAAATCGGATACTATGTGTGACTAACTTAACTTTCAATAGATATATTTCTCATGCAATTTAAATAAAACCAGAACAAATATTGAAGCAGAATAATATGAATTCATTGTATTTAGTGGTCCCTTGTCAGCTACTTACAACCATTGATATGTATTAGAATATAACATTGAGGTAAGAAATCGTATGAAGCAATTGACATAATTGAATGTAAAGAATTGGAATGACCAAGTGTTGTGGATGTGAAGGATAGACCAATAATTATCATGTTAAGTCCAATGGTGTCCTTGAACTTTAAATGGACATTTCCTACTGGTCGATATCTGTCCACTTGTTGAATATTGTACAAAATATTGTTTTCTATTTTTATGGTACGATGTGGTATGTTTGGTTAGTATATAAATAGAGTATGTCTGAAATACAATAATTCATAACTCAGAGGCTGAGATTTGTGTTCTGGACTCAACTGGCTGGGATAGACAGGGGAGTGGGACCAATCGTAACTCTAGGTCGTCCATTATGTTCGTACGTGTTTACGTGTCATTGAATCGGTCGATAAATACGCTGCTCTCTAGTTTTTCAATCAAGGACACAACAATTAGCACAGGGTAAAAAGCAACCACAACCTAAAGTCATAACACCATGGTTATCAATAATAACTATATATATATATATATATATATGCAGGAACAGGTCAAAGGTTATTTGGTGTTGGAATCAAGGAAACAATTAAGGATGAATGGTGTAATAGTCGAGTAAAGTTCAAAGACAGATAAGATAAATTATGTGATAGTTTTAGAGGTAATAAAGGAATCATGGAATTAAAAACGAATACAAGTAATAATGAACTATTACTAACATAAATTACAAGTTTATCTACTATAACTTACTATCATTATCAAACACTAAATAATCACGTGCATTAGAAATTGTATGACTTCCAATTGTGATCTTTGTACCAAGTATACGATTATCAAAACATGTAAAAACTAAAGGTGGCCAATAACGTTCATCTACAGGTAAATACTAAAAGAAGAGATTGATAAAAAGAAAATTCAATCAAACTCAAGTAAAATAATATGTAACAAATATTTTGGTGAGACTATAATTTATGGATGATCTTTGAGCAACGCCAGACTAACCTTGAGAGTAGTCACCTAATAACTAAGACCAAATAAATATTAGAAACCTGTGTTGTAAGGAATTGCAATTATGATTTACAGTTGATGGTTAAGGTTAAGAATTAGATTTCTGGGTGTTTCATCATGAACTGATATCAGCTATAATGCCTCGATTCTATTAAGCCAAATGGGTGAGTGGATTTCGCGCCAAAATCGGAGACCTTTTATCTTATATCTGATTGGTTCGTCCATAAATTATAGGTTCGCCATATATTTTCCAAAGAAAAAAATTACATGAATTTTAGAATGAAATCTGTATAGTTTAAACTTACAATATCCATTGCTTTCAGTGGGGTCTCAAAAAGTGGCATTTTAGATAAATCATTGATGATTTCAGATTCTAATTTATGTCCACCAATTTCAACGACTACACGTGGTCTTTTCACTGGTAATAAATGTTGACGCACCATACCCCATACACTCCAAAACATCTAAATGAAAACAAAATAAAATGATATACATTATTCGGATAAGACTAATCAACTAATCATAAATAAGTAAATTAAATTATATCATTATCGTGACATGAGATTAATAAGCGAACCTGACATCTTGCCCTACTCACTGCCTTCTCAAAGAGAGGGGGGTTGTTTATGTAATTGAGAGGATAAAAAGCGAATGTCTGGAGCATTAACCGGGTTGGTGGACATGGGGAGTACACCTGGGGGAGTTGCAAAGCCCTGATTCCAAACCAAGGGTACACATGAGCTTCAGTATCCTGAAGGAACGAATGGCGTGTGAACCAATCGTTGGTCACCGACTATCATGGGACTGCATCTCCTTACGTTGCTCCACTGCTTGTGGATCAGACCTGTATTTCGAAAGCTCCGGTTGTGACCCCCTACGAAAAGCACCTGCTTCAGTTTAGGCACCCGAACATTATCACAGCCCATAGACAAATCAAATGACTTGTGTAGCGCATGTGCATTCGGTGCCACTTTGTACCAATATTTATGTGTTCAAGTAAATAAATAAAAATAAAATCTTGCCCAGCATAATTCCAAGTCGAAGAGTCTCGTATCACGATATCAGCAAGTAATTGAAATCCTTTTCCTTATTTTTTTTAAATGTTCGCACACTTATTGACAATGGAATACATCAAATTTTCAAAATAGACATGTGTTTAAATCACTATTTTAACTTAACCAACTTATAAAGCATATCCAAATTAATAATTTTGCTAACTGAGATATTTTATGAAACTATATCTAGTTCATTCTCTCAATATGGAGCTGGAACGTGGAGAACTACCATAGCCATCATCAAAAAGTATTTATAGATAGTTGTCTACGAAAGATACTCAAGATACCATCAGTAACAACCTTCTGTAGAAGAAGATAAACCAGTTTCCAAGTGAAGGGAAAATTAGGAAAAGATATTTGAAGTGGATAGAAAATACATTACGGAAATCACCAAACTTCATCACGCAACAAGTTCTAACTTGGAATCCTGAAAATAAACGGGAAAGAGGATGGTGTAAGAACACACTATGTCAGGAACTGGAAGCAGACATGAAAAGAACGAATAGCAACTTGAAAAGATTGCCCAGGACAGAGTTGAATGAAGAGTGCTGATGGTCGATCTATACTCCTCGACGAGTGATAACAAGCCTAAATTGGTAAGTAAGTCGTTTTACAGTCAAATATGTTACCATTGTATTATCCAAACAAACACTGTCACTGTGATATATGATAATATACGATTTTATATCTTACGGATCACATTTAAATACATCTTTCTGATAAGTTTTGATCAACACTAAATCTAAATCTGTAAAACCCTGCCGACCAACATGATGAATTAAAAATTCCTCTCTTTTTTTGCGAGAAAAGTTAAAGAAAGAAAAAGATATCTAATAATTTAATGTTTTTACTTCTCTATATCATAAATGAGAGCTCAAAACTTTTGATAGCAAAAGCTTTCGAAAAGCATAACAAATTTCATTACTTATTCTTGATGAAGTTTTGTTCTCTGAGCTGGATGGTTTGGTTGTGAAACTTTCAGTATTCTTCTGAACGACATCATCAACACAAACTTTAGATAGAAGTGAAGTGTTCGAATTTCTCTACATGTGATTCACAGCTTGTTTTGTAGATCTTGATGTTTAGCTCAGAGAACAAAATTCCATCAAAATGATCTACCTGAGCTAGTAATAGAATCTAGCATATAGATTTGATTCCATTTGAACTCATCAACTGGATATAATTACATACTAGTGATAGCGTTCACAGATGAACTCAAACTTTGTAACTTTCACTGCAAATGTCAACACATTATCCAATAAACACTTATCTTGGATACTGAGGTTGTATCTAAGCAATCTATAGAGAATTTATATATATATATATATATATATATATATATATATATATATATATATATATATATATATATATATATATATATATAACAATAAAAACTGATTACGATTCAGTCCTAATTATTTACAATGAGATCATTTAAATCCTTACTAACAATCATGTAAATAGATATAAAATAGGTTGAAATCATGAGTCGATTGAAGCTAGACAATCATGGAAAACATGGAATCACTGGACGGCTGTTTCGTCCTAGTATGAAACTCCTCAGCAGTGCGCATCCACGATCCTGCACCACGTGGGATTCGGAACCAGGACCTACTGGCTTCGCGCGCGAGCACTTAACCACTAGACCACTGAGACAGCGTCCAACGGTGTTAATGTCTAACTTGAACCAATACACGAAGTTGCGCCACCGTACACCATTGTCTTCAGTGAGTTGTTATCTCACAACAGACCTGGTTGAACTCCACTCCAGTGCTTCTAGGTTTTCCATGGTGGTCTAGCTTCAATTGACTCATGATTTCAACCTGTGAAATTTCTAAAGCTCTCCACAAAACCCATTCAGATATAAAACAATTAAAGAAATTGTAAACATACAACTTCCATTCTAAACCGTTGTAAAGGTGGTCTAATATTATCTGGTATTCGATAATCCCCTTTTCGTCTAACTAAAACAAGTTTTGGTGGTGCCATACCAATTTTGATTTGTTTTCTTCTTGTATTATTTATTTGAATATCATTAGAACGATCTAATAATAAGACAGAATCAGCATCAAATATTAAATCATCAAATTCATCAACTGTATCCAATTCATTATCATTATCATCATCATCATCATCTGAATCTTTATTCAAATCATCTTCATCATCTAAATACATTCCTGGAATACTTTTTAATATAACACGATCATCAAATTCTTTTGTGTATGCAGCTAATTCTTCAAACGTAGGTAAATTTTCATATGGCACTTGAGGATCATCCTTGAATATATACAGTTATGTACCAAAAAAAAAGAATGAAAGTTGTAAAAATGATAATGAAAGAGAAATTAACAATAAGTATAGGTTTGGCATTACAAATACTATTAATTAATCTGTTCTGGGATACAGATTAAATGATTGAATGACATGTAAAATTTTGAAATCAAAACATGAAACTTATTTACGATACGGTACTACTATTAATGACAACCTAACTATTACGAGTATAGGGGTTGTGGAGATTATTAAGTTTTTGATTGAGATCATGAGCCGATTGATGTCAGACCACTGATGGAAACCTTAGAGCACTAGACGGCCGTTTCGTCCTATTGTGGGACTCCTCAGCAGTGCACATCCACGATCCCGCTCGCGGGATTCGAACCCAGTCCTACTGGACCATTGAGCCGGCATCCAATGGTGATAGTGTCTAACATCAACTATTCCACGAAATTGCGCGACCATCTTCCATTGTACTGAGGTAGATACCTATCTCTACCCGATATGGATTAGCTCCACTGGTCATGACTTCTCGCTAGAACTCCGAGAAGTCCTTCAAATCCTGCGAGCGGGATCGTGGATGCACACTGCTGAGGAGTGCTACAATAAGATGAAACGGCCGTCCAGTGCTTCCAGGTTTTCAATGGTGGTCTAACATCAATCGGTTCATGATCTCAACCAAGAACTAACTATTACAGTTTGTAAACCTTGATTCTTTAGATATGTTATACGTTAAGATGCATCAAGATTATGATCGAAGAACACATGCTTCCTGTAATAATTATGTACGAATGATGTACAAAAGCATACCATATATACTAAGAATAGCCAGTAGTTATGTTAATTTAACAACGCGGTATCCAACAAATTGGAACGAGAAATTCGCATATGGAATATGGAGACTGTTACAAGTCAACAAGGGTTAAATGAATAGAACAGATATAAACATGACTTTTTGAAACCTTATTAGAGTACAGTTGCGATAATAACTGGGGAAAAATGTCATGAATCTTTTCAAAGATCAAATAGAGATGAACTGAAGTCTTGAAAATGATCGGGATTGACAGTAGTTACTGAATATTAGTAAGTAATAGATTTAGTAAACCAGAAGGAACTAAAATAGGAACAAAGTGGTGAGGAGTAATTTGGAATTAATAGTTATCCTATTACAAAATATTTTCACCATGAACTCACCACATCTAAACGAAACATTGAAAACCTAGGGATACGAGACAATCTTTTTGTAAAGAGTTGAATAACTTAGAAATATTCAACCATAATCACACACTGGGAGTCTAATACAAGACCTTCTTGGTTTCATGTTGAGCACAATGCTATTAGGTTCGTTACTCAAAATCAAGATGCCATGGATAATCCAATATCAGCCGACTTTTAATACAGCGTTCAATTCTCATTCAATCTAAATGATGGGTTACTGTTGTAGATTTCAAAGTAATTGAGTGAGTTGATTATAACTTTCTAGATTAGATTCTATGTGGTAGTATTAGTATGTCATGACGACGCATGATCCATGATCTTTGGAGGCATTAATCCAGATCGATAAGAATGAACCAACCAATAACACTTGATATAAACTCCTATCAATCAGATTCAGTTTAATCTCGAACCGGCTATTCCTTTTTTTAACTATGCGTTAAGAAATCACATTATTTTATGGATGAGCTGGTTTAATTGCGAAGTTTTCATTGCTATTTTCGAATAATTTTTTCAGTGGCTAACTCATGTAGAAGTGATCTTTCTAGTTGTTCCGCAAGTGTTGTATCAATTTACTTGAATGATCTCATTTGTAATTTCTACTCTGGACTCACTTTGTATCCATACCTAATGTTGTGTCAAATAAACTATTATTTGATTTATAATCTAGTTCTATATTTTTAGGCACATATGTTATATCTAACACAACTTGACTTCAATCTATTAATAGTGTATAGTACAAGTATGCAGTTTAGTGATTGTATAATCCCATACCTCAGGTTGTATTATTGTTTTATGATATAATATCATGATAAACGGATAATGTTTAGTTTTGCCGTTATATTAGGAACTCGTATAATTTACTTAAAAGGTAATCTGGTACATCAAATTGTGTAGATAAAACAATGTAAGCTTCTTGACTTTCTGACAGTTAGGTAACATCAAGTTTCATTGGACAGTCATTCATAGAGTAAATGTTTGTTTATTGTTCAAAATGAAAAAAATAGCATTAAGCACTGAAGTTGGCGCCGTGAGCATGAAATCTCTCAAATGTTTCTGATTGACTCGTCCATAAATTAAAGTCTCAACAAAGAAATCTATAAAATTACCTGAATTAGATCAAAAGCAGCTAGTAATTCTCCACCAGGAGTTTGTCCTCGAAATATTGGCCACCATTGTAAACGTGGTGGTTTATACTTTTCACCATCCAAAGTAACATTTACTTCACAAAAACAACGTCCCATAAATTCTAAATCATTCTTATAAAATGAATGAAAAATAAGAAGATTTAAAAAATAACATGCTACTTATAGTTTTTTAAGTGAGTAGTTCATATCATCTATGATATAAAAACGAGACTTGAGGTATAATTAACTAAGAGCAAGTATTCAAGTAGTTTACTGTGTGGATAATCAAGAAACTTATGTATTTAAAGATTTTTCTATTCGTAATCGATCCGGAGAATATTTGTGTTTTGTATGACCTTGCTTACACTATAAACAATCAATCCACTAACCATTCAACTTATGATCACTTGTTTTCGTGAATTCTCCATTCCCCAAACAATTTCTGATTAGAACCCTAAAAACCATATTATTAGGTCTTAAAACGTTTAATTTTCGAGTCATGATCTACATAATTAATAAAGTTGTTGGGGACTTAAAATCCCAAGAACTCACTTGGGAAAGGACCTAATTTTGTAATTTTATTTAGAAAATTTGAATTTCTTTGTTTTCGCGCCAAAGGCTCTCTTCTCACCTTCATGTCGTATTTCCCACTGGGAAATATCTTAAATGCTATTGATCCGTTGCGTATATTAGTATGCTATTTGGTAACTCTTCCTAAGGACGGTTTTGTACTATATATATACGTTTTGAATTGTGTTTGTTGTTATCGCTCGTTTCTGGCTGTTTGTAAAATATACTTCCGCATTCCAAGCTTGGACTTCTCCCTCTAGTTAGCGGGGCTGGGACATATCAATAGCTAGCTCACTGGTCTTTGGTCACCGAGTCTTGTTCTCCTTCTCAAATTAAGTGAACTCATGGTAGCTTCAACCCTAGCAAAAGTAGAATCCAAGGACTCAGTGCATGACATGTTTGTTTTCTAAGTGATTATATAACTTGGACGCTTTTGATGAAACTAATTCATATATATAAAGGTTATTGAGTGTAATTTTGTGAACCGTAACTATATATCGTAACAATTCAGAGTTGAAAGATAACTTACAATTAGGACTAATATAATAATATCATAAAACAACTCGCTTGTATTGGTTGTTTGAATTTTCCCATTGATGTTTAGGACTTTAAATGTGCATCCTGAGTGGATCACCTCAATATTGGTATCAAATTACAAGCATTATAAGCAGAGATGAATGATGGCTAGCGGAAGAATGAATATTTTGTTGTACTTGGAACTCGTCAGTTGGATGTATCCACATCCCAGAGTTTATGTTCAGTCTGGGACCGGACCTAGTACCATTCACTTCAAAAGCTATCACGTTATCCACTTAGCTGCTTGGTCCTAGACGGTACGTCAACTCTGAGATGCAGGCACATCCAGTCGACGAGTCCCGAATAGGATGGAACTCGCGTCCTGGATTCCACTGCTAGCCACCACCCATCTCTGCTCATAAAATAATTGTTTAGTAAACAATTCATAAGAATATGAAAACCAGTCAATAAATAGATACACACATTTATTGTTGTTTATATTACCATGCCTCATTCTAACAATTTCTCCGATACAACACACTTATGCTTTTGTGGACACTTTTGTTTTCATTCTAGTTCTTTTCTAAACCTGTTAGCGATTGCTGTTATTAAGATGCATCATTCTATGTATTATGTCACTTCAGTTAGCTTACCAAATATTTTGTTTAGGGAAAATAGTGAAGAATGGAATATTCACAATAGAAGTTCTATGTTTTCTTCAAAAGACCGACTTTATTATGACTGTGATCAACAATTTTCACGTAAACGATCGAATCATAATTCTACTAATGTTACAAACTAATATTTGGCAATGAAATTGAAGAGGCTCATTTTGTCCCACTTAAGATTTATCAGCAGGATCAACATCCATCCTACTATCAAGCTCTATATTAAGATTCGAAAATATTATTCATTATTTCAAAATATACTTGTATCTTATAGATTGAATTACATAATCATGTTAGTAGTAAAAGAAAACTTCAAAACGAAATTGTTTTAAGCTATTTAAACTTACTCCTGGATCAATATCAAATATTTCTACAATAACCTCTTGAAGATTTTGTTTTACTGATTGAGCATTTTGATAAAATGTTACTTGTTTATATAAGACAACATCCCACATTGGACTCATAGTTTGATATAATGCTTGTGTTTGAAGAACATGTGGTCCAATAAGAACTCTTGCCATTGGATCTGACATACCAGATGAATCAGAGGCTATTAGATCACGTGCTATGAATATATAACATCTGAACTGAAAACGACTACTTTCTGAAAGAAAAAAATATAATAATCAAATAAAAGAAATTCAATAAGTGATCAACTGGAATGATGCACCTAGTTACTAATTAAATGATACCTGGTAACAAAATTTACTATAATGATGATGAGTCAAATCATTGAAATAAAAATATCCGGTAAACCATCTTGTGGCTAAAACAAACAATAAAAACAAATCAGTAATCAATATAAATCAAATTGAAATTCATTTGACTAATAAACATTGAAATGATCTGATCACTTAAAAATGTACTTATCTTTTGCAAAATATCTTCAGTAGTAAACTAAGGTCAGAATTAGCAAACATTCCATTTGAGAACTGAAACAATAAAAAAAGAGAATCACGGTGGTCTAGCTTCAATTGACTCATGATCTCAACTATTGAAATTACTACAATCTCTGCAAAACCACCTTCTGATACGAATCTACATATGCTCACTAGTGACTGGCTTCAACAGGTATATCCTGCAGTTCTAGTGAGGAGCAGTGATCAGTGGAGTTCAACTGTGTCACTTGTGAGATAGTAACTCATTAATGACAATGGTGTATGTGTCACTGAATTTCGTAGATTAGTTGAAGTTAGACATTAACACCACTGGATGCCATCTTAGTAGTCTAGTGGTTGAGATTGATATACACTAGGTTCGAATTTAGTGAGGTGGGATCGTGGATGTGCACTGCTGTGGAGTCCCACAATAGAACGAAATTTTCGTCCAGTACTTCCACATTTTCCATGGTGGTCTATCAACAATTGACTGATGATCTCAGCTGTTGAGAATCACTAATGTTTTATAACACTTATTGATCTGAATAGTATCGTTAGCACTTATGCTTCAATCTAACTCTAATGGGATTATTTATTTGAGCATCTGATCTAACTTTTATTGATCACAACTAAGTGAATATATGAATATCTGTGTTCTATATCAATTGCTTATGAAAATATATGAATCCAAACGTTAAATATAGAAATAGGTTCTTCAAAATATTGGCTAAGTTATGTTAATGGATAATAACAAGTGTAGAACCTTGATGGTTAGATTAAAATAAATACAGATCGTTTTAATTTTCTGTGAATCTTCGATGTTGAAAGTTAAGATACAAGATTAGTTGACATATGATATCTGCACGAGTTTTGATAGAGGTTTGTTCTCTGAGCTGGATGGTTTGGTCGTAGAGCTTTCATTATTCTTTTGAATGATACCATCAGTACAAACTTCAGGTAAAAGTCTTCTACCATGACCGAGTCATCCAGTTCAGAGAATAAAAGTTCATCAAAATCATCTACCAGAGCTACAATTCTTCTCCATTATCTCATTTGTACGAATTACTACAATTTTAACGTAAGATTAGATTATATGAAGGAAATTGAGTGACTTTGAAAAGGAACTTCACAAATTAAATCACATTTTTAACGGATCAAAGAAAGTGTAATGAAACTTTCTACTTGTTTATTGATAGAAAATAATGGAAAACAAATGAGATTAAAACATACATACATTGTTAGTGGTTGAAAAAAAAGGAAATTTTTTCCATTTGACTAGAAAGCTTTCCATTTACCTATTCCAATTGACCATTTATTCCATTACTATACATTCTATTTCTAGTGATTATCTCCTCATCTCATCTCAACAATCCTAACCATCTAGTTCGTAGAATGTGTGTCTTCATCAAAACCTCTAAGTACATATTACAACTGAACAATTGTAAAAACATCTCCATCGGTTATTAGTCTTAAGATGGTAGAAGTACCAATTGTCTGAGAGCTACTTTCAAGTAACTAAAACAAAATATGCTCAATATAGATATCTTTATATTTACAACGTTGTGATCCAAATGTAATATTATCATTTTTATCTTGACATTTCACTGAACTTCTTTATCACTATCATCATTTAAAACATATTTCTATAACGAGTAATGATTAAAGCTTATAATCATGTATTAAATTAATAAGTCTAATAACGACCTATGAAAAAAACAATCATACGATCATTCTGATCATATAATAATCATTAATCTTTCAGTCTTATTCATTATACAAATTAATAGGTGAAAGCTTTGAGATGGATAGTCACTTTTCAATTATAGTAATAATTGAGAAAAATTTGAACGTCTAGTAGATGACATTTTGAATTCCTACATTCTTTCACTTGAATAGTCTAATTTCAAAGTTCTTATAGTTGTTACAGATAAAGTTCCATCATATTTATACAAATATACCTTGCTTATTAAATATAATAGATTAACGGAAGAATATTTTTCATTCACTGTCCTGGTGCCCAAACCGAAGCATGTGATTTTCTTAGGGGGCCACACCCGGAGCCCTTGACCTAAATATCTGATCCAAAATGCAGTGGAGCGTCGTGAGGAGATACAGTTCTATGGGAGCCGGTGACCAACAATAGGTTCATACGCCATTTGTTCCTTCAGGATGCTGTAGTCTATTTGCACCATTGGTTTGGAATCAGGGTTTTTCAACTCCCCTAGGTGGATCCTCCATATCCACCAACCCGGCCATAGAGCTGGACACTCGCTTTTCGTCCTCTCAATTTCGCAAATAACAGTAGTGCCACGAGAAGGCAGTCAGTAGGACTTGCCTGGCAGTGGTTGTATGTACATGGCCATATGAGAGTATTTCGAGAAGGAGAGATGACTCTCCCCACTCTCGAATGTATCAGGGGATTTGGGAGCCCTCATTAAACGATATCAACTGATACATTGTCTAAGTTGATAAATTCAGCTTCATCTAAGGCGATGAAATCAAACAATCCCGTAAAGAAACACCATACTCATTGAACGAGTAAGCAGATATCTTAACTCAATAGCTCAATGAATAACATGTTACGTTTTGAAGAGAAAGATGCTAAGTTCCAATTCTCTATAGGGAACATCAACATTACAATACAAACATATCCTACTGCCAAATATCAAGTGGGGTGAAATCCACATCTTGGATTCCGCTATCAGCTACAACCTAATCTTATTAAAACGACATATAGACACAATCTTCTCAGAATGGAAATATGTCATTAGATATTGGTTGGAAGCCAAGATTAATCAAAACAATGAGAAAACTTATACCACTTAATATAATATACATAATTTGTTATTTTTTACCTAGATAAATTAATTCATTTGGTGGTTTTGGTGTTTTAAATATATTCTTATCATATCCACCAGGTAAACCAAATGTGTAAGCAGTAAAATCTTTAATTAAACCAAGCCATAAATAAACACGTATTTGACTTTGAATTCTCCATCCTTTAGGTCCAGCACCCTCACGACCTTGTTTCTAAAATGAAGGAAATATTAACTAATATAAGTAAAGATAAAATTTTATTAAATACCTAGTGTACTTACTCACTTACGCCTGTTACTCACAACTACAACTCCTTCCTTTCTAGTTCTATCCAATTGTTATTCATTCTTCTAATGTCTATCTTCATTTCTCAAAGTAATGTGTTCTTTGATCTTCCTCTCCTTATTTGGCTTTGAAGATTCCATGTGAGGACTTGACTTGTGATGAAATCCGGTGCTTTCCTTAATGTGTGTCCCATCCACTTCCATTGCTTCTTCCTAATTTCTTCATCAGCTGAAATCTGGTTTGTTCTTTCCCACAGTTGGTTGTTGCTAATAGTGTCCGGCCAACGGATCCGAAGTATTTTGATTAGACAACTGTTACTAAATACTCGTATCTTCTGGATGATGGCTTTCGTAGTTCTCCAAGTTTCCGCCACATACAGTAGAACTGTTTTGACATGTGTATTGAAAATTCTGACCTTGGTGTTGGTTGATAATTGCTCCTGCTTTGACGACCCGCTCCTTTACATCTGTATAAGATCCACCGTGTTCATCAATGATGCTGCCCAGATATGTAAAGGTTTTTACATGTTCCAAATCTTCGCCGTCAAATGTGATCTGATTGTTGCATGCTGTGTTGTGTCGAAGAGTCTTTCTTTTTCCTTTGTGTATGTTGAAACCTACTGCTGCTGAGGCTGCTGCTCCGCCTGGGGCCTTTCTAGGGCTACTGCCGGTCCCAAGGCCGGATAAAGAAGGAGGGTTGAGCATAGGGTTAGTGACCACATCCTGTAGAAAACTAACTAGCTAAAAAGAACGCTAACCAGAAAATTATTCAAATACCTATTTTCCTCATCTATAAATCAATATAATCATCCTAAGTGTCTGTTGTCATCTTAGATCTTTTACTTGTAATTAACATTAGGTTATGAGTTAGTTTGTTACTATGTAAGCTTTGTATTTGTTTTTTATTACGATATTTTGAGCCGTTACCTTGGGTGGTTCTTCAAATTGTTAAAAAGAAAAAAAACTATGTAGATAGTAAAATAACATTTGTATTTTATTTCTTTCCATGTTGAATGTTTAAGAGATACCTTTCTAGAGTTATACTATATAGTTCACCTGTTAATTGAACTTTATTATTCTGATAAATAGTTATTGGCTATCTATAAGATTTTGAAAGGATATTACATGTTAAGAACACTTATATTTAGAAAATAGGTCAACTAGACAGATTAAAGGGTGGTGGAACACATACCCAAATGGCTGCAGAAACAAATAAATTGCAACGGTCAAATAAGAACATAGAATAGACAGACATCTACTTCCATTGCGAAACATTTGGTTGAGGCTGGTTATAAGCTTGATCTCATATCAGCATTTGTCGTGTTGTATAAAACCCATCAAGGGAGTATACTAAGGTTTAATAAAGCCTTGACTATACGGAAACTGAAACCCTCATTACGTGTTCAAAAACAATCTATTCATACCCTTAACCTACCCTTGTAATACTGATTTATTATCCAGAGTGGTTATCACATTGTTTTTGTGTACTATATTATCGTTTTTCTTTGTTACGGCCTCCCTTTAATCTGCTTAGTTGACCTATTTTTTTATATATAAGTGTTCTTAAACGTATATGTGTGATCAGATTTTTCGAAATGTATTGCGCAAATGTATCACACAGTTTCGATAACCTCTGTCTTCTCACTGCATTATCGAAATTTATCAGAGGGACTAATTATAAGAAGGAGGTTTGTGGAGATTTCATTTATTTAATAGTTGAATTCATGAGTCAGTTAAAGTTAGACCAATATGCAAAACCTGGAAGCACTGTACGGATGTTTTTTTTTCCAGTAAGGAACTCCTTGGTAATGCTCACCCACAAGCCCGCTCGCGCGATTCGAACCCAGGACCTAACTGTCTTGCGTGAGAACGCCTAACCTCTAGAACACTGAACTAGCTGTCTACTACTTCCAGATTTTTCATGACGGTCTAGCTTTAATTGACTCATGAATTCAACTGTTAAAAGGACTAGTTGTTTTAAACATTGATAGCTCTTACTTAAAATGTATGGCAGTTATCATTATATATAAGTAGGTCTGAAAGTTGACATAGTCAAATCAGCAATATTTTTTTTTAATCCGTCATTATTATGTTGAGTATGTCATTATGTAAAGTCAGTAAATTATGAGCAATACTGAAAAAAGAAAGTTCAACTTGTCAAACGAACCACAGTTTGAAATGAAAAGGGTAAAAATATGTGTGCGCTCTACTTAATACTACTATTATTATTATTAAGAAACAGAGTATGATTACTTTTGATTAATATAAGTAGTTCGATACGCTTTAAATTAAACCATGTTTCTGGATTAACTTTGTACAAACAAGTGAATATTTAAACTTATTAGAACTTTGATTTAATGTCTGAATGATTTTCATATGAAGTCTTAATCTATTCACTAATGGGAAATGGAGAGAGAGAAAAATTTGATTTCCTATTTACATTTTAATATTACATACACGTAAGTATAAAGTAGCCATTTGTCCACTCCATTTGCCTCTTTCACAATCTACAGCTGAATAATATATATCTCGTGCTGGAATTCTAACAAAACCAACTCTTTGATGTTCCAATATCATTGAAATAAAAACATCCGGTAAACCATCTTGTGGCTAAAACAAACAATAAAAACAAATCAGTAATCAATATAAATCAAATTGAAATTCATTTGACTATAATAAACATTGAATTGATCTGATTGCTTAAAAAGGTGCTTATCTTTTGCAAAATATCTTCGGTAGTAAACAAGAGCTAAAATTAGTGAGCATTCCATTTGAGAACTGAAACAATAAAAAAAGAGAATCACGGTGGTCTAGCTTCAATTGACTCATGATCTTAACTATTGAAATTACTAAAATCTCCCCAAAACCACCTTCTGAAACTGATCACTATATGCTCATCAGTGACTGGCTTCAAGATGCATGTCCTGGAGTTCTAGTGAGGAGCAGTGATCAGTGGAGTTCAACTGAGTCAGTTGTGAGTTAGTAACTCATTAATGACAATGGTGTATATGTCACTGAATTTCGTAGATTAGTTGAAGTTAGACATTAACACCATTGGATGCCATCTCAGTAGTCTAGTGGTTAAGATTGATAAACACTAGGTTCGAATTTTGTGAGGTGGGATCGTGGATTTGCACTGCTGTGGAGTCCCACAATAGGACGAAATTGTCGTCCAGTACTTCCACATTTTCCATAGTGGTCTAGCTTCCACTAAATCATGATCTCAACTATTGTGAATCGCTAATGTTTTGCAATACTAATTGATCTGAATAGTATCGTTAGCACTTATGCTTCAATCTAACTCTAATGGGATTATTTATTTGAGCAACTGATCTATTTTTCATTGATCACAGCTAAGTTATTATAACTTAGTGATCCCAAAGTGAAACATTCAATCCCTGAAATTCCTAAAAATCTGATTTTCCTCCTTGAATAATTTTAAAAAAAAAGTGAAATGTAAAATGAAGTTCAGGTCTGCTTATTAATTACTATTTCTCATGGTACAGATGATTGTATTCCATCTTTTCTGGTTATATTGTTTGGATTTGTCTGTATGTGTAGGGAGGGCTTCAGCTGTCAATTTGTTAGTATGAATAAAAACCTTTTGGAAGGAATTCTTTCTACCTTTGAAATCAATTCTATGTCAAGACTTCTTTGAACGTAATCACATCGTTGAATTGTTTCTTAAGGTTTTCTGAGGATTTTGGAATGTACTTTTCAATAAAAGTTTGTGTTCCTTCATCCTTACATTCAGTTGCCATGATATCTTACCTACGTATATAGCATTAGAGCCGCTACACCGACCATATATACACTATATAAATCTTCATCCTTTGATACTGAGTCTTTACCACTTAATGATTTACAGTTTAGAATATTGTTTTTTTTTCCAAAAAAAAATACACTTATTTTATGATGGTTTGGGATCCTTCTGGTGTCATCCGATGTTCCTTTACAATATGGGATCATCAATGGGTTAACCCAATCTTCAGATTTTCTTTTTTCTCCCAATTGTGTTTTCTTTCTGAATTACTTTTTTCTTCAAAAAGTTCCCTAGATAATTATTCTTCATCTCATTGAATATAAATAAATTCAACTCAGTTTGTTAATCATTCGGTTCTGTGAAGAGTTCCCGAACTCTATTTATCAAATTCTTAACCACCGTCACCTTTGTAGATAGGACATGTACTGAATTATAATCAAGATATTTCCCAACTTATATTGACTTGCGGAATATATTGATTTTTAAGCAATCATTCTCCTTCCTTTCAACTGAATAGCCAGGAAAAAGTAATTTGTAGTTACTGAATTCGATCTCTTTACTAAACATGATGCTATCAAATATACTGATGACATTTCTAAAACGTTTGCCACAGCCATCTTGCTTTAGAATTTACCTTCTTAATGTCTTACATAAATTTGGCATCCATCTTAGATAAAACTATTCTTCCAAATGTAGACGAAAAGTTTTACAAATATCTTCTCTGATTTAAAACAGTAGATGTTTTTCCTCCATCCCTATAAATTTCGATTTAGGTTGTTAGTTGACATCTTTATTTTCATCTATACACCGTCTCCTGTTGTTGTGTTAGATAACAGTCATATATGTATTGTGGTGTGTGCTACTGATGTCGGCAGACATGAGTAGTATGTATCATCAATCGAAAGTAAAATGACTGGAGGCAGAATGTTAAGAAGATCAAAGAAAGGAGAACGAGAACAGTGAATGATTGATGTGGAAAAGAAAGAACAATGAAGTCTGAGACGATTTATTGACATTTTGCAAATGAAGTATTTATTGTATGGTTCTCAGATTTTACTAAGATATTCTGTAATGTCTTCAGCTGTGTTCTCATTCACTACAGTATCTCTGTAGATCAAAACGTAAAAGTATTCTGTTCAGTGGTCAATTATCTGTATGATTTGAGGTTGTTCTTTTAACTTTTATCACAACCGAATCATGTTCAAAAGAATCAATGAAAATATGATCTGTGTTTTTTCACAATTGATTGATCACTGGGTGGAGATCAAAGTCATACGTGTCTAGTCCTTATTATTAGTGCAGATCGAATGCTATCGATCATGTTGCAATGTGGCCACCAGTCTAGGTGACTCGACACTGCGGGCACTATATATTGAGATTAGCTGGTGGTTGGAGGTAGTCGACAGGAAACCTTGGACCTGGGTTTTCTGCTACTTGGCACTCGTCAGCAAGGTGTACCTGTAATCTTGAGGGAACTGGTGCTCCCTGGCGGATTCGAAACTGGGTGACACGAGATCGAGTCCGCCAGAAAGCACCAGTTCCCTCAAGATTACAGGTACACCTTGCTAACGAGTGCCAAGTAGCAGAAAACCCAGGTCCAAGGTTTCCTGTCGACTACCTCCAACCACAATCTGATCTGTATTTTCTTGAGATATAAGCTTTTTGATGGAGTTTTTTCTCTGAGCACAAACTTTAAGTAGACGTATGTGCTGATGATATTGTTCAGAAGAACGATGAAAGCTCCATAACCAAACCATCCAGCTTAATGAAAAACACTCTATCAAAATCATCTACCTAAGCTACAAATCTACTCCATCATCTCAGATGTAAGCTATTTATTGATTCGGTTGTTCATTTTCATATAAACCATGTTCAAGGTAGCCGTATTTTAATTTCCAAATACACTGAAATCTATCATAATAAATTAGATTTAAAATCTTTGAACTTTACAAAGTTCCCATGATGTGTTATTAGAACAATTCAAAATCATAAATGAGAAACATACACAATTACTTAAATTGCACAAACGATTATGTAATGCATTGGCATCTTTAATTTTTTCACCCAATGTATTTTTGTGTATATGTTTTGATAAATGGATCATTAACATAGCCATTCTTCTTAAATCACGACGTATTCTACGTGAATATTCTCGATCAAGTAATGTTGTACTGGCAGTATCACGACATGATTTAATTGATTCTTGAGCTAAACTGAATTTTTTGGCCATTGTCAAAAACACTGTACGTAGATAATTTTTAGCTTCAGTTATCTTCCTTCTAATAAACAAATGCTTAACACGTTGTATTTGATAATACTAGTTGTTATGATAAAGAAAAAAGAGAACGGAAATGGGAATAAATATCAGACAACTTAAACAAAGGGTTTGTTTCTCTTTTAATTTTTAACTACTGAGTTATTTTAATCAGTAGTGTATTACAGAAACAGTTAACAACTTAATAGTCTTACCTACTTATCTTCTATATTACATGAACTCATTTCATCTAAATCAAGAACTATTTGGATTGCTTAATGTCAGTTTGACCAACTTGGTCACATCAATATTTCATCAAATTAATTATTCATTTATAACAATTGTAGTTAATAGTAAACTTTAAAATGCAGGGGAAGACAAATAGTGTAGCAGAAGCTACTGCAACAGTAGCAAAAAGCAACATCTTTAAATACAACACAGAGAACACCAACCCCATCACAACTGATGGAGAAACTCTCGAAGATATGGAATCTTTCACGTACCTGGGAAGTATCATCGATGAACGTTGAGGATCCAATGCAAACATGAATGAGAGGATTGCTAATGCAAAGACAACATCCCTAAATTTGAACAACATATAGAACTGAAAAGAACTTTCTGTAAACCAATTTCGAAGTCACAATCTTCAATACGAACGTCAAGACAGTACTGAGCTGAAAATTGGATAACTAACACAACCATCATCAAAGAATTACATGTATTTATGAACAAATGTCTACGCAAGATACTGAATGTCTGTTGTCGGCCGGATATCATCAGCAACAGCCGACTATGGGAGAGAACAAACTATGTTCCAACTGAAGAGAAAATTAAGAAAAGACGTTGGGATTGGATAGGACACATATTGAGGAAATCATCAAACTGTATCGTGAGGCGAGCCCTATCTTGTAATTGTGAAGGGAAACGGAAACGTGGAAGACTAAAGACCACACTACTTTGGGAATCGGAAACAGACATGAAAAGGATGAACAGCAGACGGAAAGAATTTTACATGACAGAGTTGGATGAAGTGTGCTGATGGTCACCCTATGCTTCTACCTGAGGAGTAACAGGCGTCAGTAAGTTTTTACTTATTTCGAATATACCTGGATCATAGTATGAGTAGATCCTAGATCTCACTATTCACAAGACTACAGTGATCATAACAATCGCTTAAATAAAACAAAGTACTTTAAATTTTAATCAAAATTTCATAATACCTTAATATCCTATGATACATATATACAAATTGCGTAATTTGTAATCGACAGAATTTCCCTATTTTACCGGTTGAATCAGTGCTAATTCGTTTGTAAGATAACTCAGAGTATGTAGGTTTCATACTTATCGTTTAATACTAAGTCAATTGAGTCAGCTAATACATTTGTTACTTTTATTATTAAAGGATTTCTTACTCAAATTCAATATAGAAATGATTAATTGTTATATCTCGATAAGCATAATGAATGGTTACTTTTGGGATCCATTTGTGAACCAATATTATGAGTATATCTTTATCGTATAATTGTTAAGTAACTAAACTATTCATATTCATGTTCCTCTTATTATGAGCTTTATTTTGACCTATGAACTATTATTATATGTTTTACCATTCTTGAGTTATTCTCTGTCTATCAATTACCATTTCCCACATTCACAGCCACATTTGGCTAAATATTGTATAAATGTTGTTTCCTATTTTATGGTACGTTTTAGTCTGCCTGGTTGATATATAAACCGAGTATGTTTGAAATAAATGACTCATATTGAAGAGGCTGGGATTGGTGCTCTGGACTTAACTGGCTGGTCTAGGCAGGAAGTAGGACCGATAAGTACTCCAGACTGCTCGTACGGGTTTACGCATCACTGATCCGATCGATAATTCACTGCTCTCTAATTGTCGGTATCGTTACGTTATGCATTAATAGGGCGCACAGACCACAAATTATAACATTAATCTGGTGAAAGTATTCAGAAGAAATTTATATCATCTTCGGAGGTATCGAACAGATTAGTAGAATAAACATACAGTGCTATATTGTTTGTCATTGTATTGGTAGGCTTTGATAGTTCATACACATCATATGTTGCTTCAAAGTCAGGTAAAACATATGATGTCACAAGGATAAGGGAATGATGATATTGTGAAGATATTGCTGTGATTAAGCCAACTTACCAACTAGCCAAGGTCACTATCTACATATCTTTGGCTGGATTGATCAAATAACTTGATTTGAATAGATAATTATTCAGACGTAGATATGAAATTTACTAAGTATTTTTAGTCTTCTCATGTTTGTATAGTCGATTGGGTCAAGCATCGTGAAGAGTTCAAATCCTGATTAATTAGGATTCATAGACCATAACAAGTACAAACCAAATTCCACCCATTTTCACATCTTAAATTCTTTCTCAACAAAAAATAACTAGATTCTTTGTTCATCTAACAATCAAGAAACTATACCCTTTTTATAAATATAACTACGTTTTCATTGTCTTATCTACTCTACCGTCTAATTAATGTTTGGTATGTACCATTTTAATCACTTCCATTTTTCCTAAAGACTTCACTGATTTACATTTTTGAACTAATGGTATTAATCTATCTTTTAGAAATAGATTAAAATTTACCCATCGAATAGTTTTAACTACTCCACAACTCTGACCTCTACAGTTAAGGGATTCATTTAGAAAAATTATCTGTAGTAGAATTAGATCCTACAATTATAGCATTCACAGCCCATCTATATCTACTCGTGTTTAGGTGTTGAAGTAACTATGTTAGTGCTCACATACCATCTAATAAAATATCACTACCTCTAAGCTTATTCATACTATTTAATAAATAGTTACTTTGTTAACCAATCACCTTCGTAACCGTTATTATATAAACCTCAACGGTGTTTAAAATCAGAAGGCAAAGAGAAGTGGCAACTACAGTTTCTTAGCAGATAGAGCAGATTACAAAGCTATAACCATGTCGAACAAATTTAAAGCGGAGAGACGAATAAGTATATACGAGCAAATTTGTAGTCAAACTGCATAAGGGCATACTAAGGTAAAGCAAAAGCTAATAATATGATTTGAGTACATATATACACGGCAATAGGACGAAACGACCGTGCAGTGCTTCCAAGTTTTCAATGATGCTCTGACATCAATCTGTTCATGATCACAATCAAATTTAGGATTGGATAGAAAGTTAATAATTGTCTCTCTATAAAGTCCTAATGAATAGGAGTAATATATTATTTAAAATTGTATTAATTCATTTCACTCAATTATTTATTCTGAAGAACTGACTGACATTAAGTTGCAAAACATCAGAAAGGCGATTTCCTATTCATTGAGATATTACTTTAGTAGCCCTATATCTGACGCCAATTGGATCGTTTCTGATTGCTATTGAGATATACATATCGTCAATTCTTGTATATTTCATCGACTTAAATCAAATAGGAGAATGAATTTTTGAATAGTCAGTCAGTCAGTCAGTAACAACGTAGAACTTCGTACGTACGTACATCAGTTCGAGTTGCCACACCACCTTGACACAGAGATGCAGTTTTCGATTCAAATCCCGTAGTGGTAGAAGTAGCAAGAGTGTAAGCAGTGATCGGGAAGATCAGGGTTTGGAGATGTTATTTAAAGAGTATAATTCAGTGAAATAAATTTGAAAAGAGGAAAAAAGGGACATGAAGAATTCAGAAGATTAGAATTTGGGAGAACACAAAGAGTGGATGCACCTGCGCCATTGCAAACTATTTTGAGCCATGTCATTCAGGGTCTCTAACCATCGGTTGCTATCATCTCGCGGTCCCCAACCAGGTAGTCTATACCTATCAACATGACTCAGACCACTTGTCAGTGACTTCATGGACTTGTGCCATGTTTTGGTCTGGCCACCCCTAGCTTTCTTCCAATCTACTCCTATACCACTGAACATCGCACGTCGGGATTTTTGAATAAGTATATTTTGTATACTCATTGTTCTGGGCAGGCAATCAGAGTGACAAGGCACAGGAAAGTGAAGAGAAGAGAGTGAAGCGAAACGACGGTCGATGGAGGTGTATGAGCAAGCTCCATTTTAACAAGCGTAAATCAATATTTATAGTCACACAAAAATAAGTTACAGACATGTGATGAATGAGGTAAGAGATGTACACACAGATACGCTCATATAAAAACAGTCAAGATTGATAAGTGAATAATTAACAAGGTCAAAATGTGAATCAAAAGAAGGGATAAATTAGCCTGTTCAGAAGCTAGAATAAGGTATATGAACCTAATATAGTAACTCACACTACATTACAAATACATGCAAGTACACCCAGTTGACGAGCTCCAATGCACATCCTGGATTCCACTGCTAGTTACATTTTTGATTGAGATCATGAATCGATCGATGCTAGATCATTAATAAAAGCCTGAAAGTACTAGACGACCGTTTCGTCCTAGTATGGGACTCCCCAGCACTGCGCACCCATAACCCCACAAGCGGGATTCGAATCCAGGGCCTCAGTTTTGCACGTGAACGCCTAACCTCTAGACTACTAATAAGGTATCCAACACTGTTAATGTCTAACTTCAATTAATGCACAAGATTGCGCGACTATCTTCTAATATCTGAGGTAGATACCTTTCTCTACTTGACACGGTTTAGACTCCAATGGTCACAGGTTCTTACTAGAACTCCAAGAATTACCTCACCAAACTAGTCACTAGTGAGTAAATGGTATTATATTAGTTAAATGTTTTTTTCTTCTAATATTGGCAAACTAACAATTTTCATAATATTTCAATCGCTTAATTTACATTTCACTTACCAATTCTTCACTTAATTTCTCTAAAATATTAGGTATACACATTCTGGAACGATGATCTTCATAATAACCAGTTAAATATAAACATGGCTTTTTATTACCAAAGTTTAAATAATAGTATTCTTTATCATCTGTTGTTGGATTCAGTGGTGTTGTAGTTGAATAACACCAGTCTACTCGTTCTCGTGTATTATCTGTAATAAAATAGTAATAATAATAAAGTCATAGAATGATATGATGTAATTACAATTTACTATGGCAAATGAACATTACTATAAATGTACTTGATGTTGTTTTACTTGTATCTTCCCATTGTTATTTAGGACTGCAATTGATCAGTTTCATGCCGGCATGTATGCATCCTGTGCGGATTGCATCGATTGCATCGAATCTAGGACGCGCGTTCCGTCCTATTCGAGACTCGTCAGCTTGATGTACCTGCATCGCAGAGTTGATGTTCACTCTGTGACTTGAATCCAGTACCATTCGCTTCAAACACCATCGCATTATCCACTAAGCTGCTGAGTCGTGAATTTAAACTTCACCTCATTGCACAAGCGTTTTTTTGGTAAGCGTTTTTTTAGCGAGTTAGTTTTCTACGGGATGGGGACGCTAACCCCATGCCCAACCCTCCTCCTTTACCCGGGCTTGGGACCGGCAGTAACCCTATAAGAGCTACAGGTGGAGCAAGGACAGCAAGGACAGCATTCCTACAGTTAAAGAACAAATGGAACTCAAAACAACTTTCAACCAATATCAAAGTGAGAATCTTCAATATCAACATCAAGGCAGTTCTACTGTATGGAGCTGAAACTTGGAGAACTACAACAACCACAATCAAGAAAGTACAAGTATTTATAAATAGCTGTCTACACAAGATACTCAACATCCATTGGCCGGATACAATCAGCAATAGCCTTTTGTGGGAGAGAACGAATCAGCTTCCAGCTGAAGAAGAAATTAAGAAAAGACGATGGAAATGGATAGGACATACATTACGCAAATCGTCAAACTGCATCACGAGGCAAGCGCTAACTTGGAATCCTGAAGGGAAGCAAAAAAGAGGAAGGCCAAAGAACACATTGCGTCGGATAATAGAAGCAGATATGAAAACGATGAATAACAACTGGAAGGAGCTGGAAAGGATTGCCCAGGACAGCGTTGGATGGAGAATGCTGGTGAGCGGCCTATGCTCCTTCACAAGGAGTAACAGGCGTAAGTAAGTAAGTAAGTCATTGCACAAGCAGGTGGCTATCAGGATTCAGTATCTAAGTGGATAACGTGATAGCATTTGAAGCGAACGGTACTGGGTTTGAGTCCCAGAGTAAACACCAACTCTGAGATGCAGGTACATCGAGCTGACGAGTCCCGAATAGGATGAAACGCGATTCCTGGATGCTACTGCTAGCCACTATCCGTCTTTGCTTAAAATTACTGTAAATGACTTTTAAATAGAATCAAACCCAATTAAACTTATGAACTTTATAAGTAGTTAATAAATTCATTTTTTAGAATAACATAAACTTAATCAGTGTGGTATATATTTACTAAATCAGTTTCAAAAAAAATTCATTTACTTGGTTGTGCAAGTTCTGTTGTCTGTAATTCAACTCCACCTCGTTTTCCATCCAGTTGGTTACCATATAATCCTGTGAAAAAAAGATAAATTTTGAGATTTTTACTCAAAACAATAATGGAAACAATGTGAGCTAACACTTAAATGTACAACAAACAAAAAAAGTGTTTATAAATCGTATTCATTCAGTCTTCATCGACTCTAATCGCCCAAATAATCCGCACGTCGATTTTGACATTGTAATTATAAACCGTTCAAACCTATTAACTGTTATATCCCCGCGAGAATAATGGATGGTAACTGTTGGGATCCATCTATGAACTGATACTATACATACAATCTTATTGTATAATTGTTAAGTAACTAAACTATTCATATTCATGTTCCTTTTATCATAAACTTTATTTTGACCTATGAAGTATTATTATACGAGTCTATCGATCACTACCTCCCACATTCACAGCCACATTTTTGGCTCGATTTTGTACAAATGTTATTTCACTGATTGAAATCATGAGTCAATTGAAACTAGACCACTATGGAAAACCTGGAAGCACTGGACGGCCGTTTCGTCCTAGTATGGAACTCCTCAGTAGTGCGCATCCACGGTTTCGAAGCTAGACATTAACACCGTTGGACACCAGCCGGCTCAGTGGTCTAGTTGGTTAAGCGCCTGGCGCGACACTGATAGGTCCTGGGCTCAAATCTCACGGGGTGCAGGACCGCGGGTGCGCACTGCTGAGGAGTTCCACAATAGGACGAAACGGTCGTCCAGTACTTCCAGGTTTTCCATGGTGGTCTAGCTTCGATTGACTCATGATTTCAACTAGTGAAATTTGTAAAATCTCCACAAAACCCTTTCTGACAAATGTTATTCCCTATTTTATGGTGTAATGTGATCTGTTTGGTTTGTGTATAAACCGGGTATTTTTGAAATAAATGATTCGTATATTGGAAGCTGGTATTGGTGTTCTGGATTCAACTGGAAGGGCTAGGAGAAAAAAGGACTAATAAGGACTCTAGACTTCTCATACCGGTTGATACATCATTGATTTAGCACAGTGCTCATATTGTATAAGTCGTATATCTATTAGCCCGGACAAAAGTCACAACACTAATATTTTGTGTGCAACTCCTGAAGTAACTTAGTATTATGATTTTTCTACTATGTCATCATGTTTACCAACTGTTCATAAGTTCGTACGCTGAAATTTGCATTTACATACGATTGTGATGAACCAAACCATCCAGCTCAGAGAACAAAACTCCATCGAAATCATCTATCTGTGCTAGAAATCTTCTCCACCATCTCAATATACGATTATGTAACTTGATGATGAATTTGTTGGCAAAGGATCCCTACGCTAAATTTCATGTTTTCAATCCTTAATTGGAAATTATTCAACCAATCAATCATTGAAAGAGGAGAAATTAATAGTCTTCGAGGTAGAATAAGAAGAAATTAACACATTCTATTCCTTTTTGTGTATTTTTATACTACTTATTGATATTCAGTAACCAGTTTAGTTCTAATAAGCACATACACAAACTTGTAACATTAATTTTATTTATTATTGGATTATCATTTTTCTCTTCCAGTTTTCAAACAACTGTTGAGTGTCACAGAGATTATGGTATTTTATTGTAAGTAACCTTTAAGGAAATATCTTCAGTTGATTGCACATTGATATGGCCTATACCGTAGATGCGTGTGATAATAGTATTGTCATTGCAGATAATCTTACACTTTTGTCTACCAGATTTTATACGTCACTTAATCATATGGTCTGAAAATTCTATATATAGTTTCAAATCGACAAATGAGATCATATGATGAAAGTATAAAATGTTACTAAGCTTTAGATTTGGAAATGGTAAGGATTAATTTCAACTGTTATTATAATTATAGATAACATTTAAATTACAAGTCTGAAACCAATGGGGAATAACTTCATGGATTGTTACCATTTACTAATATACCTAGTGATAATTTTTATTCAACTTAATCCTATACCAGATAGTATTCAGTCTAGTGATAAGCTGTGGCGAAACATCCGTAACACATATCCTAATTACATTGCTTGATATAGGCTTGTAGTCTTGTCAACCGATTTACTCCTGTTACTTAATACTATACACCTCATACTAGTACTATCCAATTACTGATTTTTATTCATCTGTAAGATAAAAGCCCAGGTTCAGTGTGTTCACCAAGTTATTTCATTCTTATGAGTTCATTTATTACTATTGATGAATATTCTAAGTTTGAATAGTGCAATAAGAAGACATAGATTATCAGAACTTTGTTTATAGCACATAAATAAAGTCTCACTGAAGACCTAAGCGAAAACATATCCTTTTATAAAAGGTATGTGGATGACATCTGTAAAAGAAAGGAGGATATAAATTGCTTATTGGATAAACTTTGTAGTGTAAGTTACTATGTTAAGCCCATATACCTTATTCTAACTTTCGGACATCCCATTCTATCCATTCTACTTGAGTCATATTTCGACCTTGTTAATTATTCGCTTATCAATCTAGAATTTTTATATGAGCGTATATGTGCGCGACTTCATATCCCATTACTCACCACATGTCTGTAGCTTTATTTTGTCTGACTATAAATATTGAGTAACGCTTGACTGAAATGGAGTTGGCTTCCCAGCTATCTTCCCTGCGTGTCATTTTGCTTTGCTCTGTTTCATTCGCTTCATATACAAAATATATGTATTCACAAATCAATTCTCGTTATTCGACTTACTTAATTCCGTTATTGGCTAACGCGATTAAATCAATGATTATATACGAGAATAGGCGATAACAACCATTCGTACGATCTTGGAGTTAGATCCACGGGCCACTAAAACTTAACACTTAAAAAACACATCGATCTTTCATTTTGAAAAGAGAAGAACGACTAGCTTTTTTTCTTATAAGTAGGAGAGATGGTTCAGTCAAACAATTCATTTTTTAAAAGCTAACTTGGACAGATCAGTATCCTAGTTATAATATTTATTGCTTAGTTCGACACAAACGTGGCCTATTTAACACGATTGATCGTATTTGCACAAGAGACGTTGTTGATGGCGAAGTCAGTTTGTTGAACAGAACAGTAATAAGAAATGGTTATCCTTTAAAATTCATAAATCGATGGAAAGGTCATAGTATTGTAAGACCTATTATATCTTTGGCACAAAAAACCTCTCAACATCACCTTGCCATTCAGAGATGAGTCAAGCAGCCTTTTTATTGAAACAAACGCTTAAACCAGTTATCAACAAATCGTACTACCCTGCAAAAGTCATTATTAAAGACAGAAAAAACAGTTCCATGATTTACCAAAAACCTAAAAGACATTAAAACGATCGCGTCACATACCACTGCGTTTACCAATTTAAATGTGTGTGTGGTCACACATACATAGGGAGGAGAAATCGTGATCTCTAAATTAGGGTATCTTGAACATGTACCTAAATTGTTACTAAGACAACTAATATCAAATGTCCCAATAAAAGTAGATAATAAACATCCATTATCCTCTTTTGCTAAACATATAGTTGAAACATGTCATAAGATTGATCTTTACTCAGCTTTTGTGATTTCGTACAAAAGTATTAAAGAGAGTATACTGTTTTTTTAACCCCCCCCCCCGATCATGTATTAAAAAATAGTTTGTTCTCATCTGAAACTTATCCTGGTAGTATTAGTTTACTATCTGGCATGCAGAAAACATGACATGTAAAGAGATGTAACTTGAGATCGTGGAGAAGATTTCTAGATCAGTTGAATGATTTTGATAAAGTTCTATTCTACCTAAAGTTTATACTGATGATATTGTTCAACAGAACCATCTAGCTAAAAGAATAATACTTCATATCAAGGTGTAAATTATTGAAACTCTTCTACTGATGGTAAGATTTACATGTTCCATAATAATCCAAGTGAAATATTATTCAGAATATTAAAATCAATAAAAGACAATAATAAAATCAATAAAAATATTAATATTATCCTACCGAAACTGATTTCATAAGAGATTGGTTTATTCTTAACACCAAGTTTTTTCTCAATTACACTTGCTTCAGAGAAACAAGCAAATAAAAAGTATAAACTTTTTTTCCCCGCTACAGTCTATAAAAATGAAATAAAGAAGGGGGGTCTTTTAAATTATATCTATATATACATATGTACATATACCTATATTTTTTTTAATTTTACAGAACGATACTACTTATTTGAAATAGAACAAGAACAACACATAGTTGATTCATTGTATTTGAGGGTTTCTTATCCATTGTAATTAATTATCTAACAAGGACATAGAGAATGATTATTGTTAGGCTTAGTAAACATGTTTCTAGAATTCTAGAGATCTAAATAGGTGATAAACTATTTATCAGTGAAATTGTCAGTCATCATTTTGATTTCAAAAACAGACAATTAACATCAGTTCTATTTTGATTTACAGAGGTGATCGTTATCAAAATTTTCCAACCTAACTAATCTTCTATAGAAAGAAAGTGTACTTAGCCATTTTATACGTGAGAACTGAATGTAAAAATGGAATAATCTTTTTAATTTATTTTAAGCATTTATCGTCTTCTAATTTTAATCTCTTACATAATCTCTTCATTACAATAGATTACTTACTTACGACTGTAACAATTTATGGAATAGCATAGGTCACCCACCAGGATTCTCTATCGAACTCTGGAAGATTATAATAAATAGTAGCTAGAAAAATCATCTATTCTATTCTTCATTACTAATTCCAACACATAACTTCGTTAGTTGAAATCATGAGTCAGTTGAAGCTACATCACTATGGCAAACCTGGAAGTACTGGACGGCCGTTTTGTCCTAGTATGGGACTTCTCAACAGTACACATCCAAGATCTAGCCCCCACCCCCGCGAGACCGAACCTATTTACAGTAGACTAAACAATGCGCTTCTTTATAAAACATTAATTATAGCAGGCAGACGTAAATCAAAGAACTAAAATGGTCGAATTTCATCAAATGAATATAGTTGTAATGCTAGGCAATCCCACATAGGATATTCTGAATTCCGGATAAACTAATCTACTCATTCTTCTTGAGTCACATGTCGACCTTGTTAATTATTCACTTATCAAGCTTGACATTTTTTATATGAGCGTATGTGTGTACATTGATTTTCCCACACATCACATACCGGTAACTTATTTTCATCTGACAATAAATACTGATTAACGCTTGATTAAATTAAATTGGCTAACACGCCTTCGCCACCGTGAGTCATTTCGCTACACTCTCTTCACTTCATTTTGTTTCTTCGATTGTTTTCTTGAATCAATGATTATATGAAATACACGTATTCGAAATACATTCTCGTATTTGACTTATTTAATTCCGTTATACACCAACACGACTTGAGTCGATTATTATATACGAGAATAGTCAGGATGTATATTTCGATAGCAACTATTTTATAGTAATCAGAAACTATCCAAATGGAGTAAGATATAACGCCACTAAAGTGATGAGTTCGTCGAAAACATCGTCCAATCTAAGTGGCGTCAAAATAACTGGCCACTGAAATAGTCATGGTCAAAAGAGAACCGGCTTGATGAATGGCTAACAGGAAGAAATCCCAATCACTTAGTAATAAATAGATTTGAACATTAATTTTTTTTAATTGACAAATATAAAACAAACTCGAATTTAGAATCTATGTATTACTTTCCCTACATTTTGAATTATAATCTATGTGGAAGATGATATATTTGGTGATTGATCATTATTCTGACATTGTAAACTGACACTAATTTCACACGGTAAAATGCTTACAGTCAAGCTTTTAGAATTCCTTCTAACGGACCTTATATGGCAATGCATACAAACTGTTGCTTGATAGACAACCAGTAAACTCTCTAATTCGGTTTCCTCTTATGTGAAGCCCATGAATATTTAGAGTTATGAGAACAAGTCAACTAGACTCATATATATTTAAATATTATTATTAGGCCTATTGATAATAATGTTCATTGTCCAAAACATTGTTCCTAGTACAGTTAGTCTGAATAACATCATTAAAGATCACCATACATTGTTTATTGTTTTTAATAACTATGTTACTATATTAACGAAGCAACCTATCAATAAATATTTTTTCCATGAATATTGCTATTGTCGTAATTCCTCAATGACTGCATCAAACAATTCGCTTGAATTTCAGAACTGTCTTTGAATCAGATAATCATTTCTATTTAAGATTAAATCCCCACTTTATTCTACAAATTCCTAGCTCAATAACAGGCCGTCTATAGTTAATAGATCAATAAGTAATGACTAATGTTATGTATGTCAATTCCCTCTAAGTTCTGATAAAACTTGACAGATTTAGTTGCAGTGTGGTTACCAGTTTAAAGGAATCGACATCTAGTGCACTGTGTTGAGAGAGAAGCTGGTAACTGGAAGTAGTCGACAGAAAATTAAGTCGTTTTGCACTAAGAAGGGCTTGGAAGATATGACTTTGGTAATCAATTAATTGGAAATATAACTCCGATCTACAGGAGGTCAGTGGCGGCCCAGATACCTTAGAATCGATGTCTTAGAATGTGAAACTGCATGACACATATAAACTTCACAAAGAGCGGTAGTCACTAAAGACTACATGGGCACCTTGCTGATGAATGCCAAATAGCAGGAAACCTGGGTCCAGGATTTCCTATTGACTGCATCCAACCACCAATCCATAAAATGGACTGCTTTATATCATTTGTATCATCGGTTTCGTAAGTATTAAATTTACTGATACTTTATTAATAAAGCTAAATACTTGAAGGTTGTTGCTACTATGGTAAGCTGTCTCGAATGTATATTTAGTAGCCCAAGATCTGACTACAGGTAGGTCGTTCAAAATATACAAGTCGCCAATACTCGTATATAACCTTTGACTTAAATCGCGTTGGTAACGGAACTAAATAAGTCAAATACGATAATTGATTTTTGAATACATATATTTCGTACAACCGTTGGTCGTAAAGCGAAGCAAAAGGAAATGACGCGCACTGGGGAAGGCAAGTGAACCAACTCAATTAAGCTTGAATCGATATTTATAGTCAGACCAAAATAATTTACAGACATGTAATGAGTCGTATAAGAAATGCACACACATACGCTCATATAAATGTAGTAAAGGTTGATAAGCCAATAAGTGACAAGGTCGAAATGTAGCTTGAGAAGAATGGATAAACTGGCTTGTCCGGAAGCCAGAATAACCTATATGGGCTTGACACAGGGCCAGCCACTACACAAACATGGAGGACCATATCATAAAACTTATGCATTCAGTTAGTGCCGTCACGTTGTTTCTTGTGTGTAATGGGGTATAAGCATGTGTTCAGGTGTTCTATAAATATCTTCATATAAATACCTCAAAAAGTATCTTTTCTTCAACTAATCTATCAACCAAAGACGACTGAGACATTCTGTTTACAGTGACTAAGACATGTATTCATTTCCTGGATAACCTCAAATTACCTCTGAAACAGGACTTGCAACAACTTTACTAGTACCAATTCGAACTACATCTTCATCTTCCATCGATCGTATAGCTAGAAGTAGTCGACCACGATAAGCAACTCCTTCTCCAAGTGCTTGATTTAATTCTACTTCTGGCTGTAACATTTGTGCATATGTATAGATTCGTGGAGTTCCATAAAGATTAATCCAAGATGGTCCAAAATGTGGAAAATTACCTAAGAAATAAATATAATTAAGTATCTTATTTCACAATTAAATAATTTTAATAGTTGAGATCATGAGTTAATTGAAGCTAGACCACCATGGAAAACCTGGAGGCACTGGACTACCGTTTCGCACGCGAGACTGATAAGTCTGGAGTTCGAATCCCGCGAGGCGGGATCGTGAGAACACACTGCCGAGAGGTCCCACAGTGCTTCCGGATTTTCTCTGGTGATCTAGCTTCAATTGACTCATGATTTCAACTATTCACATTGCTATAATACCCACGAAACCCCTTGTGAAATTAAATAACTGTTAAGAAACTATAGAATGGCACAATATTTACAAAGATATTCTTACGATGTTAAACACAATAGAGGTTATGAAATATATGTTATGTCATGGGAAGATTTTTTTTAGAAAAGCACATTTCAGAGACCAATAGTTGACCATTTTTATTCGTACTGTTGTTATTATTTTTCATTAGAGAATCTGTTGTTCATTATTTGTCTCATTTTTAGGTTAAGCAGTTATACAGAAATGTATATTTTTCATGAATGGTTGATTACGACGTGCGCTTTACATACGAGAAGTTTAGTCCTTTTTCATCGATAATATATTTAGGTATCGGTGATCCACTGCTATTAGGTATGGAAGTCCGTTTAGCGAAAGCTTCTTCTATTCCATCCGAAACCATTTGAATCATTTGATATAATTAACGAGTTTGGTTTATCATTGTAAAACTAACTTAAAGGCACTAGGAATTATTTCTGGCTTCATTCAGTTTGAATAGAGGTTTAGTGTACGCGTGAGAAACTCGAGACTTTTGGTTCGAATCTCGCGAGATGGGATCGTGGATGCGCAATGCTGAGGAGTCCCATAATGGGACGAAACGGCCGTTCAGTGCTTCTAGGTTTGTAACAATGATCTAACATTGATCGGTTTATGATCTCAATCAAAAAGATTTGAATTAAATGGACAATTGAATTGTTTTTTGCTAAATTCAAATAATTAGTATTGAAAGAAAATAATAAATAAATAATTTTCAGGTCTAAATTTCCCTATGACACTATTAATAGTGATATCATTTCAGGGTCTATCTATTTGTGACTGTTGTGATTCACCACACTGAACATATTCATCACATACATATTTGAATAATTCCAATCTCTTAAAAGGACATTTGTCAAGAAAACTATACTTCAACATCTAACATTTACTCATTAGCTGAACAATATGACATATTAAATGAATATTGATAGTGTTAGGGAAATTTCAGTTACATGTTACAGTTTACTACAAATCTGATCAATTCTCTTAGAACGATATTTCTATTTATTAACTTCTCTGTAGTTAGTCTTTGATCAGAAATTATTATTTCTGATCATCTTTTTAAAAAAAATATTTTTACTGATGACCAAATTATAAATAATCATTTTCAAAGTAAATACATCATTAACAGTTGAGATAGATGGTGGATACCAGTGGAATCCAGAACTGAGTCCTATTTGAGACTCGTCAATTCGATGTACTTGCATCTCACAGTTAATGTTTACTCCGAGACTCGAAGTGAGTACCGTTCGCTACAAACACCACCATGTTATTCACTTAGTTATTGAGCCTTGATAGGCATTAGCTTGTGCAATGGAGTGAAGTTTGAATTAATTTTGTATTGTTTATTTGAATCTTTTGATTGATGTTTAAGACTATAATTAGTCTCTTATTGACATATGTACACTCTGTACGAATTGCCTCGATATTTCCTTAAGCTACCATTCATCTTTGTTTGGAATGCTTGTGACTTAAGACAATATCAGGTTAATTCGTACAGAATGCTTATGTGCCAATAAAAGACTGATCAATTACATACTTAAACATTAATGATAAGATTCAAATAAACAGTACAAAGATGAATTTACATTAACACTTGTATTGCCTCGGAAATAAAATTACTGGTAAAAAGGTTTCTCAGCTCAATCATTCTCTTTTTACAATGATAAAAATGATTATAATTTTATAATTGTTATAATGATCGGTTTTCTACGTCTATACAAATGGGATGTCAATTTACTTTAGACAAATATCTACACTAGATTCCATCCCAGTGTCTATACTACAGGACTTCAACATAACTCAGATTAAGGACACGTGATTAACCTGACTAGAATGTAAGTATATTTCCACACCAATATACCGAAAACAAGCCGACACAATCCAACAACAACCATAATAATAATAATAAGGATAACAGAATATATAACTCATGTAACTCCTGTCAGACTATCTGCATGTCTGACTAAGCAATCAATCAATCGCTATCATTCTCGTTCACATATCAGTAATATCCCAATGAATTAACTCAATATTTTGAATAATTTGCTTTTAATAGTTTGTACATAATGAATATAATAGATTTCCATGAAATAAAAATCACAGTTCATCATGTTTTTCGTATGCTGTCCTTCCTCTTTTCCTTTTGAATAAGTTAGTGTTTATCCAGACTTAGTAATTTACTGAACAACACTTTGAAATATTAATCCATAGAGACTAGGTTCAAGTTGCAATGTGAACATCAACATTCAGATACAGTTTCATCCAGCTAAGAATACCACTTACATACTTACTTACGCTTGTTTTCCCTCGTGGAGAAGCATAGGTCACTACTCATCAGCATTCTTTATCCAACTCTGTCTTGGACAATTGGTTCCAATTATGTTCAGTTGCTAATTTCACTATTAGCCACTTACTAAATGTATTAAAAACTGTCTTTCTAATTTCTTTCGTGTTTATCATAGATTAAAAACTATTGAATATCATGAAACATTGAACATCTCATATTGTTTCTGGTCTTTGACTTTCTCCAAGACGTTTATCCATTGATGTATGTTGTAAAATAATTAACAATATAAAACAATAGGTAATTATAAAATTCAACTTACGACCAGTAATATGGCACATAATATCACGTATATCAATTAAACGTGTAGCAATTAGTTCACCTTTTATTCCACCATTTCTAACATTAATTCTAATAGTTCGAGTAAATGTTGGAAAATAATCACAAAATTCAATTGTTTCATTCCATATTGGATTATAATTATATCGTTCTGTTTTAGTTCTAGCCTATCGTGTTTAAAGAAGTAAAAAGTATAAATTTCATCGGAAATAAAAATCGATATGAATAACTATTCATCCTTTTAGATACAATTGTTGAATAGTTATGAACGATCAATGAATTTAAAAGAGACATTCTGGATTTTTGTAAGCAATGATGGATAGTGGATAACAGTGAAATTCAGGACGCACGCTTCGTCCTATTTGGGACTCGTCAGTTGGATGTGCCTACATCTCAGAGTTCATGTCCACTCTGGAACTCGAACCCAGTACCATTCGCTTCAAACGCCATCACGTTATCCATTTAGCTATTGAGTCCTGAACAGCCACTTGCTTGTGCGATGGGGTGAATTTGAATTCACTTGGTATTATTTGGCTTGTATCTTCCTGTTGTGATTGTGTGCAGCAGATTAGACAGTAGCGTATTATCGGCCGGACCAAAGACGCGTAAACCCATAAGAACGACCGAGAGTCCCGATTGGCCCTACCTCCCTGTCTAACCCAGCCAGTTGAGTCCAGAACGCAAGTCTCAGCCTCTGAGATATGAGTCATTATATTTCAAGCATACTGAGTTTATATACCAATCAAACCGACCACAACGTACCAATAAAATATGAAACAACATATGTACAAGAATTAGCCAGATGTGACTGTGAATGAGGGAGGTAACGATTAATAGACAGGGAATAATTCATGAATGGTAAATCGTTTAGTAATAATCTGTGGCTCAAATCAAAGCTTATACTAAGAGCGACATGAATATCAACAGTTTAGTTCCATAACAATTATACGATAAAAATACCCTCATAATATTGGTCCATAGATGGATCCCAAAAACTACCATTCACTATTCTTATCGGGATGCAATACTTCCCATTGAGGTTTAAGACTGCAATTGATCAGTTTGTTATTGGCATGTGTGCATACTGTGCATATTCTTCGATATTGCCTTAATTCATAAGCTTTTTGTAAGCACACGCACAAGTAAGTGCCTATCAGGACTCAGTAGCTAAGTGGATAACGCGATAGCATTTGAAGCGAATGGTACTGGGTTCGAGCCCCAGAGTGAACATCAACTCTGTGATGAAGGTACATCGAGCTGACGAGTCCCGAATGGGACGAAACGTGCGTCCTGGATTCCACTGCTAGCCACTATCTATCATTGCTTACAAATAGCTTGTGAATTAAGGCAATATCGAGGCATACTCACAGTATACACATATGCCGATAACATACTGATCAATTGCAGTCTTAAACCTCAATGGGAAAATGAATTTAAACAAATAGTAACTCTAAGGTTGGCAGTCAAAACTTTTATCGTAATTTTACTGACCATTCAAGCATACAAGTTAAGTTTGTTAATTTGAATCATTTCAAATACTATTTTCATCATAATAAACAATCTTTATTCCAAGATGAACAACACAACATAAATTAGCCGAAGTCAGAATTAGGTGACATATGAAGGCATCAAATCTTATCACATATAGAATAGGAGCTATGAATTAGAAGATCAGTTTGAACGAAAAAAAAATGTTTGTCAGTTAGAAATCTTAGCTAACTTCCTTAAGAAGTCTTTTAAAAGCCAGTAAAAGCCTCAAAGATACGTCATTCATTCATTGAAAGCTCTCAAGCAAAATCTAGAAAGTAACTAATTATTGTTTCCTTATACAGGTTGGACAATTACAATTTTCATTACTTACTTTAGTAGGTTTTCCAAAAGTTTTTAGACTCTTATTATCCTACGATAACATTCATGTTTTTACATGATTCAACATTCGAAGTAAAGCTTTTTTTAAGTTTTTTTTTACCTTCTGTTTTTTTATTCGGGGTTCATAAGGAGAAGATTTTAGGGACTGGGAAGATGGGAAATCGATGTTATCACAGTCGATTGTTTTTGGTTTTCGTTGGTTCTCTAGCTAATGTTATTTTAATAATTAAAAAACTATATTTCAATGGTGTTTAATCAATCTCAAATGCAGCAGTGGTTGCACTCTGTTCTTTGTATCTACTCTTACTGATATACTTCTGTAATAACACCGTTTGTGTTGTACGGTCATCAAAGAAGCTATAGTACTTGGATACGACGAAACATAATCCACGTTAGGTATTAACCATGAGGTGTGATCTCAACGTTAGCTGGTTAGTCACACCATTACCGTTCAATTCGAGTAATCCCTCAATCATTCGGCATAGATCATCTAAGTTAGTGATCTACTTAGTCATGAATAAACATTTCAAGGAGCCAGAAAAAAATATTGACTTCACTTGACTACGTGCGTGTTATTCCAGTGAATTTATTATTGAGAATAAGGTATTTAACTTTTGACCACTAAGTAACAGATTTGAACTTTGCCCACTTATTTTAATTTAAATATTAGCTCAGTATAACGAAGCCATACACACAGAAAGTGTGACTCGTGACAGAGTACATAACACTATTCATTGTTATATCAGATTCGAAATTAAACAATATGAACTAAATACAGTGATTTTTTTTATTAAAATCGTGAATCGATGAACGTTAGACCCTCATTAAAAACCTGGAAGCGTCAGACAGCCGTTTCATCCTTGTTAGAATATTCGGAAAAATATACCAATAATTATCATGTTAAGTCTAATGGTGTCCTTGGACTTTAAATGGACATTCCCTATTGATCAATATTTATTTCACTTGTTGAATATTGTGTAAATGTTGTTTTCTATTTTATGGTACGATGTGATCTGTTTGGTTGGTATATAAACAGAGTATGTCTGAAATATAATGATTCATATCTGAGACTTGCGTTCTGGACTCAACAGGCTGGGCTAGACAGGGAAGTAGGGCTAATCGGGACTCTAGGTCGTTCTTACGGGTTCGCGCGTCTTTGGTCCGATCGGTAATTAGCTAACCTCCAATCAGCAGTATTTTCACGTTACAACAGTCCCAATATTGGTCTCCTTAGCAGTGCGCACCCACGATCTCGGACGTAAGATTCGGACCCAGGACCTTCGGTTTCATTCATTTTTATTGATGATGAGATAATGAAAAAAAATTTGCAATCATAATCTCAACAACAAAAAACCAAAACACACCACCAGAATGATAACAATACTTACTGTATGTCCAGCATAAGAAACTTCCACGTATGAATCAAGATTTGGTGTATTTTCTCCAACAAATGCTTTTCTGATTTTATTGCTTATTTCTGTATTCATTGGAGGCAAATCTTCAGCTTGATATATACTGACTTTCATGGAGAGCATAATACGTTTTTGTGTCATACCGGTATAACGTGGTAATAGTAAATGACTAAGAAAAAAAATTGAAGAGAATACAATAGATTATTAAGAAAATGTTTATTTGGATAAACGGTGTTACTTTTCTACATTAGTGAATAGTTATCAGCTTGATTTTGAATAGTATGAAACATTGATTTAATCTGATCAAGATTGTAGATTGAAAGGATATTGAAGATTTTGGATAATGTAGCCCAATAATTGATCATTTGAAATTTTAATCAGTCTATGAAATCACTTTAGAATAATTAACTATTCGATAAGGATACTTGAAAAAAAGTATGAGTTTTCTTTGAAACCGAAAATACTTCTTTCTATGCTTATCGACATAATCGAATCACACTTAACGGCGAAGATTTGGAAGATGTCAAAACCTTTACATATCTCGGCAACATCATTGATGAAGACGGTGGATCTAATACAAATGTGAAGGCATGGATCAGCAAAACAAGAACAGCGTATTTACAACTGAAGAACATCTGCAACTCAAAACAACTGTCAACCAACACCAAGGTCAGAATTTTCAATACAAATATCAAAACAGTTCTACTGTATGAGGCGGAAACTTGGAGAACTACGAAAGCCAAGATACAGCAACAACCTACTATGGGAGAGAACAAAGCAGATTCCAGCTGACGAAGAAATTAGGAAGAAGTGCTGGAAGTGGATAGGACATTTATTAAGGAAAACACCCAACTGTGTCACAAGGCAAGCTCTCACATGGAATTCTCAAGGTCAAATTAGGAGGGAAAGATCAAAGAACACATTATGCCGAAAAATGGAGACAGACATGAAAAGGATGAACAACAATTGAATAGAACTAGAAAGAAAGGAGTAGTACAGAGTGGATTGAAGAATGCTGGTCGGTGACCTATGCTCCATTGTGAGTAACAGGCGTACGTAAGTAAGTAATGCTAATCGACAAGTTCAAAACTTTTGTTTCCATGACTTTCTGTTTAATTACTTCCAGTGATTCAGAAACGTCAGTCTTATTATTAGTGATTTTTAAACTCTTACCAGTGACTAAAATAACGGTGTTATGATGCTCAACACGCTAAATTAGTGCGACTATAATTTATGAACGATCTTTGAACAATGCTAAAATGACCTTGGGATATCCACCTACTTACTTGAGTTAAATGAAGGTTATGGATTAATGTGAGTAATAAGTATTAGGATTTACAGTTGAACGTTAGAATTAGGAATTGGATTTGATGTGTTTCATTATAGTTTTGGTTGCTATGTTAAGCCCATAAAATCTATTCTATCTTCCGGACAAACCAATTTATTCATTCTTCTTGAATCATAATTTTGGTTAAACATTGTTATAAGTGTGAATATAAATAGTCATATCAACTCAATAGAAAACTCAATAAAAACTTACTTTTCAATTATTTCATCATGATCAGGTTTCTCTCTTCGAATTCTCTAAAAGTTTCGTTTTTTTATGAAAAAAAAAGAAACGAAGTTAGTCATTTTTTATATGAATTAAAATTTAATAGTATAGAATTAAATCAAAACCTTTGTTGGTTGAGATCATGAACCGATTGATGTTAGACCACCGTTGTAAACCTGGAAACAGTAGACTGCCGTTTCGTCCTATTTTTGGACTCCTCTGCAGTGCACATCCACGATCCCGCTTGTGGGATTCGAACCAATGACCTCCACTTTTGCCCGTGAACGCTTAAGCTACTGGACCACTGAGTCGGGATCCAATGATGTTAGTGTCTAACATCAACCAATCCAAGAAATCGCACGATCATCTTCCATTGTGCTGAGGTAGATACCTTTCTCTACCCGTCATGGATTAGCTTCACTGGTTACGGCTTCTGACTAGAACTCCAAGAATTCCCTCACGAAGCTAGTCGCTAGTGAGCACACATGTTAATCATCAGTATAGGGAAGCCGGCATCCAATTGTGTTAGTGTCTAACATCAACGAATCCACGTGAATGCGCACTGCTGAGGAGTTCTAAAGTAGGATGAAACGGCCATCCAGTGCTTCCAGGTTGCCAACGGTGGTCTAACATCAATCGGTTCATGATTTTAATCAAAAACTTAATAATCTCCACAATCCCTAAACTGATAAATCAAAATGAATGATCAATTCTGTTGGGAATGTTAAATCCTCAGCAAATCACTTGATAAGCGTCTTATTTTTGTAATTTTATTTTGAAAATTTGGATTTCTTATTTTCGTGTCGAGAGCGCACACTTTTACCTTTAGTTTGTACTTCCCACTAGATCTTAAATATCATTGACATTTCCCGAGGTCATTCTCATACTTTATATATATATATATATATATATATATATATATATATATATATATAAAGTATGAGAATGACCTCGGGAAATGTCAATGATATTTGTTCGTACTTCCGGGCTACTTATGGAATATACATTTCCCTTTTCTGAAACTAGTCTTCTCCCTCTAGTTAGCAGGTCTGGGGGGGATAGTGGAATAGTTTGGTGTGTCCTGGTGTTGTGTTAATGAACATCGTTCCGTTCGCCGGTTTTAGGTGATATCGTAATCTCTTAAAACATAGCAAACTTACTGAGTTATTTAAATACATCAAATGTTAACTAATGTCTTAGATAACTTGTTAACAGTAAAATTATGTTCACTTGGTGTTGTTTTACGTGTATTTTCCCATTGTTATTTAGGACGAAATGAGCGTCCATCCATCTATGAGTAAAATTACGGTTTAATGAAAGTGGTATCCAAGCCTTACTATGATCAATTATTAGTCCTTGGGGGAAAAATGCCTCTTTTAAACTTCTGATCCCTCTAAGCCAATCAGAAAACAGAAATAATTAATGAATGATTTATATTAAACAAAAAAGTATTTACATTCTGGACGTTGTTTATTATAATTTATAATTATTTCTAACTCGGCTTACCCATTAAAGTCCTAAGTTAAGATTAGGGTTTAGGACTTAGGATTAAAATTAGAAATATTCTATACATAGCCTAATCTAACCATCTACCTTAACCCTTACTTTAAGATCATAATGCAGTGACGTTTTTCTCACTACAATTATTCATCGCATAGTCGATAGTCATATATGTCATGACCTTGAAATTGCCCTCTAGATCTTGATTGATTCAGTCTTATACTATACCACTTAAACTATCTAGGTGACATTTAAAAATCAAACTCCATCGATAGTCTATATCTTGATATTTTGTAATAACTCAGCATAATTTTACGAAGCTTTTACATTTATGAATAATACATAAATACCTAAATCAATATAAAATTACTTTAACTTGGTGTCCTTCTTCTATGACATGCATATCAAGTTTAACATAGCCCGTAGGACCTTTCCATGGATCTTTGGGGTCGATAATCACTGCCCATTTATTTAATACTGCATGATCTGTTTTAAAATATAAAGTTAAAATACAGTTGAACTTAAGAACCTTAAACATGTTTATGAAATTCATAAAAATAACCATCTTTATAAATAATCAGCTAGTTTTGTTTGACTTGAAGGTAAATTCCAATATAAGTTGACATCACTAACAGAACACAAGAAAATCAACACAAGTGTTCACTTATGGTGTGGTACTTATTGATAAGGTATACCCATAACACTAGATGACTGTGCTCAGGAAGTTCAGAATCGTGGTATTATTGAGCAGACTTAGTGAATTATACTTTGATTTGAGTCGAACTACGATAGAGCTCAATTGTTAAATTATACCATCAATCAGCAAGTGATTCAATATAGTATCGTAGGCGAGACTATAATTCATGGACGAACCAATCAGATTTACGATAACAGGTTTTAGATTTTGGCGTGAAATTCATTCACCCATTTCGCTAAATAGAGTCTTGGTATTATAGCTGATGTCAGTTCGTGATGAAAACCGTAAATCTAATTCCTAACCCTAACCATCAACTGTAAATCATAATTCTTATTCTTCAAACTGCTTTATAACCCTCATTTAGACCTAGTAAATAGGTAGACACTCTCAAGGTCACTTTAGCCTCCCTCAAAGGTCGTTCATAAATTATATTCTCACCGTATCCTATGCTTCTTGAATTTTAGCGTTCCTTCAGCTACTTTCATTTTTTGATGTTACATACCTTTATTACTTAACTAGTTGAGGGGTTGAAGTGCATTACTTCTCAGTCAATTGGTTTCCGACTTTTAGATGCTTAATAGTGAATATAAATCAGCGGAAAATTAGTTGTCAAACCCTACTATGAGTAGATTAGAGATCCATACAGCATAGGTAATAAAAGCAGTCACTCTATGGTTTCATTGACTTTTTTGATTGAGTGGTTTTGTCCTTCTTCAATTTCACCTCCACCAATCGTGTTATAAATTTTATAACGTGCAGCTGATAGGCAAAAACATCGTCTTAGGATCGGAGCCACTACAACGATGTCACTGAACAATAGATAGTAGCGACAAACAGTGTTTACAAACGACACGATGGATAATCAATGTAAGCTTATGAATTACACTTACAAAGAAATTTCGATCATCAGGAATAACTTGAATCACAACAATAATAAAAGATTTTCTTAAATCTTTTTGTTCAGATTTTTAGACTGGCTGCCACCACCATTGTAATACACGGACAGTCAATCAAATCAAAAAACATGTCATCCTTAAATTGCATCCAAAATGATTATGCTACTTGTTCTTATGTCAAGTAAAAAGGTATAAGATACCAATGAGATCACTACCATATTACTTTATAAAGAAGCATCCTTTAAATGACAAAGATAACCGGTTGGTTCGTCTCATATGGTACCATAGTAAACTATAAAAATTGTTTCACCTACTAAGAACTACCAATCGTGGATATCGGACTCCGTAATCAAACTGTACCTTTCCATTATATGTATCTGATATTTCTCACATTCTATATTACTTTCTAATTATCATATTTCACCAGTTAACATTAATCTGCACAAATATCCATACAGTTTTATTGTTCACGGTTTTTAGATTATTTTCTTTTTATAAAAATGTTACCGTAAGGATTTAACGTATGGTTACTATTGAACATACCTTTTTCATTATAAACTGTCTGTACATCAGTAATAAATTCACCGATCAATTTACCAGGTAACAGACGGGCTAGTGGATGAGATCGCATATTAAATACCTAACAATAATATAAAGATACATGTTTCATTTGACTAAAATGTTACAAAATATGCTAAAAGTATACAAGTAAGGTATGTAACTGATAAATGAGTGTCACTAAGCCGTTGAAATCACTGTATATTAGTTTACTAAATAGATAACTTACTTTCTAGTCTGATTTAAATATATCACTAAGTGATTATCATACCACCTATAAACTTTACCAAATTGAGAGGGTTAAAATTCGACAAACAAAATCTTACTTCATGAATTAAGTATTCTTGTATTGTAGTGAACAAGAACACAAGTAGGGACAAATGAATGTACTTGACACGAAATTACAGAACATCTCACTAAAATCCGAGAGCCATATAGTAAATAGTTAATTTGCAAAATGCTAATCAATCATCTCAAACTTAACTGTTCCTTTTGCAAATATCAGTCTGTTGTCTCAGATTTCATTGTTCATGCATTTTTATGCCAACTGCGTTCCGCTTCCGTCATTCCCTGATCGATCTTCTACTGAAATACATTCTATGCCTGACCACCGTTATAAACTACTTATGTGGTTATAAGTAACCCATACTACAGTATCTCTACTAATCATTATCTGAGCTGAGGTATGAAATTTTGACACAATCAAAGATCTGATTTTTTTTTCTAGATATCGAATGGCAAATATGTAATGCATGAATCATCATTTTGCTTAACTTATTAACTATTCCACTACTCTTGCCTAAAATCCAACAACCATTTCGACGATCATGAAGTTATGATGTGTTTTGAAACATTCGATTACATTTACAACGACCTACTTGGTAGTTTATTTTATTTCTGAATATCTTTTCACCAGAACATCTTGATAAATAATGATCAGTAGTGTGCTTACTTGTAATAAACTTCAATAAAATACGTTTTTGAATTCTATTGAAAGACAGTGCTATGTGGATTCATTCATCTTAAGACTAAGACATTTTTTGATCGCGATGCACCGTAGAATGAATAGGAGTGGATTGTTGATCTATTTGATTTCAATTTAACATTTCAATGTATTGTGTTTGTGATGAAATATCATAACTGTGTACTAGATTTTATATGTATTCACATGTCCACATTACCAAGAGAACTTAAACTAGAATGAAACACCTGTTTAGCGTAAACGAACTGCCGTTGATTCTTCAAAGGATATCTATTTACTGTTAGATCTATTTTCAGATATCTGTAATAACTGAATATCAGATATATGATGAATGATGAGATGGTGGAGAAGATTTGTAGCTCAGGTGGATGATTTTGATGGATTTTTGTTCTCTGAGCTGGATGGTTCGGTCAAACAAACCATCCAGCTCAGAGAACGAAACTTCATCAATATGGTGAATTACTTAATAATAATAATAATAATAATAATAATAATAATAATAATAATAATAATAATAATAGTAATAATAATAATAAAATGGTAACTTACTCGAATACGAATTATTTCTGTAAGTACACTTATTTTAGGTCGAGCAAAATCAAATGCAAAATAATTATCGTAAAATGGACAATTCGTTGAATATTTAGTAACTGTTTTCTGTACAGATTTTCCAACGGTTACAGTAATCATTGGATTGATATTAGTTCCAACTAATTTTCGAGCTTCAACTACATTGATTCCTAACTAAAAATAACATAAATTTTAATTTTTATTATCAATTATATTACTTATTATTATTTAAAGTAGTATAAATTTGAATGAAATGATTAGGATATGAGAGGGTAGTTTCTACTCATGATTAATTGGATTAGTTTTGTAAAGAATTTGTTTATCAGAATGGGTTTTGTTGGGATTTTAGAAATCTCAATAGTTGAAATCATGAGCCAATTGAAGCTAGACCACCATGGAAAACCAAGAAGCATTGGATGGCCGTTTCGTCCTATTGTGGGACTTTTCGTCAGTGCTCATCCACGATCCCGCCCCCCCTCCGCGAGATTCGAACGCAGGATCTATCAGTCTCGTGCACGAGCGCTTAACCATTGGACCACTGAGCCGGCATCCAACGCTGTTAATGTCTACTTCATGATAAGTTGAAAAACCATTTTCCATAGGGTTTATTGTGAGGCATTCATTTTAATAGTAGGTAAAGTCATACATTCAGATAGGAAATAGTTATTTTTAAAGCAGCAAAAAATAAGTGTCTACTATGTATTGTAATGTAATTGGTTTAGAAAAGTAATGTGAAATTATGTCACTCAATCTGGTATCTATTATATATAATCATTAATATTTATAGTTTAATGTCATATAATTAAGTGATAAGCTTATTAATGGAAGGAATGTTGTCATAACGTTTTAAACTGATGTTTCATTTTCGGCAGTTTGGAAATCAGAGAATACTAATTCTGTTGAATATATCATTAACCAATAAATGAAATCATGAATATCTACGTAAACAAGGTATACAGAATTAATCTAGAAAGGAGAGACCAAAACGATTACTTGCTTAGTCAAAGTGATGTATATGAATTGGTTAAGCTAATGTACTTTCATCAAGGATGAGTATATCCCATTGCGTTAATATTGTTGTTCAGTCTCTCATACGTATAATCATATACGAATTGCATTTTCCTGTTTACATTAGTATGCTATCAGATATTGTATATATACGATTGTATAAATTTTGAGTCATAAATGAATAAAGTTCCTAACTTAGTCTTTCAACTGAATACGAGAGTGAAAAGAAATCAAGGACTAATAGGCGTTAAGGTCTTTTGTGATCGATGATCGTTCACTGTCTTTAGTAAAACAGATGATCATCGATCCTGTAGACTATGAACGCAATAGTCAATGAGCGGACAAAACAACTAACTGCTGCTGCTAATAATAATAATAACAATAATAATAATAATAATAATAATAATAATAATAATAATAATAATAATAATAATAATAATAATAATAATAATAATAATCCGTTTTCCCAGGTACGAAACAAACAGCATAACTTTCTTTTAAGGATATAAAAAAACGGAAGCGTACTACTTAAGCCTAAACCTACACTCCTATGTAATTATTTAATATATAGTTGTCTTTAAATTATTAAAATATAAATGATATCACCCTAAATTACTCTAATAAGTCATTAATGATACATAAAACACAGCAGTTATATGTAGTTACATTGAATTGATTCTATTTTAAAAGAAAAAATGTTCAAATCACCTGGAACTGATTTGATTTGTAGATAGTTGGACCAAGCATGGATATAATACGCGGATCTCTGTTATGTAAAAAAAATATGATACGATGAAAATTAATTAGGAACACACACATATTCATATCTCAATTATCTTTTTTCTGGTTAGTGATTTTTAGTGAGTTAGTATTCTAGAGGATGGGGTCGCTAACCCCATGCTCAACCCTCCTCCTTTGGACCGACAGTAATTTCGAGAGGCTCCAGGCGGAACGAAAACCTACCATGGGAAAGAACAAACAATATCCCAGTGGAAGAAGTGCTGGAAGTGGATAGGACATTTATTAAGGAAAACACCCAACTGTGTCACAAGGCAAGCTCTCACATGGAATTCTCAAGGTCAAATTAGGAGGGGAAGATCAAAGAACACATTATGCCGAGAAATGGAGACAGACATGACAAGGCTGAACAACAATTGAATAGAACTAGAAAGAAAGGAGTAGGACAGAGTGGATTGAAGAATGCTGGTCGGCGGCCTATTCTCCATTGGAAGTAACAGGCGCAAGTAATTAAGTAAGCAGATAGGTAAGTAAGTAAGTAAGTAAATAAGTAAGTAAGTAAGTAAGTAAGTAAGTAAGTAAGTAAGTACCTATTCATATTATTAACGGAAAAGATCCAGTTTAAATAATTTGAACATTTGTAGATGGAGTTTGTTATAGATTGACATCAAGAGTACTGGAGGTTTCTTTCAAGCGTAAAATACCCCAGCAGTAAGGACTGACAGATATTATATACTATAAATCGAATTAATCTCTACGACACCATTTCATTTAATCTATTCATAGTATGAATAGTTTTGCGAATCATATATAAAACCAGCTTATTTTTCCTCTATGAAATTTTTTGTTGGCAAATGCATGTTTTGTTGTGGCAGTAACAATAAATTAACGTTAAGTATTTAAAGGACAGAAGTAGTATGAGCTGAAAATTCGTAAATATCATGGTACTTTGGAGAAAATCAATCACAGTTGACATGTTACATTGAGAAGAATGAAATAGCTTATATTTAATGAAACAGGGATTCTATATAACTATCTAATTATTCACTTAAACTATAATTTATTTCCGTGAATCCAAATTAGCAACAGACCGAATCAAATAATATGATCTATGATACTTTAGATCTGAAAGTTAATTATCTTGTAGTGGATGTTACTTATGTCTACATAAGTAGTATATAACACCGATCAAAAATGGACGGCCTGGCAACAGAAATTTGGGAAGATCGAATCGAATAAAACGGAAACATAGATTAATATTTATGGTAATAAAGGAACGATAAAGTTTGAAACAATTGATGGAAGATTTGTAAATGAAATCTTGAACGTATGGCTTTTACATTTACCCAAAGAACTCTGTAATTTTGCATTGAAATACAAGTGATTCTTCCCTACTTATGTTCTCTTTCATTACAATATTACTTAGCTGTTTAAACGATAATTATGGTTACAATGCGGTTTGTGGAGACTGTAGTGATTTTAATAGTTGAATACATGAGTCGATGTAAGCTAGACTTGGATGTAATGAACGGCCATTTCATCCTAGTATGGAACCCCTCAACAGTGCGCATCCACGATCTCGCACGCCAGACTCTAACTCATAGCCTTCAGTCTTGCTCGAGAACGTTAACCTCTAGACTACTGCTAAGGCATCCAACGGTGTTAATGTCTAACTTCAACTAATCCACGAAAATGAGTGCTACATCAATCATTGTCTTTTTTTTGTTTAAAAAATATTTCATTTGACCTGCCAATTTGACCGTCAATTATTAACGATTGTATCTATTGATATAAACAGAAGTCAATAATCTTTATTACGTTTTGCTAATAGAAATAAAAAACGAGTCAAAGGAATATCTTGTTTATTCTAATGTAAACTTTGTTTTAAAGTATTACTGTAAATATCGCATAGAAAAGGTGACTCATAATAAAGTACATAGGTGTTTATTTGGTCAATAAGTTACATTATATCAATAGTTAAACCTTCAGATACTTAATATTCCTAACTAGTAACTCATAATGAATTTTAATCAGAAATGAGTTTTTGTGGATATCATAGTAATTTAATAGTTGAATTCATGAGTCATTTGAAGTTAAACCATCATATAAAACTTGGAAGCACAAGACGGCCATTTCGTCTTAGTGTAGGACTCTTCAGCAGTATTCATCCAAGATCGCGCCTAGCAAGATTCGAACCTACGACCTATTAATTTATTATAATGAATTGAAAAACTTCGATTTGGTATTTTATTGCCAAAGATATCATTTCTAATTGGATATTTCATATTGATTAATGATTACTTTGTACTGCATTGAGCGCTTATTATAAATCCCAAATATAATATGTGTAGCTTTATTCATTCAATTCTGATTGCCTTAAATTGCACTATTCTGAGAATTCCTAGTCAGTTCGACTACTTATATTCATCACAGTTTCTTTATGTGATATTCATGAAATTCTGATGTGTGGGCGAGAATGATAATGATTGGTTGTTTGCTTAGTCAGACTTGTAGATAATCTGATAGGAGTTATTATTATTGAGATTGTTGTTGGATTGTGTCGGCTTGTTGTCGGTATTTTGGTATGGAAATATACTTACTTACTAGTCAGGCTAATCATGTGTCCTTAATCTGAGTTATGTTGAAGTCCTGTAGATTAGACACTGGGATGAAATCTAGTGTAGATATTCTTCTAAAGTATATTAACATCCCATTTGTAAAGATGAAGAAAATCCGAGCGTTATAACAGATTCTTTTGCACATTTCTCAATTTCGAATTTATCTGTCTATCGAATAAAACAAAATTACTCACCAGTGATTATTATCCTACTGACGACTTAAAAATAGTCTCCCATCAGAAGGATATGAACTAGCCTTAACCAGTTAGTAATTTTTTGGTTATTATTTACTGTTTGGGAACAAACTATAATAAACTATGACCATAGATCGCATGTATACATCGATTAAATTTTATCAAATAGATACATCTTTATGATTGAAAATATAACGGTTATCATTCAATGGTAAGCAAATGTTTTAAAACATATGCTGAAGAGTACTTCACGAATAAAATGCCATATAATTGGTTGACTAGCTCGTTTCAATATATAACATTTATAGTTAAAAATAAAATATGAAGACTAATCAATAAGTGATAAATGGATCCAAGCAACTACTAAATAATCAATTAGAATCGAGAATGAGAAAAAAAAGTGATGTATTACTTTCTTTCCGGTGCAGATAGTTGACTTTCTACCTCCCATTCGTCACCTCCAGCAAGAGCAAGTTCTCGATCTATTATTTGATTGAAATCATCATTTAACTCAACATATGAACTGAAATGAAAAGCATGAATCAATATAAGAAGAATTAACGTAAAACTGATTTCCCCTTAGGTTGAAGAAAGTAAAAAGCATAATATGAATTGATGTGAATTATTTAGAATTAATAGTTCAGAAATTTGAATAATTTGATGATAAGTATATTTGTTGTGTCATTTCTTTTTAATGCAGCGGTTCAAATTCTTAATTAATTCAAACATCACATGTCGAGGGCAACCACTGGAGCTTTACAATAAGGATTAATTCACTATCAATACCATTGAGTCTTATCGTTCTTAATAAACATATAGTTTTGTCTGTGCTTTAGACAGATGATTAGATAACATGTTTTTATGGACTATCAGACATATGATTCGACTTCTCCGTATAAAATTTAATCTAATCGTTTCATTCTTTCAAGTGTTGAGCAGTTGGATCATCGACCTAATTCCCATATTTAGAGTCCTCAGTTTATTATTGAGATCTCTTTGTAAGTAATTACATCAGACATGAACGTAAACCACTTAAGAGGTGTTTAATTTAGAAGTTTCATGGTCTTTTAATATAGTGAAGTTGAAGTGATTATGTTTCAAAGCATCTAAGTAAATCAAACAGCTCTGCATTGTATACTTAGGCTGAATGATTAAAGAAACAACTAACAACGTTTAAACAATCGAGATTTTAATTAAGATCATGAACTGACCACCAGTGAGAACCTGGACGCACTAGGCGGCCTGGTATGGAACACGTCATCAGTGAGCACCCACGATCCCACACGCAGAGATTTGATGGTGTAAATGTCTGACTTCAACCAATCCACCGTATTGCGCGACCATCTTCCATTATCTTCGGTTGGTATCTGCCTCATACTCAACACGATTCAACTCCACTGGTCACTGCTTCTCACTAGAATTCCGAGAATTGCCTATAACACTGATCGGTTCATGATCTCAACTAAGACTCAACAATCTCCACAACCACATACTGTCTATACAATCTTTGGTAATGTCCGTTTAGGACAATAATGAAGTTAGTTTAAAATGTATGTTTTAAATCACCCAACATAAATTGATATGGATCACAATAGCGAGTCATCTAACTTATAAGTTATTTTACAAATTGTGGATCAAATTCCCTAACCACCACTGGAAAAGTACCGATAACTATTGAGTGATCAGTTTGTGTTTAGTAACGGTCTCAAATGATAGTACAAACCATCAACAGATTGTAGATATCGTTTTCAGACAAGTACTTAAGCTGTATTGATCTTTTCATGAATTATGTATCAGTGAACAGAATATCAATGGAAACACACACACACACGCACAAACATTGCTGTTTTATAATAACATTAACGATAAATTGGGATACACGTTCAAAGTTTATCAAATATTTAAATTTATCGATTAAGTATGAAATCAAGTGACAACAACAAAATCTCAGGTCATTTAATTAAAACAGACATAGTAACAATTAATATTATTATTATTAATGTAGAAACAATTTCTAAGTACAGAAGATTATACAAGGTCATGAAATCAATTTGGAAATTAAATATTGGGACCGTAAATAAAACCAACCATTTTTCAAGGTCAAGGTCAAAGCAATGTACCTTGTCTGATACATTCCGAAAGTATTCAACCTAAACAGTAACTATAATAATTGATTAATCAATGGAATATTGTTTGTGTTTTGTTTGTTTGTTTTTAATATCAAAAGTGTAACTTCTGTACTCTCTGTTTATTTAGAAAATGACTAATTCAAGGTTTAAATGATTGTTTAAAGATCCCCAATTATATTAAAAGATTAATAGTTGAACGAAGAATATTCTCTTCAAGTTCTACAATTATACATCCAAATTAATAATCCAAATAGTAACCAGGTTTAGGGCAAAGTACATCGTTTAAAGTTAAAGCATGTGGATTGTATGATTAATGTCAGAAGGGATTTTGTGGATATTATAGTAATTTCAATGGCTGAAATCATGAGTCAGTTGAAGCTAGACCACCATGGAAAACCTGGAAGCACTGAATGGCCGTTTCGTCATATTGTGGAACTCCTCAGCAATGCGCATCGACAATAGAACGAAACGGCCATCCAGTGCTTCCAGGTTTTCAATGGTGGTCTAACATCAATCAGTTCATGATCTCAATGAAAAGATATTTCTTTGAAAAACCTTGGACCAGATTGCCAGGTGAAATGGCGAATTTACTTCAAATACTTTTGTTGAAATTTTACAAATACATTCTTTCTCTTTAAGAATATACTTCGTTCATATAGTTGTGTTTCACGAACGGTTTAAGACAAATTGATGCTAGTCAGAAGAACATGAAATGAGATACCAGATAAGTGATGTATGGAACAAACTTTAATTTTATTCGAAACATGAATGGGTTTTTTTTCGTTTTCATAATGTTGTTGAATAATACATATTCTCAACTAAATGATATTGACTTAAGTGATGATGTAAAAAAAAATTAACAGTTTACAAAATAAGCAAAATGATCTACCTAAAAGGTGGAGGTTGATCTTGATGAATTTCATATTCTGCATCTTCAAGTCCATAATCTGTATCTGCTAGCGGATAATTAGCAAGATCATCATCTAGATCACCATGTGTACTATCAGGTGATTGATAACGTAACTCAAATAATAATAATATCTAATGTAATAGTGTGAAAAGATAAGAAATCATGATTATAATTTATGCACTAGAAGGAGATAGAATATGTTGAATAAGTGAGTTAAAATGATACTAATTAATTACTTAGTAGTGACAAATGTAATGATTTGTAATACTTTAGTGTAACGTAGACATTAGCCAAATAAAAGTTAACATAGAGATATGTTTCGCTTTTTATATGAAATGGGAAAAATCAATCCACAAGATGAGTAACTTAAGTTGTATGAATATTTAAGACCTTTGAGTAATTCCCCCTTATTTGATTTGTCGTCACAGTTTATATTTAAAGGATAAATAATACCTAGTGAATTGGGCGATTTCAGTCCCATGCACATAGTGATTAAAATTCACTTGTTAGAACTTCAATTCAGAACTGTTGAACTTTTTGGTTGTCGTCACAAATGAGTATGTGATTACTGATAGCTTAAGAGATGTGTAAAGTTCATCCAGTTTGTAGTTCATATCGTTAGTTAAATTTAGCAAGACAACCATTAAAGAAATAAGACATTCATGCATAATGAAGAGAATATTACATCTAGGCCACTAAGTTGTATATCCAGTAGTTCCCATTTCAAATTTTTTTTCTTTCTGAAGTCATCCCGTGACCGAAAATATAAGTTAAATAATACTGACATACTTGTAAACTATACAATCAGTAGTAACTAAATTTAAGAAGAATTCTTGACTCTCTTTCAACAAACCGTAATTAGTCGAGTTTAAATAATACTAACTGACGCTCAGTTGACTGTTCAAATAAAACAATGGTAGTATTTTCTTAAAAACTTGAATATCACTAATACTTACGCCAGTTGGATGATTTGAACTATCCACAAGATTTTCTCGAAACACTGAATGTACATCTCGAGTCAGTGGATATAAATTGATTGACAAGGATCCTAGTAAACTGAGGTAAAACACAATGAACATTTAGTTGATGATCAGGTTTAATAATTAGCCTTATCACATAAATATATACAATATTAGATGGTTGAATATAATCAATATGAAAACCTGTTTGAAAATAACGATTCTCTGCTCGTAGCTAGAATCCATGTCAGTCAACATCACATTCAGAGATGTAACTGCTCATTTATTCAGGAGATAAGTTAAGTTTTTTTCACATAATCCCAAGTTACTTAGACTAGTGGCCGCATTGGAAGTTGACGGATATGATGTGATGTACACTGAGTCAGAGAAATATGACATGTACATTCCCATTACTAATCATAAGTAGGCTAGTAAAAACTACGGAATCTTACACAAATTTAAAGATGTACTTTTTAATCGAAGCACAGAAATTACAAATGAAAAGTTAATTTACATACTTATGCTTGTACAACAGAACCCTACAAATTAAGCTTATCATTCCGAGGGAGGACTGAAACTGGATAGTGCTCTTGTAGTTTTGGTTGCTATATTAAGCCTACATAGCTTATACTGGTTACCGTACAAGCTAATTTATTCATTCTTTCTGAGTAATATTTCGAACAGTGTTAATTATTTGTAGATTAATCTTGACTATTTTTAATGTAAGCGTATGTATGTGCATTTCTTATCTTACTCATCATATGTCTTGTAACTTATTTTTGGCCGGAATATAAATATCGATTCACGATTGGCTTTATTGAGTGGGTTCACATAACTTCTCGACTGTGTGTCATTAGGTTTTTCTCCTTTCTCTCTCCCATTCGCTTCCTTCGTTCCGTCTTCCCGATTGTCTGTATATATCAACGATTATACGAAATAAACGTATTCAAAACTTCATCCTCGTATTCGACTTATTTACTAATGCGATTCAAGTCGATGAATATATACGAGGATTGACGATTTGTACATTTCGATAACTATCATTCATGCAATCCAATGGGAGTTACATTAAGGGCCGCCAGACTCAATATTTTACATTTCATCTTATTGATATCAACTTATCATTAGAAACTAATTTTCAAATACATAACATTGAAGTTATTTTTTACAATAATACGAGCTCATCTTATTTTGTAGAGTCATATTAACCGCTTGTAGTCTAAATCGAATCTTTAATCAATGCATCTACTGGAGAAAGAGAGAGAGAGAGAGTCATATCACTTAGTGGGAGTAACTGGTATAAAGCACTGAGACTTTAGGTTCCAATTTAAGAAAGAAAAACATGATCCTGAAGCTTAACGAAAAATTGATAAATCATAAATGACCTAATCATAACGTCTTTCCCACTAAGCTTATATATCCTGAGTTCGAACCCTAACGAATTTGCAAGTTGTTGAGATGCTTCATCCTAAAACAAAACAATTGTCTAGTGTTTTGAGTTTTAAATTGATTGTCGAGTTGAAATCAATCCTTGATGCAAACTATAAACAGTTCACTTGATATTGTTTGGCTTGTATCTTCCCACTGAAGTTTAAGGCTCCGATTGATCAGTCTGTTATTGGCATATGTGAATACTGTGCGTATGCCTTGATATAGTCTTAATTCACCAGCTTTTTGTAAGCAATGACGGACAGTGGCTAGCAGTGGAATTCAGGACTCATGTTTCGTCCTATTTGATGCTCGTCAGCTCCAGAGTTGATGTTTACTCTGGGATTCGAAGCCAACACCATTCGCTTCAAACGCCATCGCGTTATCCACTCAGCTACTGAATCCTGATAGCCACTTTCTTGTGCAATGGGGTGAATTTGAATTCACTTGGTATTGTTTGGCTTGTACCTTCCTATTGAGGTTTAAGACTGCAATTGACCAGTCTCTTGTTGGCATATGTGCATACTGTGAGTATGCCTCGATATTGCCTTAATTCACAAGCTATTTGTAAGCAATGATGGATAGTGGCTAGCAGTGGAATCCAGGACGCACGTTTCGTCCCATTCGGGACTCGTCAGCTCGATGTACCTTCATCACAGAGTTGATGTTCACTCTGGGGCTCGAACCCAGTACCATTCGCTTCAAATGATATCGCGTTATCCACTTAGCTACTGAGTCCTGATAACTACCTGTTTGTGCAATGGGATGAATTTAAATTCACTTGGTATTGTTTGGCTTGTATCTTCCCATTGAGGTTTATGACTGCAAGTGGCTATCAGGACTCAGTAGCTGAGTAGATAACGCGATATCGCCTGAAGCGAACGGTACTGGGTTCGAGTCCCAGAGTGAACATCAACTCTGCGATGCAGGCACATCGAGCTGACGAGTCCCGAATGGGACGAAACGTGCGTCCTGGATTCCACTGCTAGCCACTATCCATCATTGCTTATAAACAGTTCATTTTATTGACTAACTACTCAAAAGCATTAAAAAAAAGATAATTACATTGAATACAATAGAATCTACCTATCTGGTAAACCTTTTCTTATTTGATAAGCTTTTAAAATTAATACATCTTTATCATCCAATGAACGACTAACTGGCCAACTGATACGTTGTCCAAAATAAACACTATCATGTCCAGTAGCAATTCTTGAATTCAATTTAGCCTCTGTTTTAATTTAAAAACAAAACATAGATTTGAAAATAATAAGCAAAGCAGAACAATTACCAAAGGAATAGATTATGATTATTTCATTCGAGACAACTATGACGTAATCAAATTTTAAATTATAGTGAAAATTCCCATTTTGCCATTTGGTAAATAAAGAAGGAACGAATTGAGCAATACATCAATATTGTGAGATTAGATGGTGGTTGGAGTTAGTCGAAAGGAAACCCTGGATCTGGATTTCATGCTACTTGGCACTCGTCAGCAAGATGTACCTGTAATCTTAAGGGGACTAGTGCTCCCTGACGGATTCGATCTCATTTCACCCAGCTTCACAGTCAGAGACGTTACCATTGAGCTATCCGAGCCGCTCAATTCGTTCCTTCTTTATTTACCAAATGTTAAATTGTTATGTTATGAAGAATAATAGTTAGATTTACATTAGTAGTAGTACTTATCAATATTTATACGAATGGTTTGACAGAAATTGAATATTCAATATGTAAAAGACATTATAAATGAAAAGTTTGTTTGAAATAGACAGAGAATGATGGTGGCTAACGCAGTGAAGTCTAGAACGTGAGTTAGGTCTAATTTTGAGACTCATTAGTCAAATGTACCTGTATTCCAGAATTGATGTTCACCCTAGGACTCGAACCAATTACCGTTTCGGTTATTTCAAATAAAATTAGCTATTGAAGTTTAAATTAATTCCGATATTTAATTCCATCAAGCTTGTCTAGACTTCTTTAGGGTAATAATCAAATTTTGACTTTGATTATTAACTAAAGTCAGTCACTGATGTTGACTACGAAATCCAGAAAAATATCAACAAACCACTTACGCTTATTAATCAGGTGCTCGCTAGTAACTAATTTCGAGAGGTAATTCCGATGTTCTAGAGAGAAGCCATGACTATTGGAGTTCAACCATGTCAAATATAAGACAATAAGGATGCTAGACGATTATACAATATGATGAACTAATGAAAGTCAAATATGTGAACCACTGAATTCTGGCTCAGATGTATAGAATTTAAGCGTTCGCGCACAAGATCGAAAGTCCTGAATTCGATCACTGATGTCGAGGTCGTGAATGCACACTGATAAGGAATCCATTAAATAGGGTGAAATAGTTAGTCAGTGCCCACTCGTTTATATTGGTTGTCTAAGATCAGTCAGTTATATTAACAAATAAATTCAGAAAAATTTCTTTAACCCGCGTTGTAGTATACTCTTATTCTATTAGAGTACCCACAAACATCTCTGTTAATATTTCCAGTTTTGCCGTTCGAACTACAGTGACCATCTGTTTTTTCACTCAGTTGCTTGTTATCAAGATACACGCTTAGGATCATTACACGAAGCTTTGAACCAAAGTTTTATGTTAGATGACATTCAAAATCTATCTGCAATCTTAATAGACTTAATGTTCCTCCCTAAGGATTGGAATCTGTGTCACTCAATGTCATATCTAAGGTAATTACTATATCAGTAACAAAAATGGTTTCATTTGAAGATATTTTGTGAAGATTGGTTTAATTAGTAGGTTATACCGATCATAGATTGATCTTAGTTGTGGTACTGCTAAAAAATAAGGAGGATTACGCAACTGTTTCAGCCTAACACGAGACTTTTTAGCAGTTTGCACCAGAAATACTAAAGGAGAACGAACCCATGACTTTCAGGTCTCACTGGATCGATATTCAATTGTACAATTTTAAATTAATTCATAATTTTGCATGGATTTGATAATGCTAACTAATCTCTTAGACAGTGTAACTTTCATTTTATTTGCATTACAATTATGCTAAATGATATTCTGAGCTAATCAGATATAGGCCACATGATTGGCGAAAGATGTCCGTTCAAGTAGCTGGTCGGAGTCATGTTTCGCAAGCGTAGATATTAGTAGTTGTATATTAGTAATCACTAATCTTGATAAATAATTCATTAACAACTCAATAAGATTAGTTTTAACAAATTGCCATCGAAACAAAATGGTTTAACAGTACATTTGTTGTTTGTGTGTGTGTGTGTGTGATGATAAATGACTAGTGATCACATGTTGTTTATTAATGCGTCAACACATTAAAATAACCTTGAGTAATTTTGTGTACGTAAACAATTATCATTGTATTTCATTGTGAAATCCTATCAAGAACTGTAACTCTGTTAAGTAAATAATGAGTTTTCTTCGTATTTCATAAAGTTATACCATTTTTTTCATGCTTTATACAGTGTGATAGCATGTTTTGGGAAAATATTAGATATAATGTAATTAAACGGTTCTGGTACTAAACATTGTACCTGTAAGATAAACAAGCAGGCGAACTATGATAACTAGACAGAGGTAGGTGAACGTTAAAGCCATCAAGCTGACTATCTAAAGGAGGAAAGAATAATTTCATGTGTTCTCTGCTGAAATATCGCTAAGATACTTGACCGAACACTATCTAGAAATGTTTAAAGCTACCAAAACTAGCAGAAATGCGGAATGTCTATAAAACAGTTATTTACCGCTACAAATTGAACATTGTACTGTAATGTGCTAATTTTTTGACGTAATTTTGAGAAATATATTATTTAGTCTATCATTAGTGACAAAGCAATGAGTAAAGGGGGAGTGATTATATCCCGTATTTGAAATTTACTTATTTGACAGAGTAATCATGAAATAGTGATATCTTAAAACTGGTATTCAACCAAAATACTAGTTATCTCACATTTTGACAAATATAACTTTTAACATATATGTTCTTACTACAATATAGAAAGCTTATCAAATCAGTGACATAATATATTTTTGTAGCATTTCTTTTCGGATTCATACCATTAAATAGTAATTTATGTTAAATTGATGCTAAAAATTGTTTGAATCATAAATTAAAGCTAATTGGAGAACCACCGTAACTAATAAACACTGAATAACTATTCCGTCTTAAATTGGAACTAAACAGAAGTAGTGATATATAAGATCATGTACAGGATTAAACCTAACCACTGACTGACTTTCTCTCCATGTAGTAATCAATGATGGGTTTAATTACATTTTAAATTTTATTCATTGCTTCCAAGTCCTGAGCTTCATTTACTATTGACAATAAATATTAATTCTTTTCTACTCAAATGCTGGTTAATTGGTTCAACAGTCAATATGGTTATTAAATGAAAATAGAACTTTTAAACTGATATTCGGTCATTGGACGTTATCTGTCGAAAGTCACGAACCTAAATCAAAGATTATTTGGTCAAAGTTTCTCAATGGGAATGTTTGTCGTCTCTCCAACAGATTACAGGAAAAGTATTCATTTATTTGATATTACAGAACTCACAAGCTCTATCTAATATGAAATCCATTCTTGCTGATCGCCTTCAGCTTACGTTAGAAAAATTTGCACCATAATGTCAAATCACTTAGACTATTTAGTTATATAACAAACTTCTTTAACAGAATTCCAATAGCACTAAGAACTAGACAACATGACTAACCATTTGGTGGACAACAACTTTTTTACACTTAGAAAATTGGTATAGATTTAATTACTTTTTTTGGAATATATATTATTCCTATGTCTTAAGTAAAATATTCAGCCGACAACGCTAAAATAGGAAATAGAGGGGGTTAAAATCTGTTATCCAATGTTTAAAAGTTCGCACTATGTAGTCAATTACTGTTCTTAAGAATATTTTAAGATGAAGTAATTTCAAAGTATGGATAATTAGGTTGATTAGCGTAAACCAAAAGATAAAAACATTTGGCATATAAGGTGTAAGGAACTGAATTGGATTCCCAGTGTTAATATCAACACTGGGATCCAAGTACATATAACTGATGAGCCTCAAATGGGACGAAACGCGTGTTCCACTGCCAATCACTAACCAACTTTATTTAAAAACCAGAAAAAAACTATTTCTTAAGAATGTAATTGTTGAATTGAAGTCAGTTATGAAATTCTATACTCATAAATATTTGATTATATGAATAAATTATGTAACTTATTATAACAAGATATCATAATATAAAGTTGAGCAGTTTTTTTTGACGATTATCCATTCGAAACTGTGAGTAGGTCTATTGATGAGAATGAAGAAGATTCATAGAACTGATGGATGTTGGAGAATTCAACACCACCAAAATATTTATACCTGTGATTCTTATACGAACTAATTTCACTACCCTTTTAATAAGCAGTTAATATATATATCACTATTTTCTTTTATAAAATGATTCAGATTATGGTTGGATGATATTTATACGAAATAATAATATATTCATGTATTCTTATTCAAATTCATCCGGTGAAATAAACGGTGTCACCATGCGATAATTTAAATGTTTTCATCGGAAATGACTTGAGATGACCGATTTCGAAATTGTTTTCACATTGTTTTCTTTATTATCTTTGTCTCCTCTTAACCTTCATTCCAAGTCTAGTTGACCTTTTATTTTTATGTAGAAATGTTCTTAACAAGTAAATTATATGTGAACAGATTATTCGAAATGTATTGCGATAATATATCATCATATAATTCTGATAATCTTCATTTTCTTATTACACTACCCGAAATTTATCAAAGGAACTAATTGCTTCAAATGGATTGATTTTAAAACTTGAAACTACTTGCTGGTTAAATGAATATAGAAACAGTTACTAAGGGATTAAATCTACTGGGTTTTTTTTATACATGAAATAATCAACTCAAACAATTTCACCGAGTCATTTGTTAATTAAAAAGAAAAACAAGAAAGAGTAATGTAGGATAACAGTATAGATTACATAACAACCGAAAATTAGTCACTTCTTCTACTACTACTACTATCTTAATAATAAATTCAGAAATTTCGATAGAAAAAAAATAAGGAGATGAAGTTGATCGGCAAAAATGTGGTGTATTTGCTCTATACGTCTCAAGCAATCTGGTCATATATATCTATATTTTTTAGTGGTTGAATTTATGGGTTAATTGAAGTTGGACCACCATTGAAAACCTGGAAATACTGGACGGCTGTTTTGTCCTAGCATGGGACTGGTCAGCAGTGCGAGTCTACAATCCCGCCTCGCGAGATTTAAACCCAGGACCTCTCGGTGTCGCGCACGAACGTTTAACCTCTAGACCACTGCTAAGGCGTCTAACAGTTTGAATGTTTAAATTCAACCAATCCACGGGGAGTCCCATAGTAGAACGAAACGGTCGTTCAGTACTTCTAGGTTTTAAATGATGGTCTAGCTTCAACTGACTCATGAATTCAACTACTAAATTACTAAAATATTCACGAAACCCCTCTCTGAATATATATATACTTATCAAAGTATTTTATATGAAAATTAATAAAGGTCAATTATATAAAATACACCAGATTTATCAAATCAACTCCGTTTTATTATTGTTCTATCAAAATTTATAAAAAGGACTAATTACTTTAGATTTTCAGAAATCCAAATCTTCGATGAGTAGTTAGTTCTTAGAAGTCTTAAACTAGGACAAAATAAATACCCTGTATTCCTTAGTTTTACTCCGTTAGTCATCTTTTTTTTTAGAATAAATACTCTCAAAGTTTCAATGACTTCGCTCATACTACTTATCGATATTTAATGGTTAAAATATGACATGAATCATCAACTGATAATAATTACTTCTTATATTTGAATTCATGAGTTGATCTAAGTTAGACCATCATTGAAAACTTGGAAGCACTGGATGGCCACCTCGTCCTAGTATTGGACTCCTTAACAGTGCACATCCACGATTCCATCTCACTTGCGAGTACTTAACCTGGTATCGAACGGTGTTAATGTCTAACTTCAATTGATCTTTCACAACTATTCATCTATTGTGTGAGGTAGATACCTGTCTCTATCCGACTCTAATGATAACAGTTTCTCAGTACTTCCAGGTTTTCAATGGTGATTTAGTTTAGATCGACTGATAAATTCAATCATTATATTTTATTATAATCTTCACAAAACCCCTCATTCTCATAATAATCATTAATTTATCGATATTTATATTGAATTAATTTATTATAAACTTACCTCGAAATAAAACTTTAATTCTACGATCCCCTTTACCAGTTAATCCAACTAAATATTTAAGATCCAAAATTAAAGACATTTCAATAATAATCTATCCACTATAAGTATATATTCCAACAAAAGTATTGATTATGGTATCATTCAAAATGAATAAAGATTAATTTTCTAAATTTTCATAGTCATCATTAATATAGTAGAAATACCTACTCAAATATGTATGAATGTAATAAGTATGATATGAAAGTGTTCAGCAGTCACTATACTTTGTATATGTATTTATTTATATGTAATTGTATCCAACTATGTAAGTGTATATCAAATGAAAATGTCTTTCACATAAAACTCTTTTGTTACTTTCGATTGAATTCCATTTTTATACTTTAAGGAATGGTGTCAATACTTTTATAAAATCACGTGTCCACTAGTAATAATAATAATAATAGTTACCAATTGTAAGCTGATCAAATACTATTGAACCAATATTAGTTGTGATACACACATAGACACAATAATGATAAATGCATATAGAATAATGAATATTTCTTTTGTCGATTACTCAGGACAATTTAGATTTCATCATTTTAAGAAATCAATATGTGTAGGACTTTTCTTTTTTATTTTGATGAATAACATGTAGAATTTATGGTTGTTGTTGTTGTTGTTGTTGTTTTTTGCTTGATTGACTTTATGATTATTAAATTTATTATTTACTTTACTTACTTAGGCCTGTTACTACTAATGGAGCATAGGTCACCGACAAGCATTCTACAACAAACTCTGTCCTATGCGTTCCTTTCCAGTCCTATTCAATTGTGATTCATTCTTATCATGTCTGTCTCCATTTATCAGCATAATGTGTTCTGTGGTCACCCTCTCATCCTTTGTTTAGCTTTGAGGATTGAAAGTGGGGGCTTACCCTGGAAAGCAGTTCAGTGCTGTCCTTAATGTGTGTCCTATCCACTTCCAGCAATTCTTCTTGATTTCATCCTCCACTCGAATCTGAGTTGTTCTCTCCCACAGTAGGTTGTTGCTGATAGTGTTTGACCAACGGATGTGAAGTATATTGTGTAGACAGTTGTTGGTGAACACTTGTATCATCTGTATGATGGCTTTCATAATTGTTCAAGTTTCCACCCCATACAGTAGAACTGTTTTGATATTTGTATTGAAAATTCTGACCTTGGTGTTGGTTGAGAGTTGTTTTGAGTTTCAGATGTTCTGTAGTTGTAAATTTGCTGTTCTTTATTAAATTTATTACTTATTAATAATTTAATGTAGATAACTCGATTGTATAACAGGTCACTCATTCTCTGGATAATACAGTTGTAAAGTCATTAATATGATATGTTAGAATCCAACAAAGAGAATCAGTTCTTTCGACATTGAAGAAAGTTATTATTAATGATTACTGATTAGTTTGTAAATTACTGTCTATCAGGGTATTTTTGTCAAATATCTTCAACAATCTAATATCAGGTAAGAGCAATTTAATCATCAGGTACCGTTAGATGAAAGAATAATGAAAATCAATGAATTAATCAATTATTGTTTGCTCAGATGTTGAAAATATAATCTCCAAATTAACATGAACTCATCATTCACCTCGTGTTGTTTATTGGTATTTTCTCATTGACGTTTAAGACTACAATTGATCAGTCTCTTGTTGGTACATGTACATTCTGTGCGGACTACCTTGATATTGCCTGAAGTCACAAAATTTATAAGTAAAGATGGATAATGGCTAGCAGTGAAATTCAGGACGCACATCTCGTCCTATTTGGGACTCATCAGCTCCATGTACCTGTATCTCAGAGTTGATGTTCACTTTGGGACTTGAACCCAGTACCGTTCGCTTCAGGCGATATAGCATTATCCACTTACCTACTGAGTCCTGATAGCCACCTGCTTAAGCTATGGGGTGAAGTTATATTCACTTGTTATTGTTTACTTGTAACTTCCCGTTGCCATATAGGACTATAATTGATGAGTTCATTGTTTTAATTGATTGCTAAATGGCTATTGGTAACTGGCGTAGTATAAAGTTCTTTTTAGTTATAGGAAGATTTTATTCATTTGAGGCTAGTTAAGCTCATTTTTGACGATATTTTATAGTCATTTAATCGCTTATAAATTATTTCTTTCTAGTTCATGTAATTTTTAATCAGATGATTATAGTTCTATTGACACTTAATTAGCTGGATAGCATCAGAGAGTTTTCCTTTATAACAATAAATTGAATTTCTTTGAAAAATGAAAAATATGTGTAGATTTTGATTATTCTCAGTAGTTATTCTTAGATGAGATCTTGTTGAAAAACGGAGAACATTAGACATCTGTCTTATCCTAGCATTGTACACCTCATACCCTGGTACGACCAAGGGTGGAGATAGTCAGCTCTCCCTATCAAAATGCTCTCACAGGGCCACACGTATATAACCTCTTCCAGGGAAGTCCTACTCACTGCCTGCCCGTGGCATTACTGTTGTTTACGAAAATGAGAGGACAAAAAACGAATATCTGACGCTCTAACCGAGTTGGTGGACACGGAGAGTCCAACTAGAGGAGTTGGAAACCCTGATTCCAAATCAATGTTGCACATGAGCTCCAGTATCCTGATGGAACAAATGGCGTATGACCCAATCGTTGGTCACCGGCTACCATGGCACTGCATCTCCTTACGTTGCTCCACTGCCTTGTGCATTAAACCTTTAGGTCGAAGGCTCTGGGTGTGGCCTCCAAGAAAATCACCTGTTTCGGTTTCACCACCCGGACAGTATCACAGCTCACACACAAATCAAGTGACTTTTGTGACCCAAATATATTCGATGCCCCTTTGTACCAATATTTATGTGTTCAAATAAGCATCCATGAATGGCCGCAACCCTACGTTGGATCTAAGCCAGTACCTTTAGATTTCGTCGTAAACGATTAAAATTCAAAACTACTGGGTTGGTTTCCATAGATGACTTTTCATAGTGACAACAGTACTCAGTTTCACATTGAAATATTTGTCATTCTGAAGAACAATATTGAACACTACAGAGAATTTTAGAGAAATATAATTTTAGTATCAGAAGGGGTTTTTGTGGATATTATAGTAATTATAATAGTCGAAATCATAAGTTAACTGAAGCTAGACCACCATGGAAAACTTGGAAGCACCGGACGTTCGTTTCGTCCTATTGCGGGAAGTTAAGCGTTCGCGCTCGAGATCGATAGGTTCTGAGTTCAAATCTCGTGAGGTGGGACTGTGGATGCGCATTACTGAGGAGTCCCACAATAGGATGAAAAGGCCGTCCAGTGCTTCCAAGTTTTCCATTGTGATCTAGCTTCAATTGACTCATGATCTCAACTGTTAAAATGTATTTTTGTTGCTTAATTATTATTATTAACAATGCAATGAATCAAAACTTGTTGATTAAAAAAATAACATCACATTTAGGTTTTTGATAAGAACAATACATATTAATAGTATCATTTTTAATTAAGTAATCAGCATATGACTATCTGTAAAATATTGGCAGAGTTTCATTGTTGTCTCATCTATTATGATGAAAAACAAATGATTTGATTAACTAAACTGCTTTATTTTAAAAATAGAAAAAAAACATGATTACAATGGAAATTATTATGAGAGAAATGACTGATGATGAAATCTAATTTAAATAAGCGGTAAAACTATTGGCATTTTAGACGTACTAAGAAAATATTCAGGATGATCTAGACTTTGCAGATGATCTGGCTGTTCTATCGCACACGCGACAACAAATGCAGAAGTAGCCGACCAATGTAGCAGCAGCCTCAGCAGCAGTAGGTATTAACATACACAAAGGGAAAAAGAAGGTTCTCCGATACAATACAACATGTAGTAATCAAATCACAATTGACGGAGAAGATTTGGAAGTTATAAAAACCTCTACATATCTGACCAGCATCATGGAAGAACACGGTCGATCTGATACAGATGTGAAGGCGTGGATCGGTAAAGCAAGAGCACCATATCTACTACTGAAGAACATCTGGAATTCCAAACAACTCTCAACCAACACAAATGTCAGAATTTTCAATACAAATATCAAAACAGTTCTACTGTATGGGGTGGAAACTTGAACAATTATGAAAGCCATCATACAGATGATACAAGTGTTCATCATCAGTTGTCTACACAAAATCCTTCGCATCCGTCGGTCAAACACTATCAGCAACAACCTACTGTGGGAGAGAACAAATCAGATTCGAGTGGAGGATGAAATCAAGAAGAATTGCTGGAAGTGGATAGGACACACATTAAGGACAGCATTGAACTGCTTTCCAGGGTAAGCCCCCACTTGCAATCCTCAAGGCTAAACAAAGGATGAGAGGGTGACCACAGAACCCATTATGCTGATAAATGGAGACAGACATGATAAGAATGAATCACAATTGGATATGACTGGAAAGGAATGCGTTGGACAGAGTTTGTTGTAGAATGCTTATCAGCGACCTATGCTCCATTTTTAGTAACAGGCGTAAGGAAATATCTAAGTAAGGAATATATTCATGGAAAAATAAGAAATAATTGAAGTGACTACGTTGACATTTAAAACACTGATATAGGTCAAATTAATGTTTATTTAAAGTAAATGTAAACAATAACGTTCCAGGAATTACAAATGCCGTACTATTATAGTATCTCACCTACAATTAAGTTTGTTTACAGTTAATTTTGTCGACCCCTTCAATTGATTTATTTAACAGACAGTTTTATTTGGACAGTAACAATTTATCCATTTATTATTATCATTATTATTATTATTATTATTATATCTGTATAAAAATGTACGCCTGATCACATGTGACAGTCTACGCACATATTCGTCTCTCTAGCTTAAATGTTAATCGCTTAAATATCTCTCTATGAATCATTCACTTTCCCATACATATATACTTATATGTGCTTGAATCCCATTAACTGCCTCGCTTCGATTCAATGCGATTTGACGGGGAATCCATCTGTGTATTCGCTTTCTTGCGCGTATTAGCCTTTCAAGTCGAATTTGCTTGATGTGCTTGTAGCTTTGTTATCTGCGCTATCCAGCAATAAACTTTAGTCAGCACTTTGTGTTGCCTTTTTAATTCATACACCGTTGGGATTTATTTAATAACGGTTATCAGGGTGAGTGATATATCGAATGTTACCTAATAATGAACTACAATATTTAATATTGGCCTATCTTGAAATTCGTCGAACACAATAAATTCTAAGTGACCTGTAGATTTTAATAAGAGCAGATGAACAACCAAAGGACTTATTCAGTCCTTACCTACGCCTATTACACCTTGTGGAGAAGCATAGATCTCTCATCAGTA